CTCGACAGGTACATTGAACTTTTAAAATGATTATTTAACCATTGAGGGTTATATTGCCAACAATCCATTGGCAGCATTTCTCAGACGATTTGTGAGCTGTTAATTTGGCAGCAAAGTCTAATGTATCCTGAGTATAATCATGTTGAGATAGAAGCAAAGGTAGAATCTTAGTTGTTTCTTGGACACAAAAATTGTGAGCGAAATCGGAACAAAATTTTCGGATTGTATCAACACTACTTTTTCGATTTAAACTAATAGTTCCATCAGGTTCAAAATCAGAAATTGTTCCCTTTGCTTTATAAATCGCAGAATTTTTAAGCTCTTTGATGCACCGAGTGTAGACTCGGTCAGAAACAAGATCAATTACTTTAACCATTGAAAGTGGATGTAGACTCAAGAAGTTATTTTCAAGCTCTCGAACTAAATCCCGACTACTTTCCATTTTGTCTTCTTGAAATTGTTCCAGTCGAATAGACGATAAACCATTTGATAAAGTTCCTGTTAGCGTTAATGGACGAATCTTTCTTGGTGTCAATTTATGATCTTTTTGAGGTGATTTAACAGGGCTGGTGACGGGAGGAGCTAATATAGTTGAAGTGGTACCAGAGGAGTCGTCATCTATTAAGCCTTTGTATTCATCGAAATTGATAATCGAAGATGATAAATCCTTTGGGCATCCAATCGAAAAACTAGTTTCTAAATATTTGAACTCTCTATAATCAGAGATGAAATGTTCAATGATGTTGATAAGATAAGCTCTGGTACTTGGATCACATTTTATCTTGTTGGTTTGCAAATTTTCATCGAGCTTGCAAATAAAACGAATGATTTCTTGATAACATTTAAGTCGAGGAGATATAGAGTCCATTTGTCGTAGAAATTGAATTATCCATGGAAGAGTTAATGAAAGTTTTTTCACCTCCACAGCTTCTTTCAACAGTCCAATTATATTAAGGCAGCAAGTTTCATCTTTTCTCAAAAATACTTGAGTTTCAATAAATTGAAGCGAGTTGCTTTTACTTATCTGGAATGGTAAGTAAACAACCAAGCCGAGAAATTTTGCCAACACTTGTAAAGTCAGAGAAAGTTGGTTAAATTTCGGTTTCAAATTGTTGAGCTCGCTGCTAACTAGATCCTGGTCAATTTCACCAGATAAAGGTGAACAGTCGTTTGTTTCTAAAATTTTGTGAATCAGCATCAATTTTAGAAAATGATGAAAAGAGGAATTTTTTACGTTGATGATAAATTCATGGAAAACCCGTTCTTCATCATTAAACGTTGAATGAAGTTTAGAATTACTATGATCTAAACGTTTACGTAATTTCTTCAATCTATCATTTTGAATATACGATGTAAGTTGATCGGTTGATAGTAGATCCTTGGTACCACCCATGATACAGGTACGAATCAATTGTGATACAAACAATTTGCTCAAATGGTAGCTATTTGATGCGTCATGAGAAAAGGATAAAAGCCGGTTGACAGTTGATTCGAATTGACTTTTAACATCCCCAGGATCTGTCGATGAAAACAGCGATGGTCGACTTTGGGAACTCTTCCAATTGTTATAAAGTTCATAGAAGATATCACGTTGATGCCTGAAAGAATGAAAAGCTTTTTCAACACTAAAAGCAGATTTACAATCAGTTTCAGGTTCAAAGTTGATACAGTCAAGATCACAGTGGTCAAGATTTTTCGTCATTTTGTAAAAAATTAAAGTTGATTAACCTAAATAATAAAGCGATGTAAATTAAAAAAAAACTGAGCAAAAATAGCCAAATATTCCTGTCAAAATAGCATTTCTTGCAATCTGACAATTGTGAGCTTCAGAATCTCAAGTTCATATTTTGAAGCTTTCCTTCCTTGATTAGATTAACCTAGTTTACTTATTGATCTATTGACTGACTGATAGAAATATTTGAAAGAAAAAATACTTGAATTATTATGTTAATAACTTACTGTTAGAGATCAATTGACTCACGAAATGATTTACTTATGTAAGTAATCATAAGCCTGTTGGATTAATTTTAGACTAGGAATTAATTCAGTCATGTAGAGTTTGGAATTATTAATTAATCAAGTTTCAATTTTTTTGCATCTATTTAATGATAATTCTTCAACATTTAGCCATGTATTTTTTATAAGTAGGCAAAATGATAACGTGAAAAGTGCAATTGAATAATTTGCTATCCTTAATTTGAATGTCAGTCGAGTTTTCCACCTCTACTTAGGGTTGCTTATTTTAACTATGAAAAATAAGATACAGTAATCAAATACAGAAGATTCTTCAATAAAATATAAGTTTATAATAGTTTGATTCTAACCTGATTCTTGTTCTCAGCAAATTATGCGTAAAATTTTGCTAACTTGATAAAGTAATTAATTATTAATAGTAAGCATATTTCAGACCGATAGAGAAAATATAATCAAATCAAATGATAATCAAATACAGAAGATTCAGCAATAAAATATAAGTTGATAATTGAACCTCAATTGAAGTCCGAAGAGCATCAACACAATGAACGTAAGGAGAGAGAAAATTTGAACTGAATCAAATGAAATGATTATAAATTGACAATCAAACACTTAACTGAATCAAAAGATGCTAAAGATCAGATTACAGGGTAAACTATTAATTAAACAAAAATAATATAAATTCAATAAATAAACAAAACAAATCAAAAAATCAATATGAAAGATCCTTCTTCACTTACCTAGTGAATTGTATTCAAAGGTTATGGGCTGTGCCCTAAAACTTGCTCGGGTTAAATAATTTAAATCCAACAATGGTTCGTCAATCAATGTGAATGATCTAAATAATAAAATTGCAAAAATTAAATATAAATTAGAATAAATGATGATTAAAATAGTGATGATCTAAGCAACTTCAACAAAACGTTTTTATTCTTGATGATTTTAGTCTAACGATAAAGTCGTAAGAATAAAGCTAGAAAATTTTTTTTTCAATCTTTAAGCAACAAAGCAGTGATAACATTGACTAATAGATAGCGTTACATGTCAAATGCTCTGAAAATAGCCAAACATTCCTGTCAAAATAGCATTTCTTTTAATCTGACAATTGTGAGCTTCAGAATCTCAAGTTCAGATTTTGAAGCTTTCGTTCCTTGATTAGATTAACCTAGTTTACTTATTGATCTATTGACTGACTCATAGAAATATTTGAAAGAAAAAATACTTGAATTATTATGTTAATAACTTACTGTTAGAGATCAATTGATTTACTTATGTAAGTGATCATAAGCCTGAAAGATTAATTTTAGACTAGGAATTATTTCAGTCCCGTAGAGTTTGGAATTATTGATTAATCAAGTTTCAGTTCTTTGCATCAATTTAATGATAATTCTTCAGCATACAGCTATGAATTGTATTTTCAAGTAGGCAAAATGAGAACGTGAAAAAAACGTGATTGAATAATTTACTATCCTACAATTTTCTCGTTAATTTAATTATCAGTTGAGTTTTCCAACTTCATATAGGGTTGATAAGTTTGACTATTATTTGCCCTTTATAATACGCAATTAAATTAATTCGTGTTACTCATCGACAATTCATTAAAATAAAAAAGATTAGGCATAATCCATTTGAATTGGAACGGAAATTTTGCTGTTTTGCTGTAAATTAATCATGGATTAATTGTATTTATTACATGTAACAAATTAAATCGGTTTGGTAATAGTTAGTTGATAATCTTTCTTACAGTTCATGGCACTGTTAAAAAATAAGATAATCAATGCAGAAGAGTCAGCAATAAAAATACCAGTTGATAATTGAACCTGATTCTTGTGCAAAGCAAATTATGCGTAAAATTTTGCTAGCTAGATAAAGTAATTAATTATTAGAGGTAGGCATATTTCAGACCGATAGAGAAAATATAATCTAATCAAATGAATAAAAAACATCAGAGTAATTGTTTTCAATTATTCAAAGAACATTAAAATTAATTTCTTTTAATTTTCAGATAAGAATCTTGTTACACCATGACTATTCGCAAGAGCGTTAACAACGTGATTACAGGTTAACATAGATTCACAGAATGAGAGTTGACAGACTATAATTTTCAAAATATGGAAATAAAACTAATTAAACAATAAATGTTATTGTTTGCTTTGTAACGAATAAAATACATAATTCAAATCGAATTATTAAACTCGTTAAGATCTTGATTGGATAATAATTGCTTTTAGGCATCACAAACAGTTTTTTTGTTCCTAGATAAATTATATTCTTGAGATTTATTTATTCAACTGTAACAATTCTCATGGTGTTTGTAGAGCCAGGACCCTTTCTCCATCCAGTGACAACGATTACAGAATCACCGGTTCGCATGAAATTGCGAGCTTTACCAAAATCAATAGCAGCTTGGATACGACCATCAACATCTTGAGGCCAGTCACCAGCTCGTTCACCGGTAAAATAGATTGGTAAGAGTCCTCGCCATAGATGGGCTTGACGTGTTGTTTGTGCGTGGCGAGAAACAGCGATGATGGGACAACGAGGTCGATATTTGGAGATGAGATGAGCAGTTCTACCAGTTGTTGTAAGCACAACAATTGCAGATGCCATACATTTAAGAGAGGCGTTTACTGCAGCAATTGCCATGGTCGTTGTTAAATCAGTTGGTGATGGTGTGTTGGCGCTCAGTTCAATGAAGATATGCTGTAAATGACAATAAGAGGAAAGACGGTGAGATAGTAAGAGATAGTAAGAGTAAAGTAGATAAAGTGGAAATTAAGTTGCGGATGAGTGATGAACCAATACAAAAGAGAAATTAACTCAGATCATTTTTTAAAAAATGGCATTTGAAACAAAAAAAAAAGATTGGATAAGTGAGAATAAAGATGATGAGAATTATAAATACCTTAGAGAACATAGCAGCTTCAGCTTCTAAACAAATAGCAGCCATTACGGAAACAGCTTGGATTGGATATTCTCCTTTTGCTGTTTCACCAGAAAGCATAACACAATCAGCTCCATCTAAAACTGCATTGGCCACATCAGAACTTTCAGCTCGAGTGGGTCTAGGTTTTTTAATCATACTTTCTAACATTTGGGTTGCACAGATGACCGGTTTACCCACCATGTTGCATTTAGAGATCATCATTTTTTGTGCTAAGAAAACTTTCTCAGTAGGAATTTCTATACCCAAATCTCCTCGAGCTACCATAATACCATCTGATTCTGCGATGATCTCGTCTATCTTTTTAACACCTTCATGGTTTTCAATTTTAGAGATAATTTTAATGTCTTTACCCTCCTCACCAAGTATTTTTCTGATTTCTTGAACACCGGCAGCATTACGGATAAAAGAGGCGAAAACCATATCAACCTTGTTTTGAACACCGAACATCAAATCTTGCTTATCTTTTTCTGATACGGCAGGTAGGTCAACAAGTGCTCCTGGTAGATTAACGCCTTTTTTAGAGCCGAGCATACCTCCATTTTCAACCTCACAAATTAAAAAATCAGATCCTAAACAGGAATAGACAGTAGATAAAAAAGAGAAAACAGAAGTGCGTTGAGAAATGATTACTAGTATTTAAAGTTCAATAAGGCAATAATAAAAAAGAAACGTACCAACTTCCTTTACAACTAATGAAATGAGACCATCATCGATATAAACCTTGCTTCCAGGAGAAACAACTTTGACAATATTTTTATAGTCCAAGTGTAAAATTTCAGCAGAGCATTTATCGATGTATTTATCTTTAGTAGTGACTTTGATGGTAGCTCCTCGAACTAATTCAACTTCAGCAGAAGGACCGCCAGCTAATAGAGTAGTTCTGATCTCAGGTCCCTTAGTATCCAAAGCAATTCCAACAGGATGCTCACCAACTCCATATTCAGCACTCAATTGCCTAACAGCTTCTCTAACATTGTCAATGGTTCCTTGATGATAGTCATAAGTTCCATGAGAGAAATTCATTCGAGCAATATTCATACCGGCTTTCATCATTTGAATAAGCTTCGGTACTTCTCGAGAGGCAGGACCTGAGTAAAGATAGAAAGCAACCATTGATCAATTTATTTGTTTGGACTGAAATAGTTAATAAATACATTGAGAGTACTTATTTGTAAGATCCATTTAAAGGAAAAGATCACTCAAATCAATAAAACTATTTTTGCCAAGGTTATAGAAATTAAACATCAAATCAAATCTTGATTCAATATATTAATATTTAGTTCTATTTTGACCTTGACAGGAAACATAAAAAGAATTGTGTGAAGGACAGTTAGTCGTAATACTTACCGATTGTACATATTATTCCGGTTTGTCGAACAAGAGGTGGTTTAGAATCGATGTCCAAAGCAGCCAAATGCTCAAGACTGGAATTAGCATCGGCAGCCTGAAATTGGCAAGAGTATAATTTAGATGGACTCATAGCTCGAGGCATTGATCTTAGAGTAATAATACACCGTTTAATAAATGAGTAGATTATTTCGATTAAAAAGATCGATGGCTTAACAAATTTGTAAAGCAAAATTAATGATGAAGTGAGAATCAACAGTAAGCAATTCTTAGGAATCTATAAAAATGACAATTACTGATAGGAGGATAGAAGCAAATAATCAACCAAAAAAACAACAAAGGGCAAAGTGGTAAAGACTAAATGAAGATCACGGTTGCTCTATTTTATAAAAGGAGGAGCAAGACGAATAAAAACAAGAGAAAAAACTAGTCAACTTGAACTCGAAAAAAATCACAAAACCATGATAGTAATGATAGAAATTGAAAGAAAAGGTAAAAAAGTGTAAATTTTAAGAAAAAAATGAAGCATCCAACGAGTACTTACGGAACTGTATGTTTGACTAACTTGGAAATATTGAGCCATTGGAAATATTGGAAAATGAAATGAGAAAATAGGAATAAAATAGGTAAACTTTGTTGCGTTTCAGAACCAAATTAAATGGACAGTTTAGTTTAAATATTATTTGATTGGAGAGGATAGTTTTTCGGAAGACTAGAAGTTTATTAATCAAAGCACAAAATGCGGGTTATAAGCTTTAATATGGGTGAAACATGGCCTAAGTATAACAGAAAATTGATAAGTTATCCACATAGAGACTTTCTAGTTGCTAAGCTACTTTGATAAGCGAAGACTTAATGTCTGGCTTTGTGGCTCCATCTTTTTAAACCTTTATGTAATACTATGTAATAATAAATGTATTAGATTCAGTTTCATGCAATTATTTCTTAATTGTTGTATTGAAGCAACAATCATTAATGTTCATTTGGTTAAATGTAACCGTTTTCAACGGACTTGAATACACGTCAATACATAAATTCAGAAATCATTCAGGTCGTTATTGAATTTAGCCTTAATCTTTGATATCAACAGTCAAATTCATGAACAATCGGCCATTTATTGGAAAAGCTGTTGGTTTATTAAAGATGAGAATGATAAAGAGACCGATTGATTTCCGATCGAGTTCCTGGGAAATTTTGGATTGCGATTGAAAAAAGCCGTCAGACTTAAACTTTACATGCTCAGCCGTATTTACTTTTAAGAATAATATTCGTTTTTTTCTGGTTTGTTGAATCTTTTTGGGCTCTTATGTTTTCATTTATGTTTTCAGTGGCTTGAAGACTAAAGCAGCTCACATCTCGATTTTGGCTTTTTTGTATATGTATTCAATTGGAAATCGCGATTAAATTGTTGAAAAGATCTAAGAGTAATTAATTTATTAGATAGCCATAATAGCTAACCTTATTACAAATATATTTGTTTTATCAATTATTTCGGCATCTTGCTCATCAAATACGTTACCCTTTGTGTTTTATTTTCATTTATTTCTCATTTGAAGCTGATTCTGGTATATTTTTGGGAACTGTCGTTGATATTGATCCGAATTGTTGACGAAACATCTCGACCATTCAGGATCATTGTTATTCCTTCTAATCAAAGTACTGCGTTTTTGGTCTGTTTGCCTATTATTCTCGAGATCGGGTGGATAAATAATCGATATTGAAAGCAATTCCAATCATATCAATCAATAGTTTTACCCGAAATAACCACATGAAATGAACATGGTGAATCTGACATCATTCTGTTTTAAGAGTCAATCTGACATGAGTGAATGAGTTGCTTTAAGTGTGACATCCTTGAATTTCCCTGTTTCTACTTATTTGTTCACTGCCACCAACAACACGCATCTACCTACATTGTTTTATTTCATCCACTCATTGTTTTAATATAAATTGTTTCTCTCTTTAATATGTTATCCTTTTTGTTTACCTGATCTTAATTTTTTTACTGTTTCTTTAGACATCAAGTGATACTTAAAGATACCTTGAATTAAAAGTTGTTTACATCAGAATAAAAAATGTCATCAATAAGTGAAATTTATACAGATCAACCTCAGAGGCGATTTCAACGTGATCGTGTTATGCTTCAGCTTCCAAATGATTTCCTTCGATTGGATAGTGATTTACGCGAGCCCGAGAGGCATATTAATCTTGACCAGGAGGCAGCTCTTGCCTTACAACATCAATATACCAACTATAACGGTTTTACCGACAACATTAAGGGTAAACTTGTGATTACTGTGGTTGAAGCTAAATTGGTTAAAAATTATGGCGTTACTCGGATGGATCCTTATGTGCGTTTAAGATTAGGCCATCAAATCTATGAAACTAGAACCTGTTATAATGGAGCAAAAAATCCAAGATGGAACCGTATTTTTCATTGGTAATTTATTGAAATGTACCTTGAAATCATATCTCTGAGAGCTTCATTTATACTTGAACATGAGCAAGAGTTAAATTGAGACATGCTAGTCAAAATTGATGCTTTGTTCATCATTTTCAACGGTTCACTCATTTGTAATGCTTCAACAATGAAACTAGTTTATGAGTTAAATTCATTTATTTCTTTAATTACCATTTGTTTTGTTTATGAGAAGAGTAGACAATGAAGATTGAGTAGTCAACAGAAATACTCAATTCTATTAACTAATTATGTACTTTGTTTATTTTCTTTAGTTCCCTACCAAATGGTGTTGATACCATTCACATTGAGTTGTATGATGAATGTGCATTCACAATGGATGAAAAAATAGCATGGGCTGAATATAAAATTCCAAGTCAGATATTTACTGGAGAAACAGTTGAACATTGGATTCCATTAGATGGCAAACAAGGTGAAAGTAGAGAAGGAACAATTTGCTTGATTCTTTCATTTGCAGTAAGTAACCTAATTTATCCTGATTTGATCATCTATTACGAGTATCATTATTATCATCAATGTGTAGCTTTGTAATCATCTTGAGAGTGAAGATTAATTCCGTTGATTGTTTAGATGATTTTCCCATGTGATTATCATTTTCATTACCAATCGCTTGTGAAGGATTAACATTTGAGTTTGTCATATCAGCTAATTATGCACGGGCAGCTATTCAAATGAAGTAAAGCACAATTTAAGACCTTATTTTCATTTCCATTTCCAGCCAATTTCCAGATTGATTGGCCAACAACCGCGAATAGCTTATGTAAATTATAATCAGCAGCCACAGATGGTCATTCCAGTTAATCAGCAAATAGTCCAACAGCAACAACAGCCAGTTCAAGTTACCATCACAGAAGAAGAAGTTGACCAAATTCAAGAAATGTTTCCAAATGTTGACCGCGAAGTTATTAGAAGCATTTTGGAAGATCAAAATGGGAACAAGGAAAGAACAATTAATGCATTGATTCTGGTTAACAGTGATTAATTTGTTTGGAATATTTCTATTTTTCAAAATAATATTCTTTTGTCTTTTCGACAAACTCTCTTTACCTCTTTTACCTCTTCTCTCGTGCCATTTACATTTTACCATGAAAACGTGAAAACAGATTTTAGCGAAGATTTCCAGTTATCTGTGAGTTCCCATAATTTGCATAAGTTGATTTGATTGGTAATGGACCAAGATTGTCACCAAGCGATTCACCAAAATTTTGAATATCCACATAATCGGACACAGTCATCATATCAGCTCATTTTATTGCCATGGAATGCCAGGTTTTCACAAACATTTCAACTCTAAACAGCTGCCAGTTGAATCGGCTTCAATATCCATGGATTATTTGATATTAGTGTTTTAAATCATCTGCAGTTAAATACAGTCAAATCTCCAATAATGTCCTGTAGTAATGGTGACCGAGTAAGCATTGATTACAATTTTATTCAGTTAAATACTTGGATTTTAAGTTGCGTTTTGACATTATATCAGAATTGTTTCCTTTAATACTCACAATCACAAAATTAGGATTACATTTGATAATTATTAAAGGCTATTTTCCCTGAATATTAAGTGAAAATATTAAGGATGTTAATCCCACGACGAGACATTGTGAGAGGTTTGAGTCAAACCGTCTGACTGTATATCTTTTGATTGTGACGCTTTTATTTCGAGAATATCCAAAGTGTCTTGAGATGTTCATTGTACCGATTATCACTGAATCAATCTCAATTAAAATTTCCAACCGTTGTTTTCTGTAACATTTATAATAATTATTATCCATTCAATTATCAATTTTCCTATTGTTTAGCAGACATTTTTATTGACAGCTGAAAATTTTTACACTCAACCTAAGTGTTGTCAAAAACTGTCAAGATGTTATAATGTCAAAAACGGAATACAGCTGACATTTAAAATAAGAAAAGGCAAAATATTATTAGTAATATTGATAGTAATTTCATGCATCTTGATGAAGTGAAATGATAATATTTAGACTGCATTCAGTATGAAACTGACAAATTTTGGATGAATCCGAATGAATTTCAACAACAACTTTATACTTAAAAACATTGTCTTGAGTCAAGAGTTGAATTGTGGAAAAGTCGTTCAAAAGATTCAAGTACCGAAAAGAACCTCAATCATCTACTTACATGATTCCATGTTTACTTCAATTTCTGACTCTTATTTAAACAGGCCTCCAACAGGTACTGACAAAGCCATCCCATTTCAATCTATTTCAATAGATTTTTATTTGCACTTTTCAAATTGTTGAAGGGATAATTCATCATGCTCCAGATTCCGATGCAAGCAAATAGTTTTAATGGAATCAGATTTTTTCCATTTCTATACAATTGAACATATCTCTTGATTATTGAATCTTTCAAGCGCTTCAACAACTTCGTGTAAAAATCAACCTCTAAACTTGGCCTAAAATCAACAAGCTATGAGCATTGTAAATTGTATCGAGAATAACAATTGAAGATTCAACAAGCCTCGAGTCAACGGAGTACTTTCAATGATTGTAATCATCACTCAGAGCTCTGTGTTTGCATTTCAACAAAACTTAATCTAGTTCTTAACTCTTAAAATCGTTTGATGTTTTAAAAGTGAAAAATGATCCTTGAATATGATGTGGCTGTGGTGGTAATCAAGAAACGCTGTCCGACATTTAAGATTATTGATCTGATTTTTAATCATTTTGCTTGATATTAGTTGAAATATTTATAAGAGAAATAGAGAAACAAAGAGGTAAAAGCGAGAGGTGAGAGAGAGAGAAGGTGAAAATGAGAATAAAAAGGATGAGAAAAAATTTACATCACCAAATGTATGATTGACTTCTTAATGAAGATAATTTTGTCTTTAAATTAAAATGTTATGGATGACTGTATGACTTGTTGTCAATTTCATTTGCTCAAGTCATGAAAATGTTTTGTTTTTGTTTGGCCAGTAAAATCAGGCAATTTGATGCAGATGTTGAATGGATTGAATGTTGGGGTTGAAACAATTTGAAGAGAAGGGATTGAAAGGATAAAAAGAACGAATTAAGTCATAAAAAGGGAATCATTAAGAAATAAAGTTTCCCAGTTAAAGATTCATCTCCATTTGAAATAGCTTATAAAAGCACGGCAAGAATTTAGAATTCATTTTATCAATTATCAAATTGTTTTTGTTTGTTTTTTTTTGATGGTCACAATTGATCGTCTAAATTATTAATTTACCAATGATTTATTCAAAGTATGTTAGTTGATTTTTTGTTTTGAGGTTATAATTGTGAGGGTCAAATTGAGATCCGTGTTTTGCTTGGGTGATAAAACATGAACCTTCAATGGTTGGACTTCACAGAAAGAATTGTCTTTCACCGATTTCAATTCCTTGATGCACTGGGTTGCACAAAATGGTAATCAATAGAATTACACTTTTGTCTAAATAATTTACAGATGATCGACAATTGTTTCTTTTGTTGGTTTTGTTGTGGGTGGAAAGAGAGGTGAGAGATGGGTAGAGAAAAAGTGGTGAAATGTGCATGATATAGTGAATAGGATGGAGGAGGAGGAAAGTGAGGCAGAGAAAGAGAGGAAGATAGAGAAGGATGAAAGAAGGATGAAAGGAAGAGAGGAACCAAAGCTGAAGCGGTGGCATTGATGGGTATTTGATGACATTTGTTAGCGTTGATTTGGCATTAACAGAAATCTAATCAAGGAAAACGAAAACAATACATGAAGAAAAAAAGAGCAAGAAATAAGGAGAGAAAGAAGAAAAGAAAATGATTTTCAACACTCTCTGTGCAAAGTGGAAATCAATGAGGCATATAATACAAGATGTAAAATGAATGATCAAATAATTACATAAATGTCATAGGAAAAAAAGGTCTCCTCAAATGTTTTTGCCTTGCTTTTTTTTCTTGAATCTTCAATCTGAAGAAAGGAAGATTCAGTTACAGTTCAAACCTAGCTTAGGTGATATTTCTTAGGTTAAATTTTGTCACTGCCATCTATGAAAAGAAAGAGATCGAGAAAGAGACAAAAAAAATTGTCAAGATTATTTGTAAGAGAAAAAAAAACATAGATTCGCTAGATGGAGTTGTTTTTTTGGTTATAACCTAAGCGAGGTTTTACTGTAATCGGATGAGAGATAGACTCGGGAGGATATTAGAGAGAAAGCGGTTTCTACATGCAAAATAGTTAAGGAATAATAATATTAGAATATCAAGTAAATTTTGACATAGCCTCTCAAATAAGATTCAACTTTCTTCCTCCGAATTCGTGACTGATGTCTGAGTACCATTGAGAACAGTTTTAACATCTTCCATCTCTGTATTGGTCGTTGTGCTGGCATCATTAACTTGCTCTTCAGCAATTCCTCCTGTTGTACTTGAAGCTGACTCTGTAGCGGTTATGGCACTCATTGTCACTGGTATTCCTTCATTAAGACTGTAAAGGTAGAGAGTAAAATTAATAATACAGTTTTCAAGCAATATTACATCAAGTATTAATCTGTCAACTTAAGTTGTATTAATCACAATCTTGTCTATCCTGGTTAAAATGGTTAAGTTTTAGGAAAAGGTAATATTGAAAGACAAACGAGCTTTGATTGGTTATAATTTAGATAATTTGTGAATTTCAATCATTTAGAATGTTAAACAAGAGGAACTGGAAGAATCTTGTCAACAATATTTACTGGAGTTTGCAGGTTTTTCAAAATTGCATAAATTTAATTATAACATGCTAACTAACCATGCAAATTGAATTGAATAAGTTTTATTAACTAGTGTTTCTATTGGAAAAACAATGGAAGGAAGAAAATTGGATGCAAGCTCGCTAAATTGCAATGTTAATGAGCTGATTGCTGACACAATTAACCTGTCTCACCTTATTCTACAAAATATTTCATATTTTCTGGATAAAAGAACCATCCCAATATGATGAATATTTAAAATATTGATATGATAAATTGTTAAACTAATACAAGTTTAAATAATTGAATACCTTCGAACCAAATTTTCTGAGTGCGAATACTAAAAATGATTTTTGACTTTATTACTAAGCTGGTTGAGAAGTTCTTGGCCTGGATTGAGAAAAAAATTAATTATAAAAGGTTTAGAGAGGAAACAAAATTAAAGTGAAATAACTAATTGATATAGAAAATAAATTAATTGAGAGTTTGATTCAAAAAATCATGGTAAAAACAACATTTTACGAAAATGAAAATATAATACAAAATAAGCTATTTGACAATTTGACCCAAGACTTAATTATAGCTGGCGTAGATTTCCGGTTGAGGTTTAACATTAACATTAAAAGAATCGGGTTTATGTTTGTTTTTTGTTATATTTGGATAATCTCAAGGATCTCAAGTTATTCTTGGCTTTTTAAATAAACATAAACATCAATTTACAATGAGCCTGCTAATTAAGATCAGAACTATTTAAACTTAGTCAAAAAATTTCATTAAAAAAAACAGTCTCAATAATCTATATGATTCTAAACAGTGATTCTCATTTGTTTAGTTGGTCAACTCGGAATTGTACTTACTTTCCAATATTAGTGACCACTGTTTGGTACATGGATACAGGTATGGTTACCATACCGGAAACTGGAAAGGCTAAAAATAGATGAATAAAAAGAACGATGTTAATGTTATTTATTTTTTACTTTTTTGCCATTAAACATAAATGAAAAAGAACTTACTGCTTTGAGTTCCATCTTCCCCTGTAAGTATAATTTGACCATCCGGACTAATTGTTGCCTCCGCTAATGTGGCAACTGTTTGACCGGACCCGTCACCGCTTAAATCAACACTCACAGTACCGATTTGAGTAACTCTTTCCCCATCTTGGCCGGTGGATAGTTCAGCCAATGTTTGAACAGCTTGATTTGCCTCACCTCCCGAGCCTTGAATCTAAAATTAAAAGTTATCCAATATATTATTTATTGAAATGTAAATTTAAGTAAAGAAAACTAAACGCATATACATGACAGCTATATCAAGATTAAGTAAAATAACATACTCTAACTGCACTAACTGCTCGAACTTGAGCTTGAGTTCCGTCTGGAAGAGTAACTACAGCAGCACTGTTTGGATCCATTTGGATGAGTGAAACAGTTCCGTCTGGATTGTTAATGGCTTGTACCATGGTCGGAGCATAATGTACCTGTTGATACTGCATCTATTTTTTGAAAGTGGAAAAAGCGTTAGAAAAAAACACGGATTAGATGAAAGTTAGAACTATTTTGGCGTGAATCGACATAGTATTGTCAAAAATGTCATTCGCAAAAAAAACAAAAAAAAATAAATTAAGGCACAAGCATCAACATATCCAAATGTAAGTAAACATAACAAAATTTAAATAAAATAAAGAAGCAAATAAAAAAGTAAAAAAATATATATAAAACTACTTAGGTTGATTTCTGGGGAATTAAGCCAAATCTCGAGCGAGTTCATGGTTTGTCAAAAAAAGTTAAGAGTTGAAATAAATTTTTTTTGTTGGTAAAAAAAATTCATGCCAAAAAAGGAATAAAAATGTTTGAAAAGGAAATCTTTGAAAATTAATAGGGGATAAGTAATTAAAGGAGGAAAAATATAATTGTAGCATTCATAGAAAGAGAGATAGCAACATACATTGACACTTTGTGCTGCTACAGCTAAAGTGTCTGTCGCAGAATCTGCAGTTAAAGTGGGTATATTGTTGACATTAGAACTCCCTGGCACTGCTGGAACTGCTGTTACGCTGATGCTTGTGTGAGTACGAGATTTCACCTTCTCTTTGGAGGTATCTTGTTTCTTGTCATCGTCTTCACTAAATATCGGAAGCATGTCCTCGCGATTATGGTACTTATAACAATTTATCACAATTTGTCGGAGAGCATGAGTCCATGAGACCTGAAATTATGCACGAAAAGAATAAGAACAAATATGAAATCCAGTGTCAACTTTGATAACAGCTGTAACAATTTTGAAGATCGATCTTTGTTGTCAGCTCGATGATTCAATGAAAACAACCAGGAAGTAAACAATTTTTCTATTTCACCTTTTGCTTCTCTTCGTCACTGCGAGCATCACTCCGAACATTCGCCCAAGGAAGATCTTTAGGCCACCACACTGGCCTTGTGGACTCTTTTCCCCAACCAGGTTTACCGCGTCCAGTGGAATATTTCAACATGAGAGGTATAAAAGCTCTGAGTTGTGCTTGAGTCATTTTTTCCACAGGAGTTGGAATACCGTCTACGACTAGAGGGGGTAATTCATGACGAGAAGGATCTTCTTTGACTTGAGGTGGTGCCTGTTGTGCCAGAGCGGCTTCAAGCTCTTGCATTATAATATTCCTACAATTACGAACCTAAAATAACGGTGAAAGCGAAATATTTAATAGCCGCTAAACTGAAACTTTCTCAGTAATGCATCTAGAAGATCATACCACATTTTCCAAAGGTCTAGCACCAAATACTTTGTAATTATTTTGAGGTTTTCCGGGTGTGACTACGAGGACTACCGCTTGTTGACCAACCCGCGTAGTGTACTCGTCGATTGTTGCTTTCAATTTTCTGAGCGTGGGGAGAAAAAAAATGACAGAATCAGAGAAAAATCTCAATAACACGCATGAACTTGAAAGTCAAATCATCATATGTTTGAAACAAACCTCGATAATCTTGTTTGTTGCCGCTTTCTGATAGAAGGATTAGTTTCAAAAGAATGGGGTCTTTTTCTTTTCTTGGCGGTAACTATGGCTGCAGCCGCAGCAACACCAATTGGGCCTAAAACGGGTTGTAAGTAAAGGAGAGATGAAAAGTGAGAATGATTGTGAGAGCAAAACGATAAGCACAAGGAAAAAAGCAGAATAATACTGAAAGTGGCAGAAAGGCGCAAAGCGACCAAGGACAATGTTGCCAGGAGAAACAAGAAATAAAGTTATCGCTTTGAAAGTTGGTGGGGATAAATCCATTTTTCTCGAATTGTAACAATAAACAGAGACACATAGAGAAATACATGGAAGAGTCACAAAATAAAGGAGCGAAAGAAAGAGAGGAAGAAAGAGAAGAAAGAGGAATTGTGAATGAAAAATACACATAAGAAACAAACCTGCTGCAGCAAGCTGGGCTGTGACTTCATCTTGGCAGGATGATGATAATAGGTCGTTATCGTCAAAATTTGAATCATCGTCACTGAGATCATCGCAATCAGTAATATCACTATGGTTCATGATATTATTTGAGGGAGAAGAATCAATTTTCATCTGATTGAATACAATTAACTTTTGTGGACCTAAATTAAACCATCAAAGCTGCGCAGAAATGGAGGAAAATTTTTCTCTCTTAACTGAGATGTGCTACCATCTACCATCAAATCCACTCTTTTTCTTTGTTTGGATCAATTCAAAAAGGTCTTCATATTTACATAACCGATTATTAAATAAACCACATTAAAATTAAATCAGTCAATTTCACCTCTTCATTAATCATCTAATCTAGTCGAGCAAACTAGCAACTTAATTTGAAATAAGCCTAAAATCAGAGATTAACATTGATCCTTGCAAAAAATGCCATTAAAACGAATATTAAGATTCAGATCAAAGTATCGAAACTAAAAATATTTAAAAGTACCGATCTTTAAAATTCAATTGACATCAAAGGTTAAGAGACAAAATTCAGCAACAAATTGCTTGTTACTCATTTAATTTAATATAAAAATGATTTTATTTTTGGATAACAATCAATATCAATTGTATCGAAGATTATCAAGATCAATTGATCCTCATGGACTAGATCCAGAAGAGATATTTGAAACTGAGCTGATAATGAAAGCATGACTTATATGAATAAATATTTAAAACTCTAATTTGTTGTGAATTGGCTTTTTTAATTTAATGAATGCAATTAAACTAGGTTTAGCTTTAATTTTTGCTTTTGTTTTATTATTAAAAAACAAACCTTTCAAATTAACACGTTTGAAAGCAAAGTAAACATGATATCAATCAATCTGAGGAACCATTTCAATAGTACAAACATATAACCTAACTTGGTATTTACTGTATTAACTTAATTTGTCTTTTCAATTTAGATTTGTCTTGGTGTCATGAAAACAATCAACATAACATGGTAAGTTAACAATTAAGATACAAATAGAATCACACATTTGGGTTAAATTATTTTTATCTTTCTGTACACGTTAACATTACCGAAATGAACCAGATTGTCAGGAATGGAAAGGCAAGAAAAAAAGCGGCAACAAAAAATTTTCATTTGTACAAAATACAATCACAATTAACAGTGATAGCTGTTAATAAAACCAGCAAAATAAAAGTATCAAAATGGATACAAATATAAAAATATAAACAAACACACAAAGTGTTGGTCGCAATTGAATGTGAATGATAGTGACACCAATTCGTCAAGCCTGATAATTGTAGAGGTCAAAAATTTGTTTCAATTGCCAACAATAGGTTAATTAAATGGAGGGAATGAAAAAAAATAATGTATAACAATTTAACGTTGATTGACAATCATCAGAGAAAATGTTCAATAATTTGAAAGCACAATGGAAATAATCCAATACATGTGTTGGTTTCCATTCACCAAGTCAACTTTTATCTTATTGTCTCACAATTAAACACAATTGCTTGCCTATCAATTTCAAGCTTGAATCACATGCAATTCAAATATACACTTAAAGAAACATAGTCTTGATAATTCTGATATTAATACACTGAATTCATGAATTTTAATTGAATAATATTGAAGGTAAATAAAGCTACTTTTAGGTTGATCAACTGGCTAGCCATAGAAACTAAATTTATGCACAGTCCCTTTACCGGACTAAATCCAATGGATTTAATCCATAGATAATTTATTTCATAATAATCTGGATTATCTCAATCAAATCGAGTCTTAAATCGAGTGTTATCTTTCATCTTACACCAAATTCAATGTTTAATTAATTACAGTGGCTATTAAATTGAATGTAAGAATAACTTGAAAATGTATCAATTTCTTGACTTCAGTGCTTTACAGTAAAATCTCGCAAAGGTTATATTAGTTTTGTGAACCGGTACCGTTTTATGTAACTGTTTTATCTAATTAACATAATTAAATTGTATAATCGTGTAAAGCATCGTGTAATCAATGTAAAATTCATTGGGAGAATCTTGAATATCCAAAGATGGCGATACTCATGTAACCTTTGCGAGGTTTCATTGTTTTTAATTAGATTTAAACTTTACTAATATCAGGTCATCTCATTGTTTCAAACAGGGTTTTGTCAACACTAATTAACTTTCTCTTTTTTGTATCTTTTCTCACTTTTTATTTCTTTATTTCTCTTCTAAAGAAACTGTCTCCATTAATATCTTTACCGTGATATCTCCTTTGATTGATTATTTATTGCTCTTTGGGTTGAAATTAAAGTTGATTTGATTTTGTGCGAAAAATCGACCTTGATTACATTCTTAAATCAACCAACAGATGGTAGGACAAATGTGCGGTTACAGCGCCACTCTTAATTGTTAGCAACATTAAACTCTTAACTCTTAATTTCTGTCTTCGTTTTGAATCGGATTTGTTGAATCATTCTTAATGTATTAAATTAATATATATAGTTGGTGCTGGTTGATACTTGGAAGTTAATGTAACACTTTCTTTGTATTTACTAAGTGTGTTTAACCTAATTGCTCATTCCATCCGGAATCTTGTAAGTAAATCGCCATTCTTTATATTCTGTCTATTTCTCAGAATTCTGTATCCATTTTTTCCCTGCTCACCTTTCTCACTTATTTTCATCTCAACTTTCTCCCTCTATACAAATTTATCTCCCATTTTCTTACCCCCCTCTCTCCTATTTGTCTCTTTAAACCTCTCTCATCTTCTCTCTCTATCTTTCTCTCACCCCTTTTCTCCTTCTCTTTCTGTCTATCTCGGTCTCTCAAATCTCAACTTATCTCTTAATTCATTTTGTATATAAATTAAATGCTACATTTATTTTTATTTTAACACCTCTAACACATCAAGCCTACCTTATAAATCATTCAGTGCTCAATATATTTCAGTCGTATTCCTCAATTCACTCTTTGTTATTTAAAAATAGTAAACCTTCGTTGCATCGTAGATTCAATTTCGTTCCTATTAATATAGCTTCTAGTATTCCTCTCTCATTTTCTATCATATTTACACTAGTCAAAGAATTGTATTCAACCGTTCTCTTTACTAAGCAGGAAAAAAAAGATATCTTCCAACTCTCTGCCCAACAACCTCAAACCCTTGACTAAAAAAAGACGAACGGAAGATCTCGTAATTTGTATTTCATTATTAATATTGTTTAAAACTGTCTCTGATCTTCTAGTTTCCTCAAATGATATTTATAATTGATGGGCCCTCTATTTAAATCACTATACAATTATCAAAGCTACTCTGATGTCCATTACTGAACCACTTTTCCAGCCAAATTGTTCCTTTTCCTCCTCAACATCCTTTTTTTCTTCTCCACCGCATTTTACCACCATCAACATTATCTTCATTCTTCTCTTCTCTTTTTTTTGTTAGCACTATGTACCGCCATTGTTAACATTGTTTAAAACAAAGTTAATTTGCTCGTTCGTCACAAGCGATTACCAGTCCATCTTTACCGTCAAAAACCCTTTCAACGATCGGATCCCAATCATCTGTATCATCATCAACATTCTATCTGTTAGAGTGATTCTTTAGATCATAAAAAACTGCTCATGTATTAAATCAACGAAGTTGATTGAAAAATCTGGATTCACTTGAGTATCTGTTCAACCTTGAAATCTTCTTTGGCAGCCATTTATCCCAACATGGTAAGAAGTGTCTAGAAATAAGGATTCAAGCGGATTTGCTCACCTTAGACATTTAAATCGACCAATCATCTCCAATTTTGTTAATTTGATTCACCGTTCAGCTATCAACACACCTGGTTCAAAAGTTCCTTCTTTATTCAACTAAGTTAATACCCCGTTATACTTTTGTTTATCCCTGTTCTGTGGTTACGCTTGATTTTTCCGCGAAAAATCAAACCTAAATTTGTGCTTAAATATGGTAGACCAGATAAACGCCCAAAGTTCAAAGAGTAAGAAGTCATTGAGCAAGATGAATTTAAGCAGTATTGCTTTAGTTCCAGACTTACTTAACTGGGTTAACCAATTGTGATATTTCATTTTCTATGCAAATGAAAAAAATTAACCAGGTTAAATATGTCTAACACTCACGAATTTTATTACATTATTTCTCATTCAATTTTTTTTCTACTTTCAGAATCCTTTCCTTGGGGTTATTGTCAAGAGGATGATCAATCTGGTGTCGACCTCGATCACCATGCGCTTAGTCTACTTGCCAATTTTGATATTCTTCCCGATAAAGAAAGTGCTTTGCTACTTCAGGCTTCTGACGAATTATGTTCTAAAATTGACACTAGCAATCCACGTCACCATCATAACCATCAACATATTCAAAATCAACTACAACATCAACCAGAACCTCCTCATGATCTTCATTCACACCATCATTTGCGATCGCTTGAAAGAGATACTCATCCTGCTCGAAGACAATATGTCGGTTCAGTTTCTGATCCAGCTGACTGTGTTTCCCTTTTTACAGATTTAATTTCTGGTATTCAAGAAGTCAAATTTAGTCAAACTCGGGCTTTCGCTGCTACAATATCAGCGAATACAATTGGTCAACCCTATGAATGTTCATCTCCAGTAATCTCACCATCAGAATATCATGGCAACCAGAACGATGTTTTATCACCAGCCTTGATGTCAGCTCCACCCTCATCACCTAATCAATCCAATTGGGTACAAAATACCAACAACAGTAATAGTGGTAGTGCTAGTGGTAGTGGCCGGACCAGTGGCTGTAGTGCAAATAATATCAACGACTCAAAAGCATCTACACACAATCATCGTGATCAGCAACCACATTTTCTTCAACGCAATTCTTCTATTATACATCAAACCAACAAATCAAATGTAATCGAAAAGCATCTACCACCAAATCAACAATCGGATTATTTTACATCTTACGAACGCCCTGTATCCCCAAAATCCTCTAAAGTGGCCTATTATAATTCTGATAGTAACCTTGAAAACGGTGGTGCTGATACTCCAAATGATGCTGATATGTCTAGCCTTAACTGTGATTTGGGTAATTCTGATGATTGTTTAAGCTTAAGTGCTGAAGGGGGTTCTATATCTTTCCTGAGGAATTGTTCAAAAGGCTCCAAAAAAAGCTTAGACAAAGGTTCTGATGAGTACAAAAGACGCCGTGAAAGAAACAATGTGGCTGTTCGCAAAAGTCGAGAGAAAGCAAAGCAAAGATCTAGAGATACTGAGAAAAAAGTGCTTGAATTACAAAATGAGAACGGTTCTTTAAAAAGAAAAGTCGACGAATTAAGCGGACAAATGATGATTCTTCGACGTTTACTAAATAATCACGGAATTTCTCAAGATCATATTGAAGATGAAATTAATCGCACATTTCAAGAAACTCGAAGACCTGGCAATGACTATTGAACTTTGAAAGAATTTTTCAATTAGGAAATGAAAGATTCAAAATCATGAAACTAAAAAGATGAATTAATTTTTTTAAAACTAGTTGATTTCAACTACCATAGCTTTAAACTAAAAAAAGAAAGAATCAAAACCACTCGTTAAGCTCACTGATCTCGTCCTTTACTATTTTCCCACTCTTCTCTCATTCTTTTCTACTCTATTATTTCTAAAGTCTATGTGTCCTTATACCTTTCGTCGTCTCCTCTTTCTTCCTTTTTTTTCTTTCTCTCAACAAAAATCAGAAGAGAGCGTTTAGAGAATTAAAAGTGAAAGTCAAGTCCGGGAATAATACAGAAACACTAATTATATGTTTCTCCATCCAAAATATTAGCAATCTAGTTCTAAAATTCTATTGATTCCGTTAAATATGTTGCCTATAAGTTTATGCTGTTTTAAAAAGATAAAGATCACTTTGGTACCAATAACACGCAACTAATGGAGATGAATCACGGATCCAGTTTAAAATTGTGGTCTATTTAAATGTCTTATAATTTAAACATGGCAATAGAGGGAAGCCAGAAACCCCATTTCAACTCTACTTTTCTCTTTTGTCTGTACATTTGTCAAAAACATCAATAATTCACTATCTTGACATCTCCATGGCTTCAAATACAAAGTTTATGTAAATTAAGAACCCAGATTATCAGTTTGTTCAAAGCTGTTCAATTATTACCATCATCATCATAATCATCATCATCATCCTCTTCATCTCCATTATCTCATATTCATCACCTTTCGTGACATCTCTATCATCCTCGCAATCTTCATCTTCTCATCACATCATCATCATCAACAAAAACAACAATTATCACCCTTGCCACTTCTGTCGTTGCTATCTGGTATCCAAAAAGATTGATGTTGGACGATGAGGAAAAAGTAACAAATATTACCTCATTCACTATTTCAAGTTGTATACATGTTTTGGTTCTATTCTCTTTTTGTTTATCATTGAAAACAAAAACGGAATTGTCTCGTATAAATTGCTCCATATGTGATGGATAAATTCCCGATAAAAAAATCTTCATAAAATTCAAATATCTGTGAAAAAAAGTATAATAAGCTAATATTAATGTAATAATCAGTGATATAATTTAGCGTAAACTTTATGTTGATGACTTACAAGCAAAACAAAAAGGGAGAATCGCGGCTTGAAAAAGCTGTAAATTGAGGCAAAAAAAGGGTTGCGAACCATCTGCAAAATTATCCAAGGAAGGAAAAAACAAGAAACAATCTCTACAAGGAATCACTGTATATCATCCTTTTGATGGCCAATAGCCAATCTAAAATTCAACCTGTCCTTTTACTTGGATTGATCTTGTAGAGGGAAAAGTAATGATTAAATCAGGAAAGTCTGCTAAATTGTTATTTTTATTACACACAAGGAATATGCACTTAATAATGTTTAAGAGTAACATCCAATAAAAAAAATAACATTAGTTTACTCTTGAACATTAGAAACGAGTGAAAACCTTGATAATAAACATAACTTGAAATCAAGCTAAAAATTATATTGAAATGTAACGTTTTCAAACATCAATACTATTAATGTAATGAATCATTGCTAATGATTACAACTTCAACTCGCCATAGTCATCAAGCAGAAGACCTGTTGACCTTCTTGTTCTCTCACTCTCCGTTTATTTTGCCTCTACTCTCCCTTGATTCCTCTCTCAATCTCCTCCTCATGATTTTGTTTAGGATTCAACAAAATCAAGTTGATTGTCAAACAACAAAAAAATGTTTCTTAAAGGGTGTTTCAGTTAACTAGTTCCGAAAAGGAGGAGATTAAAATGTCGACGTCGATGTTTAAATGTGAAATGATCAATTTTGAAGAATACACTTCAACAAATGAAATATCTATGATATTTAAAAAAATATATATCAATCAAAATGTAACATTTAAAATTTACTAATGACTTAAATTTGAGCTTAAATTTATTCTCCACCTTTTCAGGAAAAGTTAATAACAATCTTTAAGAAACCAAACAACCAAACCTACAGTTCTGAGCAACAATTTATCTGAAAATGATTTTTTGAAACAATGTTAACAAAATATTGGTCAATTGAATTATCACTGTGGTCCAAAACAAACACAATTTGAATTTTAATCATGTTAAAGATTGTGAAAAAATCTGTGTCTTACCTGTTTCAGCGGCCTCAACCCACTCAACCTTTGTTTTGCCTTGTTTTTCACTCAACCTTGCCCTTTTCATTACTCAGTCTCAACTTCTGTTCGATTGTTTTCATCTATCAACAATCAATACACACACACACACACACACAAACTCAACAAAAAACGTAAATAACAAAAGGTTAAAAATCATTAACCTCTACAATTTGTAAAAAAATAATCCAAGAAATCCTGATAAAAATGCCTGGAAAAAGTAATCATGTCAATATGATGCTACTGATAATTGATAATATGTCCAAGGAAATTTAATTCAAACAAATGTACAAATAACATTTTCGGGGGGATAAAAAGGCTGAAAGATGCAAAAAAAATATTTTGTCCTCTTTTCTCTTTTTCTTTTCATCATCTTCAAGTATTATTTTCCATCACTTTTTCTTCTCTCTCTTCTCTTCTCTTCTCTCACTCAAATTCCTGGTTCTTTCAACATCTTGTTTCTTTTAAATATATATAAATATATTTAATGTATATAAATTAAAACACAGTTTCCCTTTTCATCTCGTTTACTTTTTGTTTACTCAATTCATATTGTGTTCACTCGACAATTTGTAATTTCTTCAGTTCGGCTAATAATTCCTTTTCTTTGCTTATTTTGACCAATTGATTCCTCTGCAATTGTCCGCCACTACTTCGAACAGTCTTGAGATTTTTGATGGCCTCCAGTTTTTTCTCAATCGCTTTAACTTTTTTCTCTCTATTATCTTTATCGTTTGACTCTGATCCTGAAGTTGCTCCTGTTGGTGCTGATGCTTCTGATGCTTCTGGTGCTTTTGCTGCTGGAGGCTTCGCTTGGCGATCACCACCACCGCCACCTCTTCTGCCACCTCTTCCTTTAGGTCCTTTTGAACGTAAGTTTGCTGATGATTTTGATAATGGTCCACTAGTAGTAGCTTCTAATGTTGCTCCTTTTCAAAGAGTGACAAGAAAATAAAAAAGATAAATAATTCAGATCATTAATTAATTTAATCCTTCATCCTCATCGTGTTCGTCTTCACCAGGTAAATTTGATTTCATTTTTCTTCCTTTTGTCTCTTCACTTCTCACACTCAGCAGGTAGCCATCATTATCACTAGAAAGCACATTTAGTGTAGTTAATTTAAGTTCATGAATGTTGACAGAAAAAGAAAGGAGCGAACGATTGAAGAGAGAAGAAAAAATCGACTGTTTACTATTCTACTAACCTGAATTTCGTAAATGTGGTGGCACATATCTTTTCGGTTCAGCTTCTTTACCCAAATTAGCTGCTTTTATTCCAGTTTCCGTGATCATGGGTGCATTGGGAAAATCATCACGATTGGGTCTCCAAATTGAACGGAAAAGCGAATCACCATCGGGATATTGAATTTCTCCAATCAATTTACCTGAATAATGCCAAACTCGGAGACAATTACCAACTCTCATTCGTGGAGAGGTAACTGCTGTTAGTAAGTGAGCCCCATCAGGTGCCCAGTTGATATATGTAGTATCAGGGCTAGTGAGTTGAGCTAGCAATGTTTTCTTTTCCGAATTATATACCGATAAACCTCCACGTAAGTTACCGAAGCCGGCAAATATGACAAGATTGCCAAATGGGTTAAAGTGTATTTGATTGATGTGCATTTCACCAAATGAATGAATAATTCGGCCATCAGAATCCACGAAAGCAAGTTTAGGAGGAACAAAACCATAGGAGACACAGAAGAGAGTTTCAGTGGTTGAAGGGTGCCATTCGACTGCGTGAATAGGTCCTTCCTTGTCCAAGGTGACAGCAAATGCTTTACCATTTACATCCATATAATTCAAATTTTGCTCGCCATAATAACTTTTACCAGTTTTATCAACATCAGCAGCACACAATATAAGTACAGCATCACCTAAAACGAAACAAATAAGGTTAATATTAAAATGACTATAATTTAAAAAAAAAATCAAGTTCAGCTGACCTCGAGATCGCCATTTAAAAGTTGTTCTATCAGTTCGGAAGAAACTTTTAATAGCTATGGCAGTTTCCATTTGCGGATAACGATACAATTTAACGAAGTTGGGTTGTCCATGGGTTCCGATAGATAGACAAGCAAAATAGTGTACACCAGATTTAACGTGAGTCGTTAAACTAAAATCAGCGACCTTTTGGGTGTAAAATTTAGCGATGTATCGAGTGAAATCATTGTTCTCGTAAAAATGTAGCTCCTCATTGAAAAATCTGACACAGATAGACTCATCATCTGTCCAATGTAACCTCCATTGAGCTTGCTTTTGCTTCATAGTCTTTGAAATGGAAGAAAAGAAAGAAGAGGAACTATCAATAGGTTAATAAAGATCCATAGAACAGTATTGCTTAGGAACAAGCTCATAATCGTGAAATTAACTAGAAAGATTGTCTCACCTGAACCAGAGTATTACTTTTGATATCATAGATCATTAAATTGTGATCTGTTGCATTTTTAGTGTAAACCCATGCTTGAAGGAAATTGTTCTTGGGGGATAAATCAACAAACTGAACTCCTGGAATGTCTTGAGTAAACTTAACACTCCGGTCATTTAAATCAACCACTTTAGTAGATACATTGTCCGAGAAAGCAATGTAATTACCATCTTTTGAGATTGTCAAGGCTCGGGTTCGACCGGAAAAAGTTTCAATCTGTTCAATTTGTGGGGGACCAGATAAAAGGTGTAATCCTTGGTAATCTTCATTTATTATAGACAAATTTTCTGTAGAGTCGGAAGCCATCATTCAAGAGGATCAGAATTACAATCAACTAATAGACAGAAAATATTAAACAAAATATTAAATTAATACACAACTAAGTTAAACTACAATTAATTAGAAAGTAAACATCAGAGGATCAGCAGAGGCATGGTTTTCATTAGAGACCAACTGTTCACATTTGTGTTTGTTATTGTTTATTGGTTGCTGTTGCGCGCTTAAAATGATTTCCCTTAATGTGCATAGAATCATATTTTTTGCTTTTAATTAAATTAATCTTAAATTTTCCAATGTAATTATGATACTTAAATGAATATATTAACAAATAAGTCTTATAACGATTCAATCGCCCAATCCAAACCATTCATTTTGAGTATACCAAGCAAACCAATCATTTCACCATCTCTATGATTCTTATTCAAAAAGTAAAGGAACTCTACTCTTTGTTCCTACTGATTATTTGATAGACCGACACAAATTACGTTGTAATAAATTGTAATTAATTTTTCGCTTATCCTTTACCATTAGTTAATTAAGGAAGGCTTTTGCATCAGTGGAAAAAATTCAATAGAAAAATGTAAGTATTTAAACGATGTTAAGCATAGCTAAAAATAACAGAGAAATTTTGTTTACTAAGAAACTAACTAGCAAGCTCATTTCAATTGATTTAGATAGTTGACTTACAATTGCTGATTTAATCAAATTAGACAACTATTTCCATTGCCTGGAAAATCAATCCAGCACAAGCCTGATCTCAACAGTTTTTGATAGCAATCACATATATTCCTTTTATGCATCCAGATGATAACTTATTATTCTTATCGATTGTGGTAATTCAACCTGGATTTTATGGAAAATAAATGAATGATTAAAACCTTTTGTGTTTAATCAAAAAATTGAATCCAATTGAGATTTTACTTTACAAGGCAACATAGAACCATATTGATTGATACGATTTGTCGTTGTGTTACAATTATAAATGTTCATAGTGAAACAATAAACTGGCTCATTGGTGATGATTAAGTGAATTATTATTACTATACTAAAAAATTCTTCTAATCAAACCTAATTCATTTCAATCCTGTGATAATCAAAAACATTGTCTTTTCTCAATGAAAATTGAAACAATTTCCCCAACAATTTTATCGGCAGCAATAGTATCAATATTTTGTGTCTATCGATCTGCTCAATATTGTGTCACATTTGATTTTGATGATCCAACATCCAGAGATAATTTTAAATCTTTGAAATCAACAATATTTCAATTGGATAACAATTCAACGGTAAACATTATCAGTCCAGGGTATCATATATTTGAACATTATCCAGACGATATCCTCTGTTCGTGGATATTGATCGCTCCGACCGGTTCTCTTATAAAAGCCATTTATCAAGATTTTAACTTGGAAGTCAGTTTCCATTGTGCTTTGGACTCACTATGGATATTTGATGGAAAAACAATAGACAATTCAACCGATTACCAACCTGATTACCAATTTTGTGGTTCACTTTTACCAGAAGACCAGATATTTGCTTCATCCTATGTTAACCTCATCTTTGTGACCGACTCACAACGTAATTTTCGGGGTTTCAATATATCTTTCCAAGCAGTTGATCCAATAAACGGTAAATTTTACATTTAATTTTCATCAAAAGTGAAATATAAATTCAATTACAAGAAAACAATAAAAATCTTATAAATAAGCTCTTGTTGGATGTAAAGTTAAGATTTCAACAAGTGTTTAAAGTTGAAAAATTTTATATCAGATGGAGCTATCAGTCTTTACCTGGTATATTTTGTTTACATTTTGTTTTTTATAAACAATTTATCGTTAATTGAATTGTTTTAATTATGTTGTCATTGATAGCAGTAAAATTAGTTAATTTAAAGTTTAAAGTTGCTTATTTTGGCCCTTTGTTACACTTAGATGAGTAAATAGTGAACAATCAAGGTTTCCTTCTTGATCTAAATGAGAATTGTTTTTTTTTCTGTAGTGACCATCTGATTTACAATTCAAATTGACTGCCGTTAAACATTGAATACAAACAAAATGTAAATAAATTGCTGACCAATTTAGATTTTTACTGTTTAACCCTGCAAACTAAAGGTTAAACAATACTATTATTAATATGAATAAATTAAAATTCATCAGTAAACAAACTAAAATGAGAAATGAGAAATGATTTTGTTGTTGGCAGCGATGATGAAGATGGAGAAGTAATAAGCAATTAAGGACATTCCAGGTAATTAGATTTGATATAATATTGGACCTAAACAGCAGATATTTAATACTAACACTTAAACAGAAGACAAAATTTTCTAAAAATCTTATTTTAGCTAATTGTTTAAGGTAAGTCAAGGTTTTAAAATAGCAGAAACATCAAAATTGTAATTCACAAGTTGAATTATTCAATGTGGAAAGACAATAATGCCAACAAATTGACAAGTTAACAATTCAAAAAAACAATTAGAAGATCAAATTGAATGTTACTTTTGTCAACAGTTATTGATGGTCAATACTATTGTTGACATGAATATTGATTAGTTGAGAAATGTTAATTGAATGGTTTAAAAGGTTAGAAAGTTTTAATTGTTGCGGTTAAAAGTAAAAGGAGATTAACTTGAAAAATAGCTCAAAGTGATACAAAAGACTGCAACACAACATCTTCCTTTGTGACTGATTATGATCAAAATGATATTTAAAGTTAATCAAGATTTACCTTTAAATAGCAACAATTGTAAAGCACAATGAAACAAAAAACCGAAAAACACAAACTAATTAAATTGTGATTTTCTAATGATGCTCGAAGTTTACTTTTTCAGTATTTTTACAATCTTCTTCTCCCACGATTTTAAATTAATCAATTCACTTCATAATAACGAATCTAAATCGTGATTAAAGCAACTTTCTCCTTTTTTCTTGTCTCCTTTGATCCTCCATCCTCCTATCAACTCGAAACCATCACCATCCTCATGCTCATCCTATTATCTTCGTCATCTTTTCCGTAATCGTACTCCTCTTGATTTATGGTAAACAATTATTTGTTTATTAGCTGCCATCCATGAATGTGACTTTTCCACTCAATTTTTATGTCAAAATGGTAATTGTCTCAACATTTCCTTGATCTGTAATGGAGTTGATGATTGTTACGATGGTTCCGATGAACAGCCATGCTATCCTAATAGAGATAAAGACGATGATAATAAGGATAACAGGAAATTAATTTGTCCTTCTCAATCAAAAGGAAGACTCTCAATTATCGGCGGAACAGCGTCACTTCCAGATGAATGGCCATGGCAAGTATCTTTAAGGAAAAGGTCCCATAATCACCATTGGAATCACATTTGTGGAGCCGTTTTAATTGACTATTCAATTGTTTTAACAGCAGCCCATTGTTTTCAAAGGTTAGACCCTTTGATTAAAATAATTACGAGAACAAATCAAAATACTTAAATTAATTATCACAAAATAAACATTTAAACCAATTTGAAAGTGAAAAGGCAAAAATCAAGGGTAATTTAGAGACTAACTCAGCTGACCTATTTAAGTCATAGAGATGAACCCATTGCCATCTATCAATAATTAGCGTCAACATTTTTCTAGAAAATTTTAATTGCTTGTTTTTGATAAATAATTGTTGTATTTTTATCTAATTTAGTGAAACTCTCGATATAACCAAATATTCATTGGCTTTTGGACAATACCGATTAGATCCCGATTCAAGTGAAACCAATTTAACCGTAAGATATTTACGAAAAGTAACAATTCATCATGATTACCAACTGAATGGAGTAAGTTTATCAACAATTTTATATTCAAATTATTTCTTAAATTTTAATCCGACAATTTAATTTACTATAAGAGCTACTAAATCATCGTATTTCTCCCTGATTGTCACCAATCGAATAAAGCGTTGAAGCAAAAGACATAAATCTCATGTTTATAATTAATAAATCAAGAGTTAATCTATCATTGAATCAGCTTTCTTCATTTTTGTTTGGCCCATTAACATCTTAAACATTTTGATTTTGTCTCATTAACTTGTTAGTATAAACCTGAAATTAATTTGTTTATAATAACATCAACAATAATGAAGATAATAATCAACCGGTAAATATTTACTGTCAATATCATTAAAGTTTAATGATGTATTTAATGTGTGTTAAAAGCCATTCATTTGAAAAGTCTCCGGTTAATTGGTTCACCTTATAATTATTAGGCTTAATCTCTATAACAGTTGATTAGTATTCAATAAGAAAGATTTCTTATTGTTTAGTTAACTGTCTTAATAGCAATTTAGCTAGTCTATAACCATAAGTCTGTTTACAGGATTTTTGTATAAAACCAACTCCTAAAGGTGAACAGATTAGATGAAATTAAATCTGAAATACTTAATATTTCTTTTGACAAACAATCAAAGAAATTGATTTAAATTTGATATTAAATAATAAGGTTCATTATGTGTTGAGATAACAGAATTAATTAATGAATAAGAATCAAATTAAACCAAGTTGTCAATGAGACATTTGTTGACGTTTTGCTGAGAAAGTGAAAATGAATTTATTTCCTTAAATCAATCTCATTTGATGCATACAAGTCACACTAGTGAGCACAACAATTAATTTAATTTGGTCTGTTTTTAAGTTCATTGTAAGAAACAGGTTAAAGGTTATAAATGTAACTTACTTCGTTAACCAGCTTCAGGTTAATGTTTTCAATGTTTTCAGTGTTGCACTATTGTTTTTTACATCTTAAACAGTAAAGCAACTCAAAAAACAACAACATTAAGTTCATTGACTGTTAATGAAGAGACCAAAACATACATTTAAATTGTGACCATAACACTATTTGAATCAACTAATTATCGTGATCAAATTGCATTAAGAATTTTTTACTTTTTCTCTTTATCACAGGTAAATGGTAAAGAAGATGATATTGCAATCATTCACTTGAGTTATCCAGTTAAAAATTTGCCCAATATTAAACCAGTTTGCATTTATAATTGGACAAGATTTGATGATTTACCCAAATTTGGTTTTGTCACTGGCTGGGGTCAAGGTAGCAAATATTATTGAATGCTTTAAATGTTATTCCAAACAGTTGAACAAAATTATTCCAATCAATTCAGGAATGTCCGTGAATCTGAAATTAAACCACCAAGTAACATTTCCATGTAATCGCATTACTCCAATTGTTTCATTGCAGGTAACAGTGATATAATTAATATCTTATCCGAGGTTAGTTTACAATTGATATCTGGTTCAGATTGTTTCCACTATTATGGAAATGAATTTTTCATTGATACTGATAAAATCATTTGTGCGGGTCGTAAAGAAGGCCACAAAGATTCTTGTAAGGTAATTATCCTTGCTTTTAAATGTGCCACCAATGTTACCAATAATTGATTAATTTTTAAATCATTGTTTAGGGTGATTCTGGTGGTCCTTTGGTTGTTAATAAACATGGTGTTTGGTCCTTAATTGCTCTTGTATCCAGTGGGGTTGGTTGCGGATTGCCAAATAAGCCAGGAATTTACACCAACATCGGCTATTATATTGGTTGGATTAATGAGACAATCAGGAGTATCGATGGACGTTGAATTGCAACCATCCTTCAATGAAGAAACAATGCTTATTTTTGGGCTAATCTAATTATCTACCATTCAATGGATATAAACTGCTCATCGTCGTATTAACGCATTAATGTCAAATCAATCAAAATCATGATCCAGTTCTTGAAATTTCCATCAAATTGATCGGCTACAATCACAATATAAATTGTTACTGAAACAATAAAATAAAATAAAAGAGAAAATTATTTTTCAATAATCATTTGAAGTATTTTTGATTAATTTTTACTAATTTTCATGATGCCATTTCAATTCACTTACAATCAATTTGAATGAACTAATTTTGATATCAAGTCACCAAGAAATTAAAACATGTTTTTCATACTTGAAGCATAAATCAGCGCACAGTGTCAACGACCCGGGTCAACTAGGGTAGGTTAATCCAAAGAAAAAAACTTTTCAGAAACCAGACTGAACGGGATTTAAAAAATATCCTTTCCTTGATCAAAATATTTCATGATCATACGGATCCAAGTTTGCCCATCATTCAGGTTGAAATGAAAAAGTAGCTTGAAGTTTACCTTTACAAGTGGATACATCGCAATTAAAATAATTAAATCTACCTTCGAAACTTATGATAAATTTGAATCTGATTATAAATTGATAATGTTACTTCAAGTGTACATAAGTCTTAATTGTATTCTAACTTTTTTAGTTTGCCTTATCCATGGACAATCCAATGATGAAAATCTTGAAAAGATTCTGGTTCCTGGTGGGCAGCCGGTTTTATTTATGGAACAAGATATGTCATGGGAAGATCGTAAATCCAAAGGATGGAGATTAGTTTTAGCCCAGTTGAAATCTAAATCAAGCTCATCTTCATCTACTACGTTGAAGCTAACTCAATTTGGTGGTTCAAGTCATCCATACTGGTTTCGAGCGTTAAAATCGTGTAACCATTGGGACAATTATTTTGAAACTCGACAGATTCTCCAACTAATTGGGTCCAATGTGACAGTTAAATATATCCCAAGTAGCTCAATGGATGAGATCGTCAGTGCTTGTGCTTTGGCCAAACGATTGAAAAGTCCATTATCCAATCAAAGTGGCCTACAACAATCAGATCAAAGTAAACCAGAAGATGAGACCAATATTGCTGAATTGTTGATGGCGAAAGGAAAAGGTTCAAAAGTATTGTTGATAAAATTTGAGAATCAAGATGATGAAGCCAATAGAGAAGTAAAACCGGTTTATGGTGTAGCTGTTCACTTTAAACACGAAACAAAAGCTTCCAACGATCCAGATGATGATGATACAGTTAAAATAGATTACTGTAGAGTATTTAATGAACAAACTGTAAGAAAATATTTAATTGTCCATCCAAACATATCAGTAATCAGCTTGAAAACAGAATCCATTGAAAAAATTTACCCGCTCTGTGAAAACAGTTGGAAAGGGCAAGGGACCGTTACTCAATTACATCAGAACGATATCAAGCTGTTTTCAAATGTAATAGGTTTGTCTAAAGCTTCACCAATTTCATTCAAAGAAGTTGATAATGAAAGTTGGCAATCAAAAGGAACCCGAAATTTTTTAATCAATGTCTACACAAGGACATCTGCACGTCCATTCACTTGGCTATTAAATAATCCAGATAGTCTACCTCAATGGAGTCTGGTCGTTGACCATTGTGACATCTTTTCAAATCCTGATGTTGTTGATTTGTTTTCCAGTGAACAAAATGGCTCACCAAATTATCTGGTTGATCGATTATCGATAAAGTTTCTTTTAAATGTTTGTGACCATGTTAATCTGAACTAAATGTTTTACCTTCAACCCTTCAAATGTGTTCCAATATAATGAAAATGTTAACATAATTCCAGTCAAGAAGCCTCAATTGATTGTCAGCATCTGTTTGATGGTTTGCGTATCCATTTCGGCATGTTGGTTGGAAAGACTAAAGCTTCATTGGAGATTTTATAATAGATTTCAATAGCTATTAACACCATTTTTAGGCTCATTTCCAGACCAATCATCATTTTCAACCAGAAGGATCAACAAGAGAGAGAGAGGAACAGATAGACGGATGGAAAGATTAAATTCTGGGCTTGTCTATTAACTACTCATCTTCACCTAAACTCAATTTAGCTGATAATCGTGAAGTACATTGATGGTAATGATAGATGATTTTCAAAAAGAAGAAAAGATTTTGTTCATCGTTTTTGACACAATCAACATCAATATCTAATCTCATGCTTACATTATCTTCACCTTAATTCCATCCAAGGGTTGGGTTGAATCGTTGATTGACATTTACTTTAATAAACACCAACAACAATTGGCTACCTGATATATGATTGCAATGCTTAACACAACAATATATAATATTAATTTAACAATCCCTTTGGCTTGGATGATCCAGGAAAAGTTACAATCTCAAAGGAAACCCTTTCATCTTAAAGTAATTACTATTAATCATGGCTGCTAATCTGGAAATCAAATCACTTCTTTGTATAACTATCATCAATATCAACATGAACATCATAATTTAATTAAATCCAACCACCAGATTAATTAGATACAAATAACAACAGAAGGATGTTAATCAGTAAAAAAAGAGCATTAGTAAAATCTGATGTAAAAGGGCTTCTGATCTTACATTCAAGCAGTTTTAATGTTCATCATTAAGGATACAATTTAACTAATGTACACATTTTGAAGAGCCAAAAGTATCACAATAAATGAAAATTGTTTAACCTGTCAGGATACATTTACATAACGGATATCTGTGAGCTGAGATGAACAATCAATTGGTTGACTGCTGCATAGTATAATTTGATATAATTAAACAACCTTATGATAAACCAAGGATAAAATAGTATTGTTGATAATCAAGCCAACAGTTAACAGTATGACATGGTTTCACTTAACAAATCTTTCAATGCAAATCAGTAAATCAGTATCCTTTAACTATGACCTACTCTGGGTGTTTGCTGTGCATTAGTTGACTGACTATGATAAGCATGGCTACCATTTGGTGTAAAAATGTTTGCTATTTACCTGTATAATTGTATGTAATATTTTAACTTGACAAATGTAACAAACAAGATTAACAAGCAACAGCGAGAAAATGTTGATTGTATTGAAAAAATGTTTATGTAAAGATGTTTAGTTAAACTGTTAGCAGTTTAACAATTCCAACACTATCAATATACCATGATAATCACCATTCAGAGTCTAGACTTGTTCATCAACTATTCATAATGATCATTACAATAAATTGGGTAAATAATGAGATATAAATGAATAAATATTTTCATGTTTTACCATTAGATTATCATTTGAACGCTTCTCATTGAAATTAAACAACCTATTCTTGATTGAAGCCTTCAACCAGCAAGCAACTTGAAAAAAACACGTTTCCAACAATTAGGCCTGAAAAGAAGTGTTGATTGTAAATTTTATCGTTCATTTTATTTCATCCTTTCTTCCCTTTCTGCCTCCACCGGTCATTGTTGGTTTAAAAACCAGATTAAATAGCCAAATGGCTGGTCAAAAGGATAGGAAGATGATATTGACGGTTAAAGCGTTGATTTCAAGTGTTGCTGAACAAAGAAGATCGTTGAAAGTAAATTACATTGGATTATCAATAAAGGTTGACTCTTTGTTTGCTTATTTGACCGGATCTTTTCCTGGTTTTATCTGATTCATTTTCCAATCATTTGTGATCAATGAATTTATGATGAAAGGATGAAGATCAAAATAATAGGATCGCCTAGCATTACGGATGCAATTTGAGCTGAAAAATCTACGGAACATCGCCAGATAAAGAGTTTGTTTGATTTATAAACCGTACAAGTAACGCGTTTTAAGATCTAACAGTGTTATTCAGGATAAGTAGAGTTGATATTAATTATTGTACTATCGTATGTAAAGCTCACATTCTTGCAATTTCAGTTTCAAGTGAAGTTTACATGTGAAAAGTGTATAAGCGAAAGGACTTGATTACTTGATAATAATTGATAGCACTTGCATGTTAATCAATTGTTGGAGTTAACCGAGATGGGCATTTGTTTACCTTTTGTAAAGATGAATATCTTTGGCTTTTTTGCGGTCTGACTTACTCGCTATTGATGACAATAGGTTTTGAATTGCTCCAAAAATAGACAAATTATCATTCTTAATCACACTCATAATCACCATTATCATGATTATCTGTTGTGAATTTATTCACGTAAATCGTGAAATATATTTAAATTAAAAGATCAACAAGCTACAGGCTAATCAACCAACCATTAAACTCAGCTTTTTTTGTTACCAGTTTCAAGTGTATTAATAATATCATCACTGATCTAACCTTTTCCGTCTTTTTTACTTTTATTATTAATACAAGTTATCATTATCACTAGTTGATTGTCCATTATTATCCATGGAATCAATAAACTGAATCATTCTTTTATAACAAGTTCAAAGCTAAATAACCAGTATAACGCAAATTTGATGGTCAAGTTTAACATTTCTCAATCGCAAGCTTAACCGAAAATTAGAGCACCCAACTGACGAACCAATCCTTTAATTCAAACTAGAAACCAAGATACCAGCATATAATCCATGGTAATAATTAACAACAAACATGACTCTGAATAGCTTCACTCTGATCCAGTATCAGTGTGATCATGATATTCATTAATTTACTGACAATGACGATATATCATCGGACAGTAAACATTTGTCCACATCTACTAGGTCTTAGTGTCTGCTAAATGAGAACATATTCGTTGTGAGGTCGAAATAGCTCCAACAATTCTCTATAATTTAGGCAAGACCAGATTGTGAACACAAAAGCTATTCAAAAAAGCGACTAACAGACGAGTGTTTCTTTCTCCGAAATAACGCTTGTTTCTATGAATAGCGACTGCAACAGTCCAAATTTAAACCTTAGTCAGTATCATCGATCCACTTTATCTTCGCGATCTGTTACCACATTTATCACCCAATCTATTATATAATCTAAAGAGTTGTCTCCAAAGAATCGAGACTTGAGATGAGATTAAAAGCTGTAGAGAACCTTTTCCAATTACGACCGTCAAACTGGTTTAGGGAAGGTTTCGAAGAATTGCCAATCTGTTGCCAAAAGTGCATCAATGCATCATCAGAACACTTGAAATAAAAATCAAAAAACTCTTAATTTTCATACCAAATTGACTATTTACTGATCGCTCTAATAAATGTTAAATCAAGAAAAAACTTTGTTTACAGGCAAGTTGATAATTTTAGGTAAAGATGTCACCACAATCAACCAACTCACTCAGCAAAAATTCAGCTTCAGCTTGAAGAGTTTCTTGGACTCTTCATTCAGCAGAGTTTACTCTTCGGATTGAAATCTATTCTCATTTACTTTTTGTTTCACTTTTTTTGTTTTAACCAAAAGTCTTAGCAATTAAATTTCAAGTTTAATTCGGAAAACATTTGATCAACTAATAAAATTTAAAAGCGCATGTGTCGGGATGCGCTTCAGGTGTTGTTTCCTGTTAACATCCACACTTGTTTATTGTTGCTCTTGTTGAGAGTCTTTGCTCTTTGTTTGGTTTTACTTTTCAATTGGATTTACCATCTTTTTCGGTTCTTGTTCAACTTTCAACAGAATTTCTGATGCAACCTTATACACAATCATCACCTTCTTATCCAAAGACAATGGACTCGGCAACTCGAATTGTGCGTCTTTGTCGGATTGGCAAGTCATCCCTTGGTTTCTCAATTAGAGGAGGTAAATATCATTAATATTTTTCTTTCAAAATTATATCATCATTGCCGTTCTAATTTTATTATTAAAACAAAAGGTTGGGAACATGGAACAGGTGTTTACATATCGGAAGTACATCCAGGATCAGAAGCTTTCCGTGAAGGATTAAAAGTAAGAAAAATGTGCCATTTTTATTTGACAAAAAAATCAATCTTTCTTTTTTCCCGTTCAATGCGCTATGACAGCGAACAACAGGGCGACTCCTTATAATCCACCCAGTACACTTTAAATTATTTACCTTTACTAGTTAATCGTTCAACTCCTACTCTTTACAATACACAAATTAAACTGTTGATCATCAATTGTACAATTATTATTCACAGCAATTTACATGAACAGTTAAATCATTGAATAGGGAAAGGAAAAGACATCTAAAAAGGTTCAATTAGACATTCGATCAAAAGTGAACTTAATTGTAATCAGATTTTCCAGTTGTATATGATAATAATACTTGATAATAATAAGCATAACAACGATGATAATAATGGTAATGATGATTTATAAATAAGTTTGATTCCATTTCATTTTTGGCAACCTTTCCGATTCAATACCTACTGACCAATACTTGAAATGTAAAAGTCTGCATTTGATGAGAAACTTGAAGCAAAGAAAAAAATATTACTTTTTTTTGTGTAAACCAATTATTTTGATTTTTTTTCATTATCATTTTTGATCTTATTTTGGTCATCTTGATTCATCATCATTATTATCATCAATACTCATCTTTTCATCATCTTTAACTCATCTTCTTTCATCAGAAATGGATGATAGTTTCTCATCTTATCTGCACTTTTTTGTTCTCCTCTTCTCTTTCCAATATATCCTTAACTTGCAACCTTAAAAATCTTGTTTCATCTTCACTTTGATTGTTATTGGTAATCAACTAATTGCTACCTTTTTCATTCAATTGATTTCACTCGAACCAATCAATCAAGATGAATCATAATCATTCATCTGCCCACAATCACCAACTAGCCAATGTCAATATTACTTTCATTGTTACCTCTTACGCCTCTCACCATCATCACCATCATTTTCACCATTATTGACCACAATGATTTCAAAAGCAACTTTGTTAATTTAATAACCATAATCAGTCGCAATTCAGTGAAAGTATCATGAATGAACAGCTTCCAGTAACTCTCAATAGTTTCATTTTCATGAAATGTTAACTACCTTTAATTGTATATTCACATATAGCAAGAAATTGATTGAGAAAAAGTGTTTCTTGCCCAATTAAACCAATTTAAAATGATGACTGAAATGAATAATCAATTTGTTCATTTTTCTCCTTTTCACAATTTAACTGTAAAATGATTGTAATTATTTCTAATTTATGTTTGTTTATGTTTATTTTAATCACAGCCCGGTGATCAAATACTTAGAGTAAATGGTTTCATCATTGAGCAAGCAATTCACGAGGAAGTAATTGCACTTATAAAATCATCTTCACGGATTACATTGAAAGTTAAATCAGTGGGAATGATTCCAATTAAATCAAATCGTTCAGAAACTCTCTCATGGAAGCTGATTGATAGTTCAAAGATGTCACCAAGCAAAACACCAGCAACAACCACAACCATTCACGTTAATGGAAACAATTTAAAGACAATCAACAACAACATGAATAATAATAATAAAAGTAGTTCCAATAGCAGTGTTGTGAGCAGTTTAAACAGTGATAGTAACAGTAATAGCAGTGATGGAAGTAACACTAATGGTCATCACCATCATCATCAACACTTACACCGAACCCATCATCATTCCCATCATCCTGGTCCACCACCACCACCACCACCATGTCCAGTTCACTCAGTTTGGTCAACTTTCTCTTCTAAAAGTTCTTCCTCCAATCGATCTTCCCTTTCCTCTAGTCAATCATCTGAGGATCAATCCTCTTGTCCAGACAAGGATTTATTCACCTCGTACGGAATGACTCACGGTGACTACATGGAAGCCCGTGTCTTCATCCGTATAGCTCCAGGTCAAGGGTTGGGCTGTTCAGTGGTTAAAGGTCCATCCAATTATCCGGGTATTTTTGTACAAACAATCAAAGAAGGTGGAATTGCTCAAGAGTCTGGACTTGAAGTTGGTGATCAGATAATCGCTATGAATGGACTGTCCATGGAACCAGGAGATATTGAATTCAATGAAGCCATAGCAAGAATAAAGTCAACCTCTCAAATGACCTTAACAGTCCGTAAAAAGTCAGGTCTTTCACTGTTCCAACAGCATCACAACCATCATAGTAATAGTGAACAACCAAATGGAAATTATTCCCATTCTAATCAGCATCATGCTCGTCATTCACACCATCCATATCATCACACCAATGGCAACTCGAAACAGCGAGTTAAAGCAATTGTCCACTCACCGCCAATATCAACCACAACCAATGGAAGTGGCATCTCAAAGGCTGCAGCTGCTGCGGCTGTAGCTGCTGCTGCTGAGGAAATTTATCATTCACCGCTTTTAAATAAAACCTCATCTGAATCGTCATCTTCACCCTTCAATGGTTCATCAAGATTTTACCCTCCTTCTGAACATGATTATTCCATGTCTGAAGTTGAATCCAATGGAAATTATGTCATGAGAATTCCCATTGGACATGAAAATTCTGGCAAAGAGACCATCAATAGTGTTGATCGATCAAGCCCAGGTCGGTCTGATGTTTCTGCAGCTACAGCCAAAATTTATGACAAGGTTCGTCGAGAAGAGGAAAGGTTAGCTGAAGAGAGGAAAAAACTGGAATCTGAGCAAAAAAGGTTACAAGCCGAACTGGAAAAGCTGGAAAAGGAAAGGTAAGAACCATATACTTCTCTTGACCAATCATAATTATAGCCTTAAAAGATTTTAAAATAATGATGAAGGCTGAGAATAGACAATGAACAGTTTGATGACATTTTATCTTGGTGCAAAATCATCGACACGCCTGGCAGACTTTTGATTCATTAAAAGTCCATCTGAAAAAAAGGCAAGCTCAAAGTGAACATGATTTGAGTAAACTGTAACCAAGGTTATCATCACATTATATTGTCTTTGCATTTCACAAAGAAATGTCAAAATATCATCTCTATTTATCAGCACTTTTTTTTGTAGTCAATTTGTTTCCTATTCAAATGTTGTTCCGTTTATTTGTATCATTTTTGATTAGGAAATTGTTTCCAAACAACAATGAAAATGAACAAAAACCAAGTACCTTTCAGCCATTTGTAAACGCTGTTGTGATTACAATTTGATAATTTTCACCATTTTATACTTTCCTACTGATGAGTCCAAAAATATCAAAGTACAGCTCATTTTGTGTTCATCATTAGATAGTAATCTTGTTGACAAAATTATTTCAGGGTCATTATCACAACAATTATCTAAACGTTATTCCCATCATTGTCATAAATCTGATAATTATGTAAACAGCAGGCCTAAAAATTAAATTCATAACTAAATACAAACCTTATTCAAATATGTTCCGAATCTTCAATTTAAAAGCTTCCATTTTTATAACAATTTCAATAAAAGATACCAGAAGTTGAAAATGCCAGAAAGATTGAGTTTGAAATAAAGCGATTTTAAGCAAATTTTTTCTTCAGTCTTCAACTCTTTTCCTTGATTTCATAATTTCCTGAAAAAATTGAAAAAATTCAATATTGGGTTTCAAATATTTATTCAAATATTTACCATTTTTAAATCAAACCAAATATATTATAATATTTCAAATTGTATCCATTAACCATTATCCGTTATTAGCTGTTCATTAAAACATTCAATGAAGGTTTACAGTTTTGTTTCAATTTTAAGCTTCAAGTTTTGAGTTTTATTATTAAACCATTAAAACCAATAATCGATCAGCAAAAATTGAAATTTAAGTTCATTAGAATTGCCAGAATTTGGTTCCATTTTAAGCTCAGAAGAGGCAAAAATTTGTTTTCAATTTTTGCTTTACTCGAGTATTTGTTTACCGTTTTTATTTTGTGCATTTTCTCGAATTACTTCCGATTATAATCGCAATTTTTTGTTGAACCTAAAAAGCGGTAATATTTGACCTAAACTTGTATTATTGTCATTCATGTATTCAGTTGATACAAATTTTTACTCTTAGACTTGCTTTTTTTGTGTGTTTCAATTTGCATTTCAATTGTTTATTTGACAATTTTGTGCTTCGATAGTCTCATTACCTTGAGATGGCAATTATTACCTTTTACACATCGCTCAACTTGTGAATGTTTTTTAACCATTTTCATCCTTCCTCTTCCTTCCGCCATCTGTTTGTATGCAATTGTCAACACTTTGATCATCTTTTCTATGCTCATTAACCCTCCTTTTCACCACCACAAGCAACACCATCTGATCGCAATGATCATCATGGAAACTCATCATTCTGATCAATCTACCCTTTCCATCTCTCGTTAACAAGTTTTAGTTCATTCATCTGATTTAATGACATACTGTTCATTCAACTGAACTCAACTTTTCATCTAGTAACATTCAAGCCATTCGATTCGTATCAACGATAATGATGATTGACGGACTAAACTGACAAAGATGATCAAAATTGAATCATGCATATGATGAGGAGGAAGAGCAGAAAAATTAATAAACTTCAAACCTGAACAATCATTGATAATCATTTTGACAAACTTAATAACTGTTGCAAATGTTCAAGGCGTTGGTAAAATTATTTTGTTTTACAACAACAAAAAAATGCAAGAAAATGAAATTTGTTGAAAAAAAGAGCAAAATAATTAGTCTATTTACCTTTATATTTCAAGGTAATATTAAGAGATATTTTCAAGTGAAACTGAATAAAGGGAAAAGTTATCATAAATTAATATTAATATCATGATAAAAATAATAAATATGAAAATAATCGTCCTCATTCAGATAAGGTTAGGCTTAGATATTAAAGGTAGGTGTGTTGATCAGGTTTTTTGTGTACCTTTGTTTGCATCACCTTTATCTTGATGATCACAATCATCACCAAGTTGATGATCATTTTTATCCCGTTTACTTGTGTTTAGTTAATGGCTCATTGAGAATGGTTAAAATTCATTTGTTAATTGATACTCATAATACATAAATAATAATATTCAACTTGATTCCCAGCTATTTTTTTTTGCGTTGTGTGTAACTTTGCATTACTTATAAGTACCGAGCCTAAATTAACGGAAGAAAGGTAATGATAAGAAGGTGGAAGGTGGAAGAGAGGAGGAAGATGGTGAAGAAGCTCGTCTGAGTTGAGTATCATCATCAATATGAAATGTTCAATGAACACAAAAACAGGGTCATATTGGAGCTTTGAGTTGGCCTCGAAAACAACTGGATCAACCCTTTTCCTCTCATTTAATCTCAATTTTTATCCTCATCTTTATCATCCTTAACCATTTTCATCCTAATCTCTCATCAGTCTCATCATTACCATCTTAATTGTGTGAGAAAGGTTCACTAATTTTAACCAATTTCAACCAATTTACTTTTCTTACTTCACATTAATAGTCACTTGTCACCAAATTGTTATATTTTAATGTCTAACTGTATGTATATTTATGGTGAGAAAAACATGAAATTTCATTTTGTTCATCTTTGCGATAAAACACCTTCTTGTTCAGTTAAATTGTTGATTATCATGAATAACAGTGAAAATTAGAGTATTTTATCCACCATCATCATCATCACCATCACCATCAATTGAATTATTATCTTTAGCGCCCATTTCATTTTCTCTCATCCTTTATTACGCTATTTCATTGAATTTTTCAGTTTCTTTTTTTCTTCATCAACAATAATTATGATGGTTATGATGATGAAATGAAATGAAAAGTAAATTAACTTTGAATTGATAACCAACCCTTATCTAATAATAATTCACTAATGAAACTTTCGGCTTTCGCCATTCAATATCAATTGTTATTTATTTACTTCTGTTATTCATCCCTTTGCTACCTTAATATTTAGGATTGATGGAAATGAATTTTTTATCCTTTTTATAAAATCTGTTAGTTCCGTTTGTTGAGTAATCATCATGATGATAGGTTAATATGAAAAGTATATAAAGAAATGGATTATTTCAAGATGAAAAGTAAAACTTATTGAGTTTTGATTGAAATTTGCTTTTGATTGTTTCTATTTCGGTATCAACTCAACATTCATTTACCTGCATTTACACCTCAACGAAATTGATTGAAAAACAAAAAACAGAGTTACTTTGAGAAAAAAACATTTCGATTAAACCTTGTGTTACACTTTCAATTGTAATGCAAGATTAATTGTTGAACCTTAAATTGTTGAGACAATTGTTGTGTTTACCAATTTAAGGGTTTAACTTTCAGTTTTTTGGTTAATTAAGTTAATCATCTTCACGTACCCAGAATCAACCTTGACAGGTTTACTTGAATAATTTGTTTATTAAACAAAAGGTTAAATGATTGGAGTTAATGTTAAGAAAATGTAAGAATTAATTAACTAATTGAATAAGGTGCTCATCAACACTTATGGACATCTTTTGTGATTTACTTCGTCATGTTCGGGTGCGGTGATGAATTTGCGTTCAATTGTAAAGGTTACTCTTGAAACAAAAACACAATCATAATGGTAATGATGAAAAGTCACTTACACTTTTACCTTTTTCACCACCACCATCATGTACAACCATTCAATGAACATTACTCACAATATAACTATTTACCAAAATCAAGGTTAATTTGGTTTGTTAACAAATTGTCAATTGTAAATGTTGACTCTGCTTCAATCATTTCAATTAAAAATATCTTTATTTCATCCATTAATCTTGTAATATTTACATGCGATAACAAAATTGTTCAACTTTACTCAGCTTTTCATCTCAATGTATGTTCAGGTAATCAAAGTAACCTTTTTTGTTTACCAATGTAACAATCTGATAATTATATAAAGGTAAACTGAATCAAATGTAAATATTGATTTGTGAGTGTCAACATTGAAATGCAAAAAAAATCAAACACCAAAAAGCCTAATCTAATGGTAAACAAAATTGGATTACTCTTATTTCATAGTAACCTATTAAAGTGAACCCTTTTTAATCATATTATCATTAACATTATTACAATTACCTTTTCTTTTTCCTCACTTAAATACTGTAATACAAACCTTAAAAGGTCTTACCTTATTTACCTTGGTTAACCTTTTCACTGAAAGGGCTTCACATTATTTAGATATTTTCTTGTTCATCCAAACATTTTCACATCTCAATACAATATGTAAATTAACTTGAATAACAATGATTGTTGAGGTAATTTGAATAGTTTACAGATTACAGTCAATCGCAGGTAAAATTATAGCAATTAAAGTTGATGTTTGATGATGTTCAATGATCAGTTTAAATTATTTAAATGTTTCCTGTCTCGCCAGTTTTGCCCTTGTTTTGTCCTAATATGTAACTATGTGAGTGTAAAAATTAGACTAAACAGGTTGAGTTGGTTGATTGGATAGTTGGAGTAAAATGTGAGATTGTCAAGTCTGTGAATTGGGCTGAACAAATTCCCATTGAAAATGAAGTAATCTAGGTCTTAATGGTCATTTGAACGTTGAAGCCTCTTTAACGGATGATTGTGTGTTCTGTTGTTGGTGTGTGAAGGGCAAGAAACAGATGACATAGACGGTTATTATTTCATGAAAGGAATGATGAAGAAAAAAAGAATAGAAAAAACCTTTATCAAATTGATATTCCTATTTGTGTTCATTTTGGTTGGTCTCGCCACTCTGTTTTTCATCAATTAACTTATAACATGGTTCATTGATTTAAATTGACATCAACTTGGCAACTTTATTGTTTATCCTCATCATCATTCTCACCATCTTCCTACTCTTGATCATTCAACATCTGCTGATAATTTGTTTCTCTATCAAATTATTATTGCTACTTTTTCAATCTCTTACAGCTTGTTCATCGTCTCATCATCATCTTCATCATTCTTTACCTTTTTCTCAATCAAGTAATTGTTGAAGTGACAGTAAAATAGATGAACAGTTGAATTTCAACTTATTTTTAACTTTCATTCAGTTAATCCTTTCAGTAAAGTTTCATCGATTATTTTTTATTTTCACCAATCATGGTGGATGAAAGATAATCGCCAGGAAGGGATACTGATTTATCAGTTTACCAACTAAATGATCAACATTTTTTCAGGTGATATTAAAAAGTAAAGATGAAGAGACTCTTGATGGTCACAAAATGGCCCCAAATGTTGATCCTTGTTAAACATAATGATTTACAACCTGTTACTATTCATGATTTACACTCATTCCCATGATTTGTGTACATTAAATGAGCACTTTGATGATTATGAATTAACATTAACAGTTGACTTTGTTTTGGCCTCTCATGACAAAACATGAATTGTTAATGACAACAACCATTTGAAGTAACCTCATCTTGAACAGAAACGCAATGGAAACTACTTTAAGCCTAAATAGTCTTTGGGTTAATTTAATTTCCCATAAATTCATCATTTCTCTTGATCATTATTTTCAATCAAAACAATCTGATGACATCTCGACTCTTAATTTGGGTTGTCTAATTGTGTGGCCCTTCAATGGATCAAACAATTTTCAAGAAAAGATAAAAGATGTTGAAGCAACACTTTGATTCAACATCATTACCTATGAATGTTGATGATGCAAATGATGCTGATGATGTTGATGGTCAGGTTGACAGTGATGAAGGTGCTCGAAGGGCAATTTAGGTGATATCACTCTTCATTAAATATCAACTTAAGACCAATGAGACATAATTAAGTGCATCATTATGCCAGCAATTTACTTTGTTCAATCCATGATAAATTGCTGTTCAACTTGTTTTCCAGTTTTCCAGATTGTTGATTAATTCAATCCTTAATATCAAATCTCTGTTTTTTTTTCTTGTCTCCCCAATAATGTACTTAATTGCTATCATTTAATGTTAATTGCTGTGAAACCTTTTTTAAAATTATATTGTTGCAATCAAATTGATGACTTTACCATCAATGGCTATCTAAATTTATGTAAACATTGTATTCAAAATTTAGTTCAATATTTACTCAATTGTTAACTGCAATTGTGTTGAAGGATTTAAGATGCATAAATTTGAGTCAAGAAACGTGTTACTTTTTACATTCTGTTTACTTGATTGTTCAACAATTGAATGGAAACAATCAACAAATCTTATTCACAATTAACTTATCATTTGATGGTTTGAACAAAAAAATTCATTTCACCTTAATATACAAATTATTTCATCGATTACAATGCAATGATAAACATTGAACGTTAAATTGGTTTCCTTGATTACAGCTTGGGAATTTAAAGGAAACAATTTACAATTGAAAGAAATAATTCAATTTGAATAGTAAAAGTTTATTCAAATTGTGATGATCGGAAGCTGAAAACTGATTAAACCAATTAAACCATTCAAATCAATTGCCGGTCATTTTTCACCAATTAACAATGATTAGTTATAATACAAATGTAACAAAAGGTTCATTTTGATTTTTTCCTAACTGCTGATCATTTAATGTTATTTATAATTTGATTATGAGAAGTTGTTGGTTAATTAATTTTTTGTTACTTTGCTTTTTTTGTTTTACGGTTAAAACGGTTTTCTTCATCTCTTGATCAACAGTTAATCTTTAAATGATTGTTTCAGAATTGACCTGATTCTGATGATGAAATTAAATCAAAGTTGTCATGTGAAGCTACCAAAAAAATGGACCAAAATAACATCAGTTTGTCTTAATTAAAATCAATCGTAACACTGTTTACTAATTTTACCTGATTGTTGGCGATGTTAGTTGTTGAATTACTTGCAGTTCTGATTACCTTTTAATCTGTTCACGACTCATGCCAATGACACGGACTTTTTTTTACTCTTCATGTTATTTCGTTTATTAGGCCATAACCATTTTAACCACGTTTAAATGTACTTTTTGAAAGTGATCTGAATTAAATTTGAAATTAACCAATTGTTGATGAATCCAAGCATTTTGTGTCTCCAAAAGAGAAACAATTTTTCAATGAAAATCACAAGCCTAAAGGTTACTTTTTTTCAATTGAATAAATCAACAATTGAAATGAGAATCTCAGTTTGTAATAAAACTTGATTGTCCTCATTGATGATACTAATTGAAGGTTTATTGTAAACGCCAAATTGATTGCAAAAATGTAAACCAATTGTCCAAGTTAAATGGTCTTTCCAGTTGAAACAAATCTTTCATTTTATCCAAATATTAAAATGACAATTAATGCAATTTTAGATTGAAACTTGTTACATATTAAAAGGAGTAACTTTTACCCGGAAGTTTATCAACCAATTGTTGCAATGATTTAGCTAGTTAATGCAATTAACATCTAATTTTTTGCTGAGCAATAATGAATTTTGTCATAGATTAAACAATGAGTCAAAAGCAATCCTTATTATTGATAAACTGTGTTGACTTAATGTTAACTTGCACTGTGTTTCTAGGACAATTTGTTAACTACGATTAAAAGTGATTACCATTAGTAATTTGTTATTTGGTTGTTAACGAGAAACGTATTTTTAATGTATTTTCATAATCTTTTATGGCAAATATTAAAGTGACTTTTTGACGCTTTCATCTAATGATTAATTTTGTATGAAATCTCATTAGGAAACAACTGGAAAATATGAAACCTCAGGATGATTCAAAAAGTATATCCAGTTCAAGCACAATCTCAGGAAGTGGAAATCCTTCAATAAGCTCAAGTGGAAGCACTTCACAATTGGGATTTTTGGATGAAATTAAAAAGCTTGCTGAAAAGCGGCTCAATGAGAATGGATTGATTACCGATACATTGAATAAAACACGGAATCTGGAAAAAATGATGACCAAAGGACCTAAAACGTTAATTTCAGGTCAAGACGATGAGAATCGCAAGCGACATGGTAAAGTATCGCCCAATAAGTACCAATGTTTCAAAATTGAACCAGAAAATTGGTCGACAGTTAACAGATTTTCACTTTTAGTTTTTCCAATTGAAATATAATTGTGAGAAATGTTTAAACACTATTTTGTTGATTCAAATCAATATTAGATTAATTTTATATATTTAATAATATAACAATGTTTAATCAAATTTTAATGGCACAATTTTCAGGGTTACCTTCAGTTTGAGGACAGAAAATGATTTTTCTTACAATTATTTGTCAGAAAAGCTGAATAGATGTGTTTTATTATTATCATAAAATGGATTGAGTGAGTAATCAAGTGGATGATTAAGTCAATATTAGGGTTGAACGTTATTAATAAAAAAAGATTGAACTTACCTTTGCCAGTTAATTTAGTTTGTTGATTATTATCGGTGCAATTTACCGTGAAACTGACCTTGTAAATTGAATTGCAATTGTTTGTGTTTAATGGTTGTTAGTCTATTAATGAATGAATCTTTTTTTAATTTAAGATGTCAATCTGTCAATTAGTTGGGAAAATTTTGATTGTTAACCATTTCGTTTATCAAAAATTTTCATTCAATTTCTTTTTTTCTTTTCTTTTCCTTTTACCAGAATTGCTCATGGAAGAGTTCAGAGCTGCTCATTCAAAGATGTTTGGCTCAGGAGAGAGGAAACTTCGTGATATCAAAAATATTGCATCAAATTGTGAAGAAAAGATGAACAACAATAATAATATCAATAATTGTAACACTATTAATCAACAGCAAAATGGTACACAAATTAATAGTCAAACCAATGGTGATCCAAGTCAAAAGCAACAATCAAACGGGTTACCAAATGGACAGCCAAAGGGACAGTTAAATGGACAAGAAATGTTGAATCAAAATAACGTGGTGATCATTAATAACAACATTAACAATAATAAGCTAATCGAAAGTCCAGTTGTCACAATTAAATCGATTCCTCCGCCAATCCAGCAAACAATAACCAACAGTAATGGTGAAACTGTAACCATTTTAAGGACTACAAGTCCATGTAAAAAGTTAATTCCTCCACCAATTCCTGTTAAAAAATCAACGAGTAGTCCTATTGTTACAATTACCAGTTATGAATCCTGTAAAAAATAGCTCAATCCAAGAGGGCAAAGAAGAGCGATAAATGTTTTGCTCCAATTGTCTGCCGATAATCTTATATAATTATTAATTATTTATCAAATCGAATATAAAAATTGTATGTAAAAATAATTGTTGAAATAATAGTTATATATTATATACAGCCATAAAAATGGATATCTTTTGTTAACCTTCAATCAATGATTGATAATTTAAAATCAATTTGAGACCGCATCGATGAGTCTCTGGATTTGAACACTGAAAACGCTCAAAAAGGCACGGATGATCAACAATTAGGCTTAAAATAATCGGCCATTGATTAACTTGGATACCAAACAATAGATAAATGATAGGATTCACCTAATTTTGATGGCTGTTGTTAACATTTAACCAGAAAAAAAATGTTAAGTCTTTTCAAATGTAAAGTAAATGTTTGATGACAATTTTTGCCCATTTTGGTACTATTTACAAAATTCCAGTTCACTTTTATTCACAATTAATGGTTTTAAAAGTTGATTCAGCTTCAATCGCGTAAATTAATGAATACATGATTTCAAAATAATGAAATGACTTTTCATAAAATAGAAAGCCAAAAGATGGAACTTGCATAAATTGGAATTACCCGGAAGTTTTGGTAACAATTTACATTAACTCTTGTATTTATTTATTTTTTTGCTGAGTAATACACTGAGAATAGTTTGATCATAGATTAATAAGAACAATAAGAGACTAAATTAAGAATAGAGTTGATATAATTATTTTGAATATTGAATAAAATGTTGAATGTTATGTGGTCACATCCATAGAGTCTGTTGTAACTGGATCAGCATAATTGGGACAGTTTAAGTTAACACTTTACTTCTTTGATTTAACCTTTTTCATGGCTTTTCCTTTTCCTTTTCCTTTGGCCTTCATGCCAGCACCTTTACGACCTTTAGCTCCTTTACGACGTCCACCTCGTCGAGCTTTGCCCTTTCCTCGGCGAGATCGAGAAACACTTCTAGCTTTCATTGTTGATTTGGCCTTTGGTTTAGTTGATGATCGAGAGGTACTTCGGGACTGTGATTTGGGTTTTGCTTCTGCTCGAGATCGGGTTCTGGATCTTCCTCGACGGACCTCGGTTTCTTCGGCAGCGGCATGAGAGCCTTCAGTTTTAAGGGACATTGAGGTTGTCTCTTGTTTCATGTCAGGATCAGAAGATTTCGCAGGCGTTTCTTCAGGCATTGCGGTTTAGTTAAACGATTGATTTAGGCTGATGTTAAATTTGTTGATTTTAAATCACTTGAAATTCACCAAAATAATTCACAGAATCAAAATAGTGTTATCTCACAAACACAAACTATTAATGTGAAATTAAATTAAAAACATTAAGTTAACAGTCACAACAATAAACAGATGGTGGTGATGATGATGATTTAATAGATTATTAATTGTTGTTTTGGCTGGCAATTTTGACTCCTATGAATTATATTGTTGACCTCAAATTTTTTGGGTTACATTAATTGTAATTATTCATTGTTGAACGTTTATTCAAAGGTGGGTAACAATAATTGTTGGCTGTTGCAGATCCATTGTTGCCTGTACTTTTGATTTCAGTACTTCGAGCTGCATTGGTGTTTTTCTTGAGGACAAAATGATTCATCTAATATTATTGTAGATACACTAAAATCACCTCTAAATTGATCTGCGTCCGATATTTGCTGGTCAATGTCTTCTCTAGTTTCTTCCAGATCACGGTATTTATTGTGAATTTGATTACGTTTGCTCTTCATTCGGCGATTTTGAAACCATACTTTAACCTAGAAACAAATAGAGAAACAAATCTTTTAACATCTCAAGGATAATTAAGGTTTAATTGAAAGATTATTTGATTGTTATTACCTGTCTCTCAGTTAAATCCAAAGCCATGGCAATTTCGTATCTCTTTAACCGAGAAAGATATCTGTGTTGATTAAATTGATCCTCCAACTCTTTAATTTGATCCTTGGTAAACAATGTCCGTTCCTTTCGATTACCATTACTGTCCAATCTCCCATAACCAGCGATTTGGTCAACTCCGTGTTTATTGTCATCATTCACATCATGAATCCTTACTCTCATGGTTGTACTATTGTAAAGAGGATTTACAATGAAATAAATTATTTTACGTAAATAATTACTAGGCTAGCTGAACAGATTTGATGTTGAACAAGTGGACATGAACTGTAAATGATTATCACCTCGGTTTCTCGTCATTTATTTATGATTATCCTCTCTCATCAATCTTATTTTGGCGTGAGTTGGTTTATAATGAGTGATCTGAAACATTCACAGTGTCATAGACCTCAAGCTATTAAATCATATTTCTCCTCAAGAAAAAAAACTTCCAATAGCTGGTTTCCGTTTGAAACATGTGTTTAAGTGATTTCCATTCAGGTCATTTGGTTGAAGCAATTTTTCCATGGTTGTTAATTACTAGCTATTGATTGATTACATATTGATGTATTGGATGGATTTACTTGCTAACTTATTTGCTATAATATCTCAGCGGTTTTTGATTGTCAACGACTTTCTAACATTGAAGATGTTGACACTTCTGGCAATCAGAGGTACAAAATTTTTCCAAATTGAAGAGTTGATTTACACAATTGACATTTAATAAGTTAAAGGAGATTCTGGTTGGTAATCAGGTAAAGACTCATTAAGATCAATTATAATTATAGTGGAATTGAAACTGGTATTTCTAATCCTGTTCTTAATGTTCTTGGAGATCGCGATTATTCCGGTCAGATAATTGTTTTTCAAGAGCTACTCTTATTATTTCTACAACTGATATTGGTTTAGTTTGTATTAATCAAAGTTGATTGTAAAGGATAAATACGACTCGTTGATTGGTAATCAAAAATTTTTTGTCAAACGATGCGGATGCAAGAAAAAAACATTTAATTTTGACAGAAAAACCGGGAGCATTAACATATATTCATAATTTATAAATAATTACTATTCAAACCTAATTTTTCAAATTTTTAAGCTTTGGTTATCTTTAAAAAAGAGCCTCTTTAGATGCACAAGAGTTTACTTTTTTTGAATAGTTTCCTTGGATTTGGAAGGTGATGCTGAGGAGCCGTCTTTTGGTTCATCTGATTTTTTGGTTTCATCGGGTTTCATAGCTGGGAATAAGAGGACCTCTTTAATTGTATGAGAGTCTGTCAAGAACATAGATAATCTATCGATTCCTATACCTACTCCACCGGTTGGAGGTAAACCATATTCCAATGCAGTGATAAAAGTTTCATCAACCAACTGAGCTTCATCATCACCAGCAGCTTTAGCTTTAGCTTGTTGTTCAAATCGTTGTCTTTGGACAATAGGATCATTCAACTCGGTGTAACCATTGACTACTTCTCTTTGACCCACGAACAGTTCAAATCGTTCAGTTAAACTAGGATTTTCCCGATGATATTTAGCTAATGGACTCATAACAACTGGATGATCAGTGATAAAAGTCGGATTGTTACATTGGACTTCAATAAAATGACCAACTAATTTATCGATTAACCGAGCAGTGGTTCGAGGTGGAGCACAATCAACTTCATGCTTAAGACACTGGTCAGAGAAGAATTTGTTTGCCTCATCTGAATCCAAAGTATCGTAAGCAGGGAATTTAACTCCCAGACATTTCTCCAAATCTGGAAGCATTTTAATTCGTCTAAAAGGGGGAGTGAAATCAATCTCAACCGATTGACCATCAGGTCCTTCTGGATGATAAGTGATCTTGTATGATCCATGAACTGATTTAACAAGCCCACTTAACATAGTTTCCGTAATTGACATCAAATCGTTGTAATCAGCATAAGCCATATAAAATTCAGCCATAGTAAATTCTGGGTTATGTGTTAAGTCTATCCCTTCATTACGAAATTGTCTGCCGATTTCGTAAACACGATCCATTCCTCCGACAACCAACATTTTGAGAAACAATTCAGGAGCAATGCGCATAAAAAGATCCATATCCAACTCATTATGATGAGTTATAAATGGCTTGGCTGTGGCCCCTCCAGGTTGCATGTTAAGTATCGGTGTTTCAACCTCAAGGAAACCAAGTTGGTCCAAGAAAGATCTTATATAACGAATCACTTTGCATCGAGTGATAAACTTTTGCCTAACCCATTCATTCAACATTAAGTCCAAGAATCTCATTCGGTATCTAGTTTCTCTATCTTTAAGACCATAATGAAGATGGGGCAGCATCCTCAAGCAAGGAGTTAACAATGTCATTTCTGTTGGTATCAAAGATAATTCTCCTTTCTTTGTTTTACCAGGATGACCAAGGCAACCCATCATGTCTCCTCGTCTCAATTTACCATTAATTTCAGTAAAAGCTTCCTGAGATGGATAGTATTGAGCGTTAGCCATAACTTGAATCTTTACTCCTTCAGCTCTGAGATCGTAAAAAGTTAACTTCGCTCCATAATCGCGTTTAGCATGGATACGGCCGGCTACACTCACTTTTTGATCCTCCAAAACTTGACCTAATAAGAATTAAAAGCATGAGGTGAGATGGAATGTCTACTTATCATCCAACAAAACATATTTTGTTTGATTGGCATATTAATGAAACAATAACAACTACGACGAGCCATGTGACAAGAAAGAACCGGAAGAAAAATTGATACTTCTTGGATTCACAGATACTAACCATCTGATAGACTTGAATATTTTTCAATAAATTCGGATAGCGAAATAGTAACATTATATTTATGAGGAAACGGATTATCTCCTTTGGCTTTTAGATTATTAACCATTTGAGTTCGTAAAGTGTAAAATTCGTTCTCATCCATTTCATCTTCATTTGTGGCGGCAGCATCACCTCCAGTCTTGGACTTATCCACAGTTTTCACCGCACTTTCCGAGGCTTGTTTCTCTTTTTCAGCTTTCTCCTTAAGCTTACGTTCATTCTTAAGACGTCGCTTAAGCTCATTCTTACTCAATTTTTCAGTTGATTCAGACATCTTGGACAATATTAAGCTACTGTTGACACGAAGCACACGATTAAATGATCTCAACACCGGAAAGATAAGTTGCATTGCATTGCACACATATTGAAAAACCAAGAAGTAAAACCGACCATACGCATGCCCACCGCTAAAAACTGTAGCGCGCTTAAGTTCAACTCAAAATCAAGAAATTGTTTCATAATTAAAACAATTGTTTAAACAATCAACAGTAAATAAACTCTCCATAAGTCCAATTTTAAGACGGTCAAGATATTCATTACTGCCAAATTAAATTTGAGTAAATCACATACAAAATTACAATCTTGTCTGTACAAAAGTCACAAATAAAATAATAACGAAGATTCATTCGATTGAATTTCCTGCATTTCTTTTAAGCTTCCAAGCTGGCTGAATCAATTGAAAATAGATAGAAGCTTAATCATAATTTAATGGTTTCAATATTCAAAAATCTAATTGCTAAAGCTTAGAAATTGAAATTTCGCTTCTTTAGTGAACTCGAATCTATGAGATTCAATTTTGATTGAAACTCATCATACTCATCATACTTTGTTTATTTCAATTGATTAAATGAAAACCAGGGAATAGTTGATTTCTGTATAATTTAATTGGCGATGAGTGCTGAATAATTTAAGTTTACTGCGGAATTAAATTGTTAAATTTAAAGAGTACAAATAATTATTAAGTTAACTATCTATTAAGTTTCTATCAAAGCTGATAGATGGAGATAGTGGTTGCGGGAAAAATCGGTCTTTTGCAAAGAGTAAGGTAAAGTTAACGATTCCTTGACCAAAGCAGCTGAATCTCAGCTTTTTTGAAAATATGAGAAGTAAATAATCGAAAGGATTTCACAATTATTTACTATTTATCTACGAAAATTGATTAAAGCATTTTCGATTAACTATGCTGATAGGTTGGATGGAACGGTTAATATAAACAGTAATAACATGAGTATTTTGTTTCTTATGCACTGCATATCCTGAGAGATGGATTTGGGTATCCCTTAAGTCATCTGTTGAACACATGATGAACACATCCTAACCGAAAAGAAGGTTAGCATTTGTAGATTTTTATAAATTCAATTTATCCGTCGTTTCAATAATAAATAACATTTTCATTATCAATTTTCACCAGTTAATATCTTTCAATTTTTCATCATTATTATTAAACGCTGACTGGTTGTCAGACTCTTCCCCTTTTCTTCCATCTTATACTGGGTGGATAAAAAATAAAGGGAAAAGGGGTTCGGTTTAATGTGCTCAGTCTTACTATTTAAAATGTAGACAAACCAAATTTGTCTTCTGAGCAACAAAAGGGGGTGCTTTCCCCTACCCACAATTTTTTATCCACCGAGTAGTTTGGCTCCATCAATCTGTTTTTGTGAACTCTCTCTCTCCCTATCTTTTCACTTTTCAAAATCTGTCCAAAAAAGGTTGGTGTTCATTAACTCTTCACTCAATTCCTGATTCTTTATTGTTTTATTTTAGATTTTCAAATTGTATCATTAATTTTCTAAAATCAACTGTGATTTACAAGTACAACTTTCATTGTTTCTTCATCATCCCATCCAAAGTGTTTACCTTATTTTCTATCTCATTCTCGTTTCTACCAAAGACTCCTATCTTACCACCAATAATCTGTTCTCTGTATAAATGAACTCCATTCTTGATGTGATTTAGATGCAATCAACTGTGGTTATTAATCATCCATTTAACTTCTTTTAAATTAATCGGTTTTGGTAATTTTGATACGCCAGTGTTTCTTCTACTCTTCGTACTTTGTGATATGTCACCTACAATGCAAACCATTTGGTTATATGATCTATGATTGATTGTTATTACATTAAATTGACTGGTGACAAGGTTTCTTGGTAACAGATAATAATGCTGGTTGATTATTGTTTCGTAGTTTCCTCAACTTGATTGTTTTACTCTTTGATTGAGGACAAACATCAACTTTGCATTCCTGCCAATAAGCATTATTGATGTCTGGCTTTGCATATCTCATATTAAACACCATTGGATCTCTCATCTTAAAATGAATCATGACTTTTACTATTTAATATTGTTTTACATCTTGCTGATCAACTTTAATCTTTTCATTGTTACTGTTGGACACATATGCAACCATATTCCACCTAAACAGAAAGAGGTAAGACAATATTAACTCTTCGATAATTGATTTTCTGTCTTCTCGTGCCTCATCATTCCACCTCTACCAATCCTTTTCAGTTTACTGTTTTTAACCATTCGTAGTAATTATCAACTTAATGATATATTTCATGCCATTAACCTTGTATGATTTTTCAATAATCAATTTGCTTAATCTCACCCCTTTTTCATTTTTTCCTCGCTTCATGAGCTTTGCTATCAACCATGTCAACTATTTGGCTAACAATAATCTAATTAAACTTACCTGTTGTTTTTTTTTCTTTTACTCTTTTTTCAACGTATTCGCTGAACTTTACAGATTGGTTTTGTGCACCTAGAGTCAAAATCTCATAACCGAAAACAGCGAGATATTAACATCAGTAATAACTTGCGAATTAAAGTTCATTATGACTCAAGTGCATTCGAGCTACCTAGAGATAAATTCAATGTAATTAATGTGAGTAAAAAACTTTTGCAATCAGATTAAAATCATTTCAACTCTGAATGATTTCCTCATTGTTAATACTGTTTCCTGTTTTTTTACAACATCCAATGTCTTTTTTTTTTCTTCATATAAATTCAGAATACTATTTTACCTCAAGCCTTGGACTATTGGCAAAAAGCTTTGCAAGTAACTCCATTAGAAACGCCTATAATAATCAGCAGGTTAGAAAATAATTTACTCTTGTATGGATAAATGAAGTATTTAATTAATTTCCTTGCAACCCATCATTCAATTTCATCCACAGGAAGTGCCCTAATCATGAAGTCCTTTTCCCACCAAAAAATCCTAAACATCAACATTGTATAGAGAAATGTGAACCAAAGACAACCTGTGGCGAAGTTGTTGTGCCGGAAGAACATCTCGATGTATGGATATTTCACTATCAAACCGTTGATTGCTTATTTACCAAAAAAATCACAAATTCAATTTGAATATCATAATTGTCTAATATATTTCTTAATGTTCCATTTTTTATTGATTCGTAGGTTTGTCGAGTGTGTAATAAAGAATTTGCTAATTGCCATGATGTGGGAAAACGTCCTAAAGATGCTGGCGTAAAAGATGCAGATTTTGTGTTCTACATATCAGCAATTCAGACTGAACGCTGTCAGAAAGGAGCTACAGTTGCTTATGCAGCTCATTGCCAGCAAGAATCACAGACTGAAAGGTTTGGTCTATTCGTCAATGCTTTGTTGCTGTTTAACTAATTATTTTTCTTTTCATGTACAGACCAATAGCAGGCCATGCAAATTTATGTCCTCGATCCATATCAACGAAACCGCAAGATTTGGCTACTCTTCTTTCAACAGTTAAACATGAGATTCTCCATGCTCTGGGTTTTTCTATTTCTTTATATGCTTACTTTCGTGATAAAAAGGGTATACCTTTGACTCCAAAAGGTAAAAATGGACGACACGAAGTGAATAAAGAGCTAAGTGTACCTGAATGGAGCGAGAAGGTTGTTCGTAAAATTAAACGAGATAAATGGCTGGTCAGATCTGGTTATATGACAAAAGATATTCATATGGTTGTCACACCTCGAGTAGTGGTTTGTATTCTTCTATCTATTCTTCTTTTTTCCTCTATTTGCATATCTAATTACTAATCCATTTTTTTTGTTTTGTAAAAATATTTTAGGAGGAGGTTAGAAACCATTTCAATTGTTCCAAGCTGGAGGGAGCTGAACTTGAAGATCAAGGCGAAGATGGAACCATTTTGACTCATTGGGAGAAACGGGTTTTTGAAGTTAGTTTACTTCCTGAATAGTGTCTATTCAGTTAAATTATCCAATTGTATTGTAGTGTCTCATCTTCTACTATTTGCTCTATTATATTTAATTAATCTGTTATTCTATTCATGAACAGAACGAAGCCATGACTGGAACTCACACACAAAGTCCTGTTTACTCTCGCATAACTTTAGCTTTTATGGAAGATACAGGGTAAAAAGATTTAAATTTATTGAAGAAATTCAGTTTGATTGAATGTTTATATAAAGATTCATTTTTTCAATTTTAACTTTGCTTTGTATTTATAGATGGTATAAACCAAATTATTCAATGGCTCAACCATTAGAATGGGGTAAAAATCTTGGCTGTGATTTTGCCATGAAAAGCTGTAAAGAATGGATTGACAAGAGAAGACGTGATGGTAAAAGCATTCACCCTTTTTGCGAAAAAGTTAAAGAAGAACCTTTAGAAACTGAATGCAATGATGCTCGAGATGCGGTTGCATTGTGCAATTTAAGAAGATACGATGTAAATTTGCCTCCATTGTATCAAAATTTTGATTCAATCAAAGGAGTTGGACAAAAATTTCTTCTCGATAGATATGGAGGATCAGTTAGTCTTGCAGATTACTGTCCGTATATCCAAGAATTTACTTGGAAATCAAAAGATGTTGTCGTTCGAGGATCACAATGTCAATTTGTTGAAAACAGTCCACCACAAGATAAAAATTTTGCTCTTGAATCTTACGGTCCTAATTCGAGGTGTTTCAATCATAAAGAAAAGTGGGAAGAACGAGCTTGTTCACAAAGTCGCCATTGGCAGCATTGGGGATCAGGATGCTACAAGGTTTGTCATCTCGAATCGTTTATCATGACTTTTGACTTAATCTTATTAATTGTAAATTTGAATCAACAGTATGAATGCGTTGATGGTAAAATACACTTGGAAATTGCAAACTTAACCTATGTTTGCGACTATAAAGATCAAGAAATTAAAATCCAAAGACTAGTTAATGGATGGCTTCATATGGGAACCATCATATGCCCCTCGTGTGATGAATTATGTCCTGTAAGTTTGTTAAATCACCTATTAGAATTATCTTACAATCTATAAATTTACTAATTATTCTATTATTTTTCTATGCAGAACTCTATATGTCGAGATTTGATCAAAACCAAAACAGTATCTGATAATGAAAATAAAAAAGACTATTTGCAATGTGGATCTCATTATTATCAAGCCAACCAAACTGTGATTCTGGTTCATTTAATTTTCTTCTATTATTTCTATTCTTATTGGAGATAACATTTCCTATGAAATAGATTACAAACAATTTTCCTTTTACCTTTGCACATAACTTCTTTCTTTTTCCTGTCAATTTCTTTCTGTATGTATTGTATACAAAATAATATGTTAAACAATCAATTTTATAACATTGAATCACTGAAAAGACTGTAATCAAATGAGAGATTAATCTATATATCAGTGCCTGATATTTTGCAGACTCTGAAGTACTCAATTTTCTATCTGCAATTCCAAATGATGAACATAATAAAATTATCCGTTGAAATTCCGGTTTTCTTATTTATTTTCAAGGGACATTTGTGCCTTATTAATTATTAATTAATAATCCTCAGCCAATCAACATTTTGTATTCGGTATCTAGTTTCTATCAAAGCTGATAGATGGAGATAGTGGTTGCCGGAAAAATCGGTCTTTTGAATGAAACATATTTTTAAAGATTGATGTCAAAACAACCTTTTATAACATTTTGAAATCATTTGAAAACGTTAATTGTATTAATCAATTTAATTGTCATATTTTCGTTCCTGTTTCAATACATTTAGCATCTGCAAATTTGAATTATTTTGTAAATAAACAAACAAATTTCTCAGTGCTCTCTAAAGGTATGTCTTTGCATTTTAAACTTTACTTGTTATATTTTTCTTGTCAATTTTGTCTCAATATTCATATGCTTGTTTATTCTCTATTATTTAGATGTCTTCACAATTTAATGTACCCGTTAGCATTGAAATTACAGATGAGTATGCGGTACAAGAAGTGACTTATGATGGCCAAGAGAAATATCAATCCCCCTTAACTATGTCCGAGAATTTAGCTCGTATGGTTCAGCGGATTGATTTTAATTCAATTGAGAGTGAAGAAGACAATGATGATACCTCCGAAACTAAAGAATCGCCTTCTCTCGCGGCACCTCAATGGCCTTGGGAATCAGCTCGAAATAAAATTCGCAGTGCATTAACTGAAATACATGTTCTGGAAGATGTTCTCAATATAGCCAAAGAAAAAAAATATCTTGTTCTTGATCCTGTTTCTCAAGACTCTGTTGACACAAAACCAATTGTCAGTCTGGTTGCTAAAAAGAAAGCTTTCGCTGTTGCCGCATCAATTATCATGAGCGGAGCTGATAGAATCAAGCAGAGTAAAAATGATGCATCTCGAAGTCAAACATCTGACTTTCATTCTGAGCTTATGCAGATGAGACAAAGTTGGAGATTGAGGCGAGCCGGTAACTCTATAATTGGTGATCTTAGCTATCGATCAGCTGGTTCATGGTATCCTCACCCAGGAAATTTTGAGGTAACCAAGAATGAAGATCCACCAAAAACGCAAGCATCTCCAAATCAATCGAGCAACTCACCTATTGGACCAGGACCCAAACAGAGTGCATTAAAGGTTAAAATTCCGAGTGATCTTGAGGGTGTAGCTTACATACATGTATGTGTTCAAGAAGGCCGGAATGAACTCGATGACGACCCTATCAAACCTGTCATTGACCTAGAGGCTCTCTCGAAAATTGAATTAACTTGGCAACAGAAGCTTGAAAATGCTCAGAATGTGCTTTTCTGTAAGGAATTGTTCGCCAAGCTTGCCCAAGAGGCAGTGCAAGTTCAATTTCCTATTCCAACTATAGTTAATAGTAATGTAATTATTGCAACTTTATTTCCTGGAATTCAACTAAATATTGGATTAGTTCATTTAACTCCACCAAAAAAGAAGCGAAAATTTGGTAAATTTGAGAATCACGAAATTGCAGAGAAAAATAATGAATCCGTGAAGTTCCCTCATAAGCATGTATTAGAGCATACTTTACATCAGTTACTCCGAGAGATTCATTACAACGCTCTTCATCATCCAATGCCTCATCCAACAACAGCGACTTTAGGTTTGAGTCGTCTAAGATATTTTGCTGGACCAGAAGCCTATGATCGCCATGTACTCACCGAATCGTGTAAAAATGAAACCATGTTAGAACAAATAATTGCTCAAGCCCAACATTTTGTTCTCCGTGATCAAGCTTTAAAAACTATTGACGATCTTTCTAAAGAAATCAAGGAAGCTATTATTATTGTACATTGTTTATGTTTGAATAGTCCTATTCGTAGTTGTATCAAAATTGTTATTGTTTCAAGTGGCTACGAATCTCTCAATCGTACTCCAGTAACCATTCACGTTAGTTCTAAAAACATGACCATTATCTGCCGAGAAGGTAAAAAGTATACTTTACACTATGATGTCGGATTACTTCGAGAAACATTGCTGAGCATTATTTCTCATCATCATTTGTCAACAATTCAAAATTTATGCAAATTAATGGGATGGAGATGCATTTCATACACAAGTAATTGTGGAATCGGCTCTATAGAACAAATCGGAACAGCTTCATCACTTTTGATTGCTTCACCAAACGATGAGAGAGTCATTTCTATCCGACATGGACCAACATCTGGAGCTGTAGTTGCTGTTTCAACTAATCCAAGGGATCAAGATTTCTATCCAAGTTCAATTATTCGTGATCGTAAATGGCAAAATATCCAGTCTAATTATAAATCAATCGATTTAACGAAAATGCCAGGTAAAAACTTAATCAACAAAATCGAGACTCTTATGTCTTTTGCAAAAGGTTGAATCTGCAGCTTCGAACTTGACCTTTTCTGAACAAATATTTATCTAAATTTCCATTCTTTATAAAGCTCTTTTTTTGTAAATAAATATTTTGTGAAAAACATATTTTAATCATCACAAATTTTAATGATTATCATTTTATTAATTCTCATTATGATTACATGATACTTTTACAAAGTACTTGTACTTCAATTTATTTTGACTTTATAATCTTATATGAGAACAATAATTTATATTGAAGTTGCAATTTATTCCGTCTAATATTTTCAAATTTTGGTCACAATTTAGCAAAAGGTAAAGATTTCTAAGTTTTTCTTTGTAAATTGTACGCAAACAAGATGGTCACACGGATAATTAGGCTTAAGAAAATGTAAATATCAAAATAAATTAATACATTTCATCATTGAAGACCTGGGAAAGCCTATAACATTGAAATAGATTGAGAAGTAAATAGAATAAGTCAAATTGAAATGAGATCATTACTATTGACTAATTATTTACTCTGATTAAATACATAGAAAGTAATCTAGATATATTTTTTTCTTCAGTACAAACAGGTAAATCGGAGTAAATAAGAAGATAACTCCTCAAGAAATCCCTTAGATACTCTGATTGTTTTACTTCCATATCCAAATGGACTTTTTGTACTCCCAGAGCACTCTTCTCATAAATTTGATAAAGATCGCGTGATTATTGCTTTAGCTAGTTAACAATCCATCATCTTGTACCTTAATAGTCTATTCATCTAATAGAAACATCAGATATTTACATTTGTTGGCGAGTATGTTGATGTTAAAATAATTTATATAGACAGCAATGAAAATCAAGGATTATGAAGATATGATTAGTGCTTGGGATCGATACGCCTAAACCATTCACTATTCTATGACAAGATATAAAGCCAAGGAAAGAATCATTCCAAAAATGAGTAAAACTGCTATTCCAACTCCAATACCTCCAACAATCAAAGCATGAGCTTTTACAAACTCTTTCATTTTCTCATAACAATCCTGAGTAACGCCAAGATCCAGATCCAAAACCAAGACAAACATGAAATAAAAATGAAATAGCGATCAATAAATTGTTTAAATTAACTGCTATTATACTTACATCCATGAATACAAATCTTTCTTCTAATTTATCTCTTACACAGGCCTTTCGTTGCTGAGGTTCAAGTGGATTTTTGCAACAGCTTTCAGGAACTTGAGGACCACTTAGCCTAAAATTAACATTTCGCATCCAAATTTTATAAGCCTTCTGGTCACGGCCAACTTTCGGATTAGCAATATTAGGAATAACTCCACAACAATTGAACTAGAAGAAAAAGAAGTCGATTAGTAAAAAAATTAAATTTCAATAATTGATGAGAAACATTACATTTCTATGGACAGCATCCCATGATTCTGTTACTTTGGTATCGTTTCCATAAAGTTTGACAGTCATTATCATCTCTGAATGCATTCGTTCATCAACCTTTAATTGTATGAAATAGAAAAAAAATGAACAATAATTTGAGGGAAAACTATTTAGAAAGGGTTCACTGAGTGACAGTGACATGACATTTACCGTTTTAATCTGATCAGAATAGCCAAAAATAAAACTATACAAAACAAACTGCAAGCAACCTTTAAATAAACTTTTTGATTGAAATTCATTGTATTCTTAGAAATTGTGAGATGACTCGTCAAAACTCACAAGGTGTGCCTCAGGTATTACTAATTCACATTACCTGAATGCTGCAGCATTCCTTGAAAATATAAACCGATCAAATATTGATAAATTAACCTTTGATATTAACTCAAGTCAACAAATAATAAAATTCATTATTACAGATATTAATAATATGATAAAGGTCATTCAAAAATAACTGTTATAATTCAATCCTAATTTAGATGAAAAAGTTTCAATATATTTTTCAATCAAATTGAATAAAATGTAATAAAAATGCATCAATAATTTTTTGCCCTTGTTGTCTTGTTTGCAGTTTTACATGAAAATCAATGTGAATACTAATTATAGATTAGCAAGGTCTTAAAAATGATTTATCAAATAATAACTTCAAATAATCTAATTATTCCTGCATTTACTCTATCGGTAGTGAGATTTGCAAATTACGGATATGAGCTGTTAACATACTACTTGTTCAACTGACTGTCATAGTCAGTCATAGTTGTAGGGTGAAAGTTATGTACTGGAGTATTATTTGAACAAAATGAAGGTTCGAGCGGAAATAAAACTCACAACCTTACCTCGCTTCGAAATATGTAACCCAAAATACCTCCGGTTAACATGGTCAAGAAAATCATAGCAAGTATAAAAAAGAATGTTATTAAAACAGAACGAATCTCTTTCCAAGCTCCAATAGATCCAAGAAAGGATATAATCGCCACAACCACACCAGTTCCAATCAAAATAGATGCTGAGGCTATGTATGATTTAGTCCCTAGAAGCCTTTCCATAAAAGATTTATCCGAAAGAGTCCATACACCAATCGAAAAAACAGTTATCCCGCCGGCCTGGTCAGAAATGATGGATTAAAATAAATTATTAGAATTAAAATGTACAATTTGGTTCAAATACAGAAAAAGTATATTTGCAATTTTTTCAGACACTGTTTAAGAGCTGATAGCAAATTATACTGTCAAAGAGGGATACGAGGACGGTTCGTGCAATTCACTGCAATTAAATTATTGCTGATTGAGAGTAAATTATTGCTTTAATATCTAATATTCACTTTCTAACTCAAACATAATGCGTTATTGAATGGACCAAAGAACAAATTAATGAATAGATGAAAAAGTGATGGTGAAAAAGATTTTAAAATGATTGATACTCGTAGTAAGACGACAGTAGTTCAATGGCCAAGTAAAACTTTAGAAGTAAATTTGAATAATTAATGATGAAAGAAAATGGATTAGTAGGAACAGAATCCACCTACAAAAACTGTTGAACTGTTGTTTTCAATTCAATCAATCATAAACTATCAGCTTTTGGTTATTAATAACTTGACTACCTCCATTTTTCACTTGAATTTCGATAATTTAATCACGGAAATCACAGGAGATGAATGGATAATATCTAACAGAGTATCAAGACAAAGAAATTTAAAGCCAATAAAGGCTGATTGGGCAGTAAATTACACAAATTTTTCTTTTTTCACGAGTTTTTATAGCAAGAAACTTGCTATTTTATGAGTTATTCATTATCATTAATCCCAGACACAATGATAATTGAATTCATGAAAGGAAATCAAATGAAAATTATAATACTTACAAATATAACTCCATTTGCGATGAGCATAGCAAATTTAACTCCTTTTGCAAAACCGTCAACCATTTTTGATAACTATTAATCGTTGTATTACCGATCAGACACATCAGACCTTCTGAGGTGGTCAGAAAATTCTGGTCTGGTACTGAACAAAAGTGTAAAAAGTCAAGTAAACATTTAGCCACATACGAAGTAATAAACTTAAAGGAAAATAAAAGCTTGATGTTAACAATTCAGCACAAAGTTACTTTAATAACTGTAAATCTAATTATTGTATTTAATCACACAAATTGAAAGTAGCAGTTAACTCACTCGGCTCTTTCAGTGTCACCGACTTTTTTGAAGCAGAACAAGAAACGGAAGAAAAAATGTAATATTTTAGTCACCAAATTGTCTTCCTCGAGACACAAGGTTAGCGAAAAGACGTTGATTTGAAAACAAAAGAAATATGGTTGAGCTTGTTGATTACTCACAGAGCAAAAAGTTAACCAATCACTGTGTTGATCGCAAATGAATCATGATTGTTGCTCTCTCTCTCTCTGGCTTGATTTGAGCGGGAGAAAGAGAAACCAGCCATTTTTAATGTGACTCAATCAATCCTTTTTAGCTTCTTTCAATGTTGCCTGTGTTTTGTCAGTGTATAACTTCAGCTTCATCAGTTCTTTACATCAAAGGAAGAAAGGTAAATCAATTTTTTCACATTAATCGGGACTAGGAATCATCATAATCATCATCAGGGTGTGCCTCTTAAAGTTGATCAAATTATCGTGACCATTACAGGAATGATGTTGAAGTATAAAGATAGCATTAGTGAAAAAAAGAAAAATAAGATTGAGAAGATGAAGAATCAAGCTTAAGAATGATTTTTGGTGATGATTATGATGGTTTTTGATCATTTTGATAGTGTAGGCGTTCAATTATTGCGTTGAAAAAACATGATAGAAATTCAGTTTTAAATCGATAATCATAACTCTAGTTTACTCAAACTTCATGTAATATTAGCTTTACAAGTTTTCATTGTGCGTCATAAATGTATTTCTTTAATATTTATTCAGTCTAGTAATATGTTAATCCATTATCTTTGCGAAATTGGCCGATTTATTTGATGATCATTAAACATGATCATTAACAGGTTAAATAATACACCTTTAATATGAAATCTATTTAATCAACATACTTTGTATCAAAATACATTTTGATAAAGTCATTACCAGAATAACATTAATAAAGCAAAATTTTCAATGCTAATCAAACCACGTTAGAGTTATCATTCAAGTGATATTTATATTCAATTAGAGATAATTTAATAACTATTATTTTAAACAATCCAAGTTAATATTAGCAAGATTACATCAAATATTAACAAAATGTATTGTCTTCAATAGAGCTTATCATAGATCTGTCCAGTTTAAGCTCTATTCGTGATATTATTAATGATTTATTAATTTTTGATATTAGTAAATTGTTAGTTTTTTTATTGATGAAGTGTTTAATAGTGAAATTGTCCAGTAAAACTTGATCTGACCTCGAAAATTTTAATTAAGAATCATTTTGAATCATTTAATGCTTTTTATGCATTTTACGCTTTACGCTTTTTATGCTTTGTTATTCACATGTGTTTATTTGTTTACACTTTTCTTATTTTCTTTATTATGATGCTGTGTTAATTGGTTTTTGTATTTTTTCTTGATTTAGGTCGCAAAGTTGGATGATAATGGTTTTTTAAGATCATCAAGGATTGATTTGCTTCTTTGTGGGCTCTTTTTGTATTATTTTTTGCCATTCACACATGCTTATCTTCCCTCTTCTATTGCCAGCTTTTCAACTGAATAAATTTTTATTTAATCAAGTGAAATCATTGAGGAATTGTGGTTTTTTTGCTGTTCAGCGGTTATTTCATAAAAATGCGAAGGATCCCAATCCAATGGCCTGTTATCCGGAATCTCCTTTCAAACGTGTTGATGAATTTAGGATATTTTTGAAAAAATCTTTACTCAATTCCTGGTTACTAAAAGGGAATGGAAGTGAAGAAGACAAGGAACTTAATTTTCAAAGGTTGGAAAAATGGTTAACTAGACCACCAAAGTATACGACAATCAGATTCAACACAAATAAACTGGACCAATCTTCTGCAATCACCAAATTGAAAGAAATACTATCAAGTCGCTGTCATCGGTTTCCAGTTGAGTCATTGTCTATTCAGGGTCATTCAATTTTAAAAGATTTATTGGTTATTACAAACGGTGGTTATTATGATAAAATTGAAAACCTTAAGCCCTACGGTAAACCTGTTATTATTGATCTTAGAGCTGGCCAATCTGTTCTCAGAGGATCAGAGATTTATGTTGGTGGAATAATTGGTGCCACAGCCGATTTAAGAAAACTTGACAAAGTAGCTGTGTATGTTGATATTGAAGGTAAATGCTTAAAAGGGTGGAAGAGACCTTATAAAGGAGCTAAAGTATTCATTGGAAATGGGATAAGTTTATACAATCGTCGAGACATTTTCAATGACAATCCACCTCAAGGAATTGGAGTACAATTAACTGATTGCCTTTATCCAGCTCCATCTTTATATGGGAACATGAATAATCTTTTCTTTGCTCAAAATTTTCCCTCCATGGTCACCGTTCATGCTCTTGAAGTATCTCCTGGACAAGTTATTTTGGACATGTGTGCCGCGCCCGGCGGTAAAACAACTCACATAGCATCTTTAATGAATTTAACAGGAACCTTGATTGCTTGTGATGTATCTAAATCTCGTATCGATAAATTGAAAGCTAATCTTGAGAGGTGGGAAATGGATCAATTCGTATCAGTTTTTACACACGATTGTACAAAACCAATCAACATTAAAGATGGCCAAACTAATTCAAGTAATCAGAGCCACCTTGAACCACCATTTTGTGAAGAAACGTTTGACCGTATTTTATTAGATGCTCCATGTAGTGGGCTTGGTCAAAGACCTCAACTTGTCGGTGATAGAAGTCTTGCCAGCTTTTTATCCTATCCGAAAGTACAATCAAGACTCATTGAAAATGCTGTTAAATTGCTAAAACCAGGAGGAATCCTTATCTATTCAACATGCTCTTTCACCATAGAAGAAAACGAAGCTATTGTATCCAAAATTTTGCACGACCATCCTGACTTAAGTTTGGAACATCAGTCTCCTTATCTTTTCGGTCAACCAGGTTTTGAAGGCGCTCATAATCTAACATCAGAAGATTTATTGAAAGTCCAACGTTTTATTGGTTCTTATGATATTGATGCAGCTGAAAGTGACACAATTGGCTTTACGATCTCTAAGCTTCGCAAGGATAAATAAAATGAACAATTTCTTTGAATATTTCAACATTGAAATATTTTGTAACTATTTGATACATGTCTTTTTATCACAAATAAAGTATCGAACTGAGTTTTTTTACTTTTGAATGTTTTCTCATTATATCAATATTTGTAAATGTTTATACGTTATTCAAATAAAAAAATTGAAACTTAATATACTCAGTCTCTTATCTGTATAAAGAGTAACAATGAAACAGAACAGAAAATCGAGTATTATCTGATAATATAACCGAAGCGTTTCAATTCCTGAATGCCAATGAAAGTCTCATAAAACAAATTAATTTTACTTCTGACACCGGACTGTCAATACGATTAGAAGCATTTTCTGGTTTTCGACGATTTGAGTTTGCATCTATTTTGGTGAGACTTAAACCTGCGAAGCCGAGGGAAATATTTTGCCTTCTCACCAGATTCGCACCTCTTGTTTGGCTTTATTTTGCATCAATCCTTTCTAGATCGTTAGGTCAGAGTACAGTCCAAGTCCATTACGGTTTCTGTATGAAATCTCTGTCCAAAATCTTCGAAAATTACAAATAAGTAACATAATAGTGCTTTCGTTTTCTTTTCACTTTGCTGACTTAATGCTGTTTGTTACTAAAAGACACAACTAACCCAATTAACACATCTATACACAAATTGACAGAAAACTGAAAAACAAAAGGAACCTGATCGGATAAAAGTAAATTTATTTAAAAGTTAGAGTGTGTTAGTTTGTAGGGACATAAAAACTGTGTCCATGTACGTGATTTGGAAGTTTCTCTCATCAATAGTTTTCGAGAAAATCGAGTTTGAAGTTGAAACTTCGAACTCCATTTGTACATTTATGGAAGCAGATTTTGTCGTGTAACTCATTTCTCTGATGTGACTTTTGATGATAAACCAGAAAATATACTTATTTTGAGAAATAATATTCTATATTCACCATAAAACAGATCAGTTCGATTTCTATTTAAACCGACCTTATTCTGTGACCGTAAAAATTAGAGAGCTGAAACTTATTATTTGACCATAAAAATAGTTTGCACACATCATGGTTTCAATAGTTTTTCCGATGTATCAATAGTTCTCTTGATTTTGAACATTCGTAAGCGAACTTTGAACCTCAATAATTCGAGAATGGTTACAGTTACAATCAATATTCTTTCTCCAATTTGATTCTTTACTAGACAAAAAGTCAATTCGTTCAATCAACTGTCTATTAGCGCATTTGGATAATGATGGTTGCGTTGTAAATGTACAAGCAACAACTTATTCAACATAACAAACTCACAACCCATATCTGGGTGAATAAACCAATTTTCTGGTTAAACTTGCAAATGAAATGCAAAGAGTGCTGCCAAAGACGCGAACATTTGAGTAAAGAATTAAGACTTAGTGGATCTGTAGGTGCATGTAAACTGAATCCATTGCTGCAATTAAATAGTTAATCCGGAGGACAGTCTTCGAGAAAATCGAAGTCAAAGTTTAAACTTTGATCGCCCTTTGTGCAATTATGGAAGCAGATTTTTTCTTGAAAATTTATTTGACTGATGTAAATTTAGATGAATAACCAGAAAATGTCCTAATTTTGAGGAATAACATTCCAGGTTTTCTGTAAAACAGATCAGTTCGATTTTTAGTTAAACCGAACACATTCTGTGACCATAAGAGTTAGAGTGCTAGAACTTATTATTCGTTCATATCAATTGTTTGCGCACACCATGAATTAAATACTTTTCCCCATTGACCAACAGTTCTCTTGATTTTGGCCATTGGCCTTAAAACTTTGAACCTCAATAGTTCAAGAATGGTAACATCTAAAGTCATCATTCTTTCACCAAATATTAGATTTCATTATGGGTTATGATATAATATGCCTAAATATCGTATAAAATCCGGGATATTTAACATAATCACGAATATCCTTCAAACACATAAGCTTTGTGGTTGCTACAAACAAAATCTTGCTTGTGCTACATCTAACTTTATAAATCAAGCTCAAATCTAGTTACACAAACAATTACAATGCTGAAAGTCTTTTTGTAGCATCTTGAGTGATTTACGATTTCATTATTATTATAGCCCATAATGCAATCTGATGTTTGGACAAAAAATATTGATTGTAGCTGTAACCATTCTCGTAATATCGAAGTTCAAAGTTCGTGTACGAATGGCCAAAATCAAGAGAACTGTTGTTCAATTGGAAAAATTATCCAGTCCATGATGTGCGCAAATCATTTTTATGGTCAAATAATAAGTTTTAGCTCTCTAATTTGCACGGTCACAGAATAAGGTCAGTTTGAATAAAAATCGAACTGATCTGTTTTACAGAAAACCTGGAATGTTATTCCTCAAAATTAGGACATTTTCTGGTTATTCATCTAAATTTACATCAGTCAAATAAATTTTCAAGAAAAAATCTGCTTCCATAATTGCACAAAGGGCGATCAAAGTTTAAACTTTGACCTCGATTTTCTCGAAGACTGTTCATCAGATGAGCGATTTAATTGCACCAATGGATTCAGTTCTTATTTACCAACAAATCTGCAAAGTTTCAACTCTTTACACAAATGCTAGAGACTTTGGCCGCACTTCTTGCATCTTTAACCAGAAAATTGCTTTATTTACCAAGAAATGGGTTTAAGTGAGTTTTGTTTGCTAAATAATTTGTTGCGCGTTCATCAAAAGCCCAACTATCACGATCCAAATGCGCTAATGGACAGTTTTTCGATGAATTGTATTTTTAACAACTAAAGGATTAAGTTGGTCTAAGAATGATGTTTTTAAGTGTAGCCATTTTCGAAATTTCGAGGTTCAAAGTTCGCTAACGAATGTCCAAAATCAAGAGAACTATTGATGCATTGGAAAAAGTATTGAAACCATGATGTTCGCAGACTATTTTTATGGTCAAATAATAAGTATTAGCACTTTATTTTTTACGGTCACACAATAAGGTCGGTTTAAATAAAAATCGAACTGATCTGTTTCATGATGAACCGAAAATTTTGTTTCTCAATATAAGTACATTTTTCGGTTCATTATAAAAAGTTACATCAGGTAAATGCGTTAAGCGCAAAAAATCTGCTTCCGTAAATGTACAAATGGAGTTCGAAGTTTCCACTTCAAACGCAATTTTCTCGAAAACTATTGATGAGAGAAACTTCCAAATCACGTACATGGACACAGTTTTTATGTCCCTACAAACTAACAAAGTCTAACTTCGAAAGAAATTTATTTTTACCAGTTTATGTCCATTTGTTTTTCAGTAGACAATTGTGTCAATTATGTCTTTTAGTAACAACCATCATAAAGTCAGCAAATGGAGAGGAAAATTCACGCGCAATTATGTCACTTATTGTGATTTTGGACAGAAACCGTAATTGACTTGGACAGTACTCTAACCAAACGATCTATTCATGATGGAATGCCCAATAACCCAATCAAAAGCTTTAAATCTATCGAACAGTGCAAAATATTCATCTCAGCACTTATTGTAACTTAGAAATGAGTGTTTAAAAGTTGTAATATTTCAGTACTAAATGTTCAGTATATCGTTTTTATTTTTAAATCAATACAATGTCTATTCATTATGAATAAATTAATAAGACAAATTCTAACTCTTAGAATTTATTAAATTGCTTTTCAGTGAAATGAGTTACACAAATCTGCTTCCATAATTGAATAAAAGGCGTTCGAAGTTTTAACTTTGACCTTGATTTTCTCGAAAATTGTTTATGAATTAATTAACAGTACCAATGGATTCAGTTTTTATTTTGCTACAAACCTAGCAAGTCTCAACTCTTAAATCAAATGTTCGAGTCTTTGGCAAGAAATACGTTAAGATGAGTTTGTCTTGTTGTATTAGTTTGCAAATTCTAAACTTGAATTTTTTAAATTAATTTTTCAACACAAATGTTAAACAATCTTACGAAGTAAAAGGAATAAAATTGAGACAGAAGTTTTTATGTCAAAATGTTTGAACAAAAATTATTCATGTTCATTTACTAATCATTTGGTGTTAGACCAAAAATATGTACAAATATATAGACATTTAATAATTAAAAACTAGTGATTAATGTCTTTGATTTCATTTCTCTCCTTGTGCTTTCTCTTTACTTGAATCAGTTTCTCTGAGATTCAGCTGTTTCTTCAATTCTTTTATCTCTTCATCTCGAGATTTGACAATATCCGTCAGTTCAGTCACTTTGTTGCTCAAATTTTTGACTAGGATTACCAAATCTGAGTACGATGGTTGATTAAGATTAATTTTCCAACCATAACGTATAATCTCTTCGTTATCTAATATTTCTGATGCTTCAGGTCTGGCATCTGGGTCATTTTGTACAGTTTTTAAGATTAGATCAGCAAGGCACTTGTGTTTAGTCAATTCATCGGGTAAAATTTGTAAAGTTTTAAGCTGCTCAAATCGGTCTGCTCTTTCCATATCCGTGAAAAGGGGATAAAGTAACTCAAAAGCGATCAGACCAAAGCTATAGATATCTGCTTTACGACCATACGAAGTACTCTTGAGTTGTTCAGGGGCAGAGTAGGTTTTCGTACCTAATCCTTGAGTACGCTTTCGTTTTTTTCCTGGACCTTTCTTGGCTACATCTGCAATACTTTCCGGAAGATCGTTAATGGTGGTTAGTCCGAAGTCAGCAATTTTAACTACTCCAGCAGAAGAAAAAAGAATATTTTGGGGCTTAATATCACGATGAATTAAATTATGCTCATGAAGATGTTGAACACCTCTTAAAATTTGAATCATTATATCAATTGCAGCATCATAATCTACAGAAGTACTATTTATTAGTTCAGCATTCCGTTTGTCGATCCAAGTTCTTAAGTTAAATTTACAAAGTTCCATTTGGATGAATAAAACACAATATAACACAGGAGCTTTTGTAATATCTGAGCTTTTCTTTGATTCCTTTTCAACTTTAAGTTCTGGTATCACTTCAGATTGAATTGGTTGTTCAGATTGTTCAGATTGAGTTGGATATTCGGAATATTCAGATTCTTCAGATTCTTCATAGTGAGTTGAAAATTCCGAAAATTGCGAGGAAGTCCCGGGTAAAGGTTCCGATGAAAATCTGGATGGAAGTTCTGCTGGTAAAGAGTCATAGGCTTTCGATGGGATAATCTTTGGAGTGGGTGAGTATCTGAAAAAAGCTGAATTAGATGACTGGACTGATAATTCGTGCTTTTTTGTCAATGCTGCTAATGATAATTTTGATAAGCTTAAATTTGAATTATGAGATTCTGAAGATGATGAAGATGACGATGAATCAAATGGAACTAATTTCTCTATATTTTTAGTACTTTGAGGTGAATTTTCTGGAAGAACGAAGCTTTTCACATAACTTTCCACCCAAGAACCTTTGTAGCTGACTATGTTTTGGTGGGTTGGCAGATTAGCAAAAAGGATAACTTCTTGGACAATCTTTGCGGCCTGAATTTGGTCTCTACTCTTGAAAGGAATCAGTTTAATGGCATAAAAACATCTGTCGGTTAAATTTTGCATGGCATATACACGACCAAAGCCACCTCTTTCGATCAGGCCATAATTTACAAAGTCTTTCAAACGATTGTCTTTGAAAACATCCAAGAGTCGACCGTTCATTATTTCGTGATGATGAGTGTTGAGTTTAGTGAAGAAATTTTCTCTGCTTGTTGATTTGAAAGGTAAGGTTAGATTTCCGTTTCCAGCTCTTGCTTGAATGGGAAACAGTTCCATTTTTTTATCAATTTCCAAAGAGATGTGAGGTATAATTTGATCTATATAGGAACAATACACTTTTCCTGATTGTCGGACTGTATCCATTTGTGGAAAAATTACGAGCGCTTGTGATAATCCTAAATATCTGCATAATTTTTGGTAAACCAAAGGATGCTTTGATGGGTCTTTTTCAAATTTGGCTACTTTCTCATACAATAAAGAATAAAAGGCAAAAAGTGTTTCCTTGAATGAATCCGAATTAATCACCGAATTAGAGTACTCCTTATCGATTATGCCAACGTCCATCTTGAGAATAGGTAAGAGACATGACCGAGTTTCATCGAAAGCCGGGTTTTTTGTTTGCACAGGTTTAAGGGGATTAGAGTCGTTAGTCATATTTGCACTGATTTAAAACAGTTCACCTAAAAGGTTGCAGTTAAAGAGTAATCAACCTTTTGGTTGTACCTCTTAAATATCTAAATTACAGCTGATTGAATGAAACATGCACCATGGTTACGTAAACAGTTTACAAGGTCGTACTAAAACCCGCAATAATAATAGCCACAAATACACAATTAGCCACAAAAACCATAAATGTTCATTTTTAATTGGCAACACTACAAGCTCCAATTTCAATTCAGTAAATTTGTACATTTACATGTATCGTTAAACTCTTAAAGGCACAATTTTGTACCAATAAAAGCACCAGTGTGTAAGTGATAATCTGAATTTAGCAAATTCAGATTCAAGGGAATTTTCAAGAAATTTAACTCTAGACTTTGGATCAAATTTTTATCCTAAATTTTGAAATAATTTTTTAATAATGCTTCATCTGTCAACTAACCTTTTTCGATTCAAATATAAGACAGAATAAAAATGGAAACTTGATTCATTTACTGAATTTAAATTGAGTTTGGCGCTTGTACAAAAAAACCGGTTACTTGATGGTTACCGCCAAATTCAAACATAAAAATGTCATTTTTCATCTTTTATAAGAGCCAGAGGTTGGGTAACTGGTTATAGTAACTAACTGGTCTCCAAAGCGAATATTTTTTCACGAATCACCATGGAGATTGTTTTGGTTTGCTCGATCGAGTCCATTAGTAAATTGTCAATATTGATCTGAAAGTACAATTGTAACTGTTGGTTGAATACCTGCATTATCAGCCAATTTTTGTGATTAAACTCCACTCTTCTCGTAAAAATTTATTTAAAGGGTGTTAAGGTTTATTTCTTGCAAAGTAGGAAAAGGTTAAAGCGATCTTATCTGAAGATAAAGATAAAAATGGTAATAACATGACGATAAATATGAATTGGTCACTTGCATTTGCTTGGGTATTTTGATTAACCTTTTACTTTTGTGATTTCATCTTTATCTTCAGATAATATCGTTTCTCTCCCCCTGTTTTTGCAAGAAATAAACCTTAACACCCTTTACATCAATCACCTCATTTGCTCATTGAACAGTGATTTTATATGTTTCTGTCTCATATTTTCTATAAATTGTGAATTCATTTTGGCCATCTAAATTTCTTTGTACATTCTTCAGTTGTTTGACTAATAGTGTGTAAAATTTCAAAAGAAAATGAATAAGGAACCAGGAGAAGACAATGTCAAGGTTGCTATTAGATGTCGACCTCTTCTACCAGAGTCTAATGAAAAAGCAATGGCTATTCAGGTAAGTTACCCTCGAAAACTTCTTTATCCCTTCTTAACCTATTTTTTCCCGTTTTAACTTGCCACAGTTCGATGAGAATAATCAGTCAATTATTGTTGGTTCGAGAGAATTTACATTTGACACCATTTTCCGTCCAGAAGCAACTCAAATTCAAGTCTACGCTCAATCCGCAAAACACATTGTTGATTCCGTCCTTCATGGATATAATGGTTGGTTACCTTGTCAATTTATCAATGTAGTCACTTGTTTATTTACAAGCACATCTATTCAATTTTGTTAGGAACTGTTTTCGCTTATGGTCAAACTGGAACTGGTAAAACATATACATCCGCGGGAATACTTTCGCATAGCTTTGCTCATATTTTTGGTTTTATTGCTGCCAGTGCAAGAGACACTCAATTTTTAGTTCGAGCTTCTTATTATGAAATTTATAATGAAGAGATTAGAGATTTATTGGTAAGTTTCATTGAAATCTATTTTTCTTTACTTTTCATTCAATCGGAAAATAATAGTAAATGGCAAAATGTTTGAAATACAAGTGCTATCTCATCTTGAAAATAATTTATAGTTCTTCTAACATAATTATCTATTAATAAAACTTATCTAGAATAAGAATAGTAAAACCTTAGAACTGAAGGAATCAGCTCAAAGTGGTGTTTATGTCAAAGATTTATCCTGCTTTGTGATCAACAATGTCAATGAGCTTGAAAAATTGCTCGAAAAAGGTTTGCAAATTAAATCTATTTACCCTGTGATTTAATTTTTGTTCAAGTTTTTGTTTTTTTTGACATTATTATAATAATTTTATGCTTTTCAATTTTTTGACTTTTTAAACCTTTTTTAATCTTCTCCATTTGTTAAAATATATTTACATCCTATTTTTATTTTTCAGGAAATAAACAGCGCGCTGTAGCATCAACAAATGTCAACAAAGATTCTAGTCGGTCACACACTGTTTTCACTATAGCAATTGAACAAATAAAAAGTATGTATCAGGCATCTTAATTTCACTCTTTGATCAATAATATTAACATTTTTTCTCATTTGATTATTGATATTTTGTAGCTGCTCCATCAGAAGGACGAGGACCTGGAAACCTTCGAGTTGGTAAACTTAATCTAGTCGATTTAGCTGGATCAGAAAGACAGAGTAAAACAGGAACTCAAGGGGATAGACTTAAAGAAGCTGCCAAAATTAACCTATCATTAACATCTCTCTCTTTGGTAATTGCCGCTTTAACTGATCCTAAAGCAACTCACATTCCTTATCGGTAAGAATTAACCAATTTCATCTTGAAATCATTCAACTGTTGCTTAAGATTTCAACATTATCGACTTCTATTCACAGAAATTCCAAACTTACTCGACTTTTATCCGACTCATTGGGAGGTAATTCAAAGACTCTTTTAATTGCTTGTATCGGTAAGTATTACTAACAAGTTAATCGAAATATTATTCGTATTTAATCTAAAATGAATTGTATGATTTCAGGTCCCGATAAGTCGAATATTGAGGAAACAATAAGCACTCTAAGATTCGCCAGTACAGCCAAACATATCAAAAACAAAGCAAGAATCAACGAAGATGCAAAAGACACGTTATTGCGTCGATTCCAAGAACAAATTCTTGAGCTCAGAAAACAACTGGAAGCTACCGAGGCTGAAAATATTGAAAATGGACAACCTGAACCCGAAATTGACGGTAAATTTTCCCAGATCAAAATATCAATGAAACATTTGCAGAAAATTGACTAAATTTCATGGGATAAAACAGTTTCTTTCCTTACTAACCTTATCTCTCTTGTTAGTTGAAAAAAAACCTGCTAACCCTGAACTATTAGAGAAACTTAAATGCCTTGAAGAAAAAATCATGGTTGGAGGTGAAAATCTATTGGAAAAAGCTGAGCTTCAAGAAAAACTATTAATCGAAAGTGAAGCTGAATTAGAGGCACGCAAGTAAGTGTTTCAATTACATTGTAAAATTGTTGTTGATAACAAAAAAATAAATTGTGTATAAATTATAATCTAGAAAAAAAGAAGACGAACTTAAAATCGCATTGGAAAAGAAGCAAGCTGAAATGATTCAAATTGAGGAATTTTATGGGACACTTCAAGAAGAAGTCGTTGGAATCAATAAAAAATTAAAAAAGGTAATTTCTTTGTAAAGTCTTGATTTGTGAAGAAGCAACGCTTGAACTAATAAATCGATTCATTTCGTGGTCTCTCTACTTATGTGGATGATTCACTTAACAGGTTTTCAACTATTTATGTTCAGCCAAAAGTGAATTGTCTGATATTCAAAGTGAATACAGCAAACTTCGTGAAGATCTTTTGGACACTATAAGAGCTACCCATAAAGAAATAAAATTGGCAAATTTAATCATCAGTCAATTCATTCCAGGTAAATTGTAAAATAGTTACGTTCATATTTTTCCCTCCATTTATTCAATTGTTTTTTTTCTTCTTTTTGTTTGCAGAATCTTGCTTTGAAATGATCCAAGAATCAGCCAAATACAATGAACTTGTTGGAGAATGGCAATTGAAATGCATTGCCTACACTGGGAACAATATGCATGATGTTAGTTGTCAAAAGACTAAATTCAAATTTGCTTTGTGAAACCTAATTATAAAATAATTCTGATACATTTTTAATTTTGAACTTTACAGAAACCATTCCACCATGAGCAGAAAGAAAATTTTGTCGAAGACGATTTCACTGCTAAAGCATATCTTTCATATCGCAAATGAACTTATTACATTCCGGTAAATTAATTTCAAGATCAAAGTTCAACTGGTTGCTTACGATAAAGCATTCAACTGGCAATTAAAGCTTAACTCATCAACCCAACAGGAAAATCTGTTGAAAATGGATTACCACTGTAAATGTTCAATAAATGCTATTTATTTGAACATGCTTATGATTTATAGCAATTGTCTTTGTTACAAATAATTATTGTTACAAAATCTTATGGATTTTTAAGCTTAGAGTAACTAAAGAGTAAGTAATCATGAAATCAAAATCGGATTCAACCGTAAAACAGCGATAGATTCAAAGACAATAAGATTTCACAGTAACAGTAATATATCAAAACACATTTTAACCATTTAACAACCGAATGGTGACAAATAGTACCTTTACAAAGGGTTTAATCCTCATCTAAACTCAAGTTCAATTTATATTCGGTTGTATGGAAATAATCAACCATGATTAGATTATCAAGAAAAATCAATTTGGTAAACTTGAGCCAATTTTCCTAACCAAAGGAACAAGCGCAGGTTAATCACTTATTACTTGTTTGCAAAAGATTGAGCTATTGGTCTCATTTCTGTAAGTAATACTATTAAATATAATAATATATTGTATTATTTGTGTTCATTAATGTAGGTTAGGTTTCAGTTTGAACACTGAAAAAGTTCAACAAAAGATTACCAATGAATTTAACCATCCTGGAAAAAAATATCATTTCCTATTCCATATTGCATTAATTTCACAAGTAAAAGGTTTTTTTAGAACAAGTTATATTTAATTTAATATCAAAGGTGCAGTTGGATATTTACTTTTCTAAGAATTATTTGTGCAATAGCGTTCACTGGTGATATGTTAATTAGAGTAGATTTATTTTTAGCAACATTGCTTAATTTTACGAGCATCACAATGTCGTTGAGTCGCTTCAAATTGCTATAAAATGACAAATTCAGTTCTTTAAACAAAAAGCCTGAATCCATGAAATCAATAGCAACCAAATGCTTGGAAATTGTGACCATTGAAACCCTTTTAATAACATACTAAACCCAAAATGATGAACAAGCTTAAAATGAAAACAATAACATTGTAAACCTAAAAAAGACTCTGATCCAACCAGTTTAACCTGATTAATTTTGGGTCTTTTAGGTTAACCTTTAATTTTTTTCCTGTCAAAGTAATTGTGATTAAATTTGATTATTTCAACAGGTTCAAAAACTAGAGGAAACCAGGAAAAATTAATTCACTGGTGTTACAAATGTAACCTTAAATCAGGATCTAAATAAAGATTTTTGGCACAACTCCTAGGAACCAGGAAAAAAAGATAAGGACAAATTGCCATTGAGCTTGTTTTACATTGAGTAGATGTAATAATAATTTATCAGAAACTGTACTCAGTTAATTATATCAATCCTTTGATAGTAAATAGTGAAATAATCATTGCCATCACACAATGAAGTCAAAAATCACAGAGTAAAAATGAAACATTTACTTTATAGTATAACTTTGAAATACACAAATCCTTTCGTGTTACCAGATTTTTCATTTCCGATCGATATTATGATGATAATCATCCTCCTTCCACCTTACCTTTTATCTAAACTCATCTCTGCCCATATGATGATAAAACTACAAAATATAAATTACATAGATCAAAGTATTACCCAAAGATGAAAGTTACCTTTCCATATAAATCACCATGGAGACTTTTTTGGATCGATTGGTCTTATCACTATGGACCACATTTGGCCCACATTGTGATTGAGCAGCATTGATGGTTAAATAGAAGCAATAACATCTAATAAAAAATCAAAATCCTAAAGGGCCAACAATTAAATCATTACTGAATTATCACCAAAAATAGAAAGCAAAATGAACTGAAACCTACACAAAAGTTGAGTCCAATGAACAGACATTGAGCTAAATCTGGATCTAATTTCATACAATTATTTGACAAATGGTGTGATAAACACTAAACTCACTTTTAACTTAACAATTAGGCTTGATTGTTATTTAAATAACAAAATAATGTGTTAATAAACAATTGACCAATTGTAAATTGAATTGCGCGCTAAACCATAAATATTGGTTTTCAATGTTTACAAATGGCTATTGATTCATAACTTAACTTGAAATAATTAGGTTGATGTTTTGTTTTCTTTATAATCTACTAATTAAATTCAAGATATTTACATATTACCATATTTTTTATAGATTTTATTTGATCAAAATTCATCTGGTTACGGTTGGTAAGTCAATGTGACTTGAAAAGATCTCATCTATTACCTTATTCATGTATTTTCGTACCTTTTCTCATCATCATCATTTTACCTTTTTTTTCTTTCATCATCTTATTATCATCATCATATATTGTAATGACAAATCATCTTAACCACAATTTAGGACCCACCCTGTGCCTAACCTACTTTTATATACAATTACTGTAATTATTGTATGTGTCTGTTTAAATCTGATTTTGAAAAGTCTCTTCTTTTGCTTCACAATAGTTTAATAGATTATCTCTTAGTCATTTCAGGTTTCCAAGACGGACTCAATCGAACAATTAAATTATTATAATTCAAAATTAACATTTTTAAGGATAAAACAATTATCATTGAGCATGGAAAAACAAAATCATTATTACTAAATATACTGCTGCCAATGGTGTAATTATAAATGGTAACCATTAACTTCATTGGTTATGGACAAGGTCAACCAAAAAGGCAAACCTTTCAGTATGGACAACTAATATTTGGCAATAACAATTGACCCAACAATTCAGCCTAAAGTTAACAATCAAATTAGGTTTTGATTCAGTGGATCCATTTCAAAGGTTCAATCCAGAAAGTGATAACCAAATTTTGATGCTTTAAAGTTTTCTGGTTCAACTTTTTAGACTTTAGGTTTTCTGGTTAATTCCTGGTTTTTAATGTTTCTTGTCAAGTGAAACAGCCAATGGTTGAAACATTAACCATGGTTTAATGATTTTCACTTAACTCTGTCCAATCAACAAATCTATACAATGTAAACATACAAATCTGTTTAAACTGGATTCATCTTGAAATACTTCACAATTTGTTGATTTTACCTTGATAAAATAATGCTGATATTAGAATGATTTGTATTCGTATATTTTCAGTTGAATGAATGATCGATGGATTGGCAAAGACAAGATGAATGAGTTCTTAATAACTGTCTTTTGCTGCTAATTGTAACCTAATCAAGGAATGAAGCTGCACTGAAACCAATAGTTTTTCATCTGTAATCATTTGAGTACCTTAATCAGTTTTCAACAGGCACAAGAGCTTCCGGTAAAAAGGTTGTTATTAAAACTTATAACTTGTGATTAACGATAATCAATTGAGAAACCGTTGAGATAATTAACAACAAACAAACCATTCTCACGATTTATCTGGTTACTGTATTTTTGTGATTTTATATTTTTCAACTGCAACATTGATATTTACTGCTTCTTTGGATTAACATTGGTTTTTATTTACACCACAATTATTTCTCGTGATCAATGATCATTGTTATAACAGTTGAAGAGATTTAATTGTTGCCCTTTTGCTGTTTAATTTAAAGATACTTGATACACTGTCTAATCGGTTTGTAAAGATGAACCATTGTAAGTCTGCCTTTTTTTGGTATATTAAGCTTGTTCATCATTACAATCAACTCATTTATTGATAATCATGTTAGTAACAAAAGCCAAATTTATGAAAATCATATTCCATGGAATCTCTCTCCATAGTATTCAGAATTGATTTTTTGCTCATTTCATGGTCAACTATATGAAACGCTTGAAATGAATCGAGAGGAAAATGGTTTTTTTAGGTTTTCTGTGTCCATACTAATTGCTATCAACTCGATTCTCTTAAACCCTTGTATTCCTCTGCAAAAAGACAATTAGGAAAGGTTGTTCATGTTGAGAATTTTATATTTAACTATTGGAAAAAAATTGAGTGATTAATAAACCAATGAGACATTGTAATGCCATGATTTAGATACGAGTATCTAATTATTGGGTTTCAAGTCAAAACCTGGCAATTATTGGTCTTTATACTCCAGGATATGGCAAAATGATTGGAAATGTGCTTTTTAATAATATCTTAAATGTGATTAGTTGAAAAGTCTAAATGGTCTTCTAATATTGATAAATAGATTGTAATCACTTCTCGAGGACCTGAAAGATTTAACCGCATGTTGCGAGTAGTCAGAAGATGTTTATCAAACATTTCATCATTTCCACGATATTTTTTGCTTTTACTGTAAGGATACAGCAAAAGATAATGAAAATTGTAATCACATGAAAAATGCGATTGTAATAAGCAATTGACTAAAAAAAAGCTCAACCAGACTTTTTGTTGGTTTCTTTGTTAACCCAAAAATATTGAAAAAAATGTAACCCAAAAGATACAGATGATTGGGTTGTTAATGTTTAAAATGTTGATACATAGGGTAAAAGTACAACTGGCTGGTAATCCAAACTGGATTCCCAAGAAAAATGTGTATCGACATGATAGCCATCATTATTAAATGAACCTGAACAAATAGTGAACAGCCTCTGGTTATAATTTAAAAAATGAAAATGAAAGTTAATTGTATGCCTTTCCTTAACCATCATTGAAAGTGTTCACAGTAACCAAACCCAGGACCAGATTGTGAAACCTTTCATCTCTTTTTGTTCAAGTGTTGGTCATCTCTATAGTCAGGTTACTTTTTCCCATAATAACAATCAATTCACCACCTAGAGCAATTTAACAAACTTATGACAGTAAAAAAAGACAGACAGACAGATGATTTAAAAAGAGTGTGCAAAGAGGCGGCGAATGAGCGGAAAAAAGTAGGGAAGAAACATACACAGAAGTATAAGAGTACAAGAGAGACTGTCTGTTTAGCTTTTTAGTCTTGATCTGAACATCCACATAGCAAGGTAAACACAAAATTCGTCTTCTTATCCATTTCAAATCCACTTTAACTCTCCATTTTCATCTGCTTTAATTTTCTCATCAGCATATTTCTTCTTCTGTCATTAATAATTAACATTATTAAATCAAGTTAGCTGATTGTTTACACTTTTCCAATTGTTCAATTGATTACTATTTTGATTCCTGTGTACATATCCAATGCTTTTTTTCCTCTCTATTTTTGTGTAAAATCTCTTCTGGTTGTTTACCTCTTCTGCTCCTATTCAAGTCTTCCCCTTTCACTTTCTGTCTTCATTATAACCTATTAAGGTTAAACAGTGATCAGTTATTATCATTTATAGTGTGTTATTTATTTTTAAATCTGTGGTTATACTCGTGGTGTCAATTATCATTAGCCGATAATTGTTCATCTTATTTGGTTAATTTTCCATATCAATTGGATTGTATTTCATTTTGCTTTCTATTTTCCATATCGTAAATAATGTCTTAACCTTCCATCTTTATTCTGGCGATCAAACAGTACTGTTAATATCTTCTGGAAGAGATTTAACACATTTTCCCTCTTTTGCTAACTCACTTTGCTTTATGTTAAAGATTCGAATATCTTTGTAAATCAATGTGAATAGCTTTTGTTTTGATTCTTTACATTCTCGCAATTTCCCTCTTCTTCTTATTTACCAAATGATCTTCCACTTGACTTTTCTATTAATTTCTCTTTGTCCTACCCTCACCATCTTCTCGCTAATTTCATTTACCAATTAATGATCACGATCATCATTCTATTTTTTTTTATACTTGTGTTTTCTATAACCTAGTTGATATACATCGTGTGATACCAGCTCATTAACTGTAAATAACCGGAGAGTTCTTAGGAGATGCTGAAATGGCTTCCAATTTTGGCTTTATTCGTCAGTTTAAATAACAATATCAGTCAAGTTTATGGTAACCCATTAAATACTTCATCTCGTACATCTTCCATAACCCTATCAAACAGGTAAATATTTTTTTCTCTTTTACTTTTACTGGTAAAAATTACTCTGTGATTTATGTACTCGTATTTAGTTTACTTTATATTAATTTAATATCATTCACTCTGCTCTAACTCATTTTCATTTTTTTCTACTTTCTTTTCCTCATCGTTTTCACTTTAAAAAGAGCAAATTTTCCTAGTGCGGCTCTTCAAGCTTCCAATAAAAATGAAACTCGATCTGTTATTTATGGAATGCGAGCCGTGGGTGGCTCATCTGAAGAAGGTACACTTAGAATTCCAGCCGATAAAAGGAGTACGCTGATACTTTTTGGTCAACATTTAGAGTTGACCAATATAACTTTCACGAGAACTCCAAGATCTCGAGGTGCAGAATGTGATTCTCTTGATCATACTGAAGTTTTTACACCTCTGCAAATCAACGATGGTGTTTATGAGCTTCAAGTCACTTTACCTCCTTATTCGGGAAGTTTTTTCATCTGTACTTTGAATAAAGATCATCGATCATGGCATCATCAAGGAGACTACTCTTACCTTCAGATCGGTACCAAAGTACCAATCCTACCAGTATGGGTTTCCATCACACTGATCTTTGTTTTGTTAAGTTTCTCTGGTCTTTTCTCTGGCCTTAACTTGGGGCTTATGTCTCTTGATAAAAATGAACTCTTAGTTATTGCTCGTTGTGGTACAGAGGACGAGAAACGCTATGCTCGGACAATCGCTCCCATTCGTAGCAGAGGGAATTATCTTCTATGCTCTATCCTTTTAGGTAATGTGTTCGTCAACTCAACTTTAACAATTATCATGGACGACTTGACCTCTGGATTAGTCGCTGTTATATCTTCAACTCTTGCTATCGTCATATTTGGTGAAATTGTGCCTCAAGCTGCTTGTTCTCGCCATGGGTTAGCTGTTGGTGCAAAAACTATTGGAGTTACTTATTTCTTTATGGCACTTACTTTTCCTCTTTCGTATCCAATTTCAAAAATGTTGGATTTCTGTTTGGGAGATGAAATTGGTCATGTTTACGACAGAGAACGGCTTATGGAATATATAAAGGTTACCAAAACTTACAACAAACTAGAAGAAGATGAAGTAAATATAATTTCTGGTGCTCTCTGTCTAAAAACTAAAACTGTCGGCGAGATTATGACTCGACTAGAGGATGTTTTCATGCTTCCAATCGCAGCCACCTTAGATTTCAACACAGTTTCTGAGATATCCAAAAAAGGTTACTCTCGTATTCCTGTTTTTGATGGTGAAAGGAAAAACGTTTGTGCCCTTCTTCATGCTAAAGATTTAGCTTTCATTGACCCAGATGACAATACACCTTTAAGAACTGTAATTGAATTTTACAAACATCAGTTAATTCACACTTACGAAGATGAAACTCTGAACAATCTATTGAATCATTTCCGTCTTGGTATGTACTTTTCCCATTTCTCTCAACATTCCTTGACTCATTTGTCCTCTTATTTTTCTCCATTTTTCTGTTTACCTCTCATTATTTCCTTGTCCTTTGTGTCCTGAATGATAGCGTTGAACTTTAAGCTCTTTAACGATATCGTACCAAACTTTATTTATAAAATGTAATTATGATGATGTGAGAAGAGAAAGAAAGAATACAATTCAACCTTTTAACTTTTTATGGTTTCTTTGAAATTTTGCCCATAATATCAAACAGAATCATTATAGTCATTTCTCTCTTTTGAATAAATAGCGGCAAAACGAAGCCAGAATTAAGTGAATGTAGAATCATTTTGATGGTTCATAATGATGGAAAGAAGATAAGGTGGGAGAGTGAAGAGGTAAAAAGGCGAAGAAGAAACTAGACTAGAAAAAAAATACTTAAAGCGACTGCTCTAGAGAAAGCCTTTTCAAATTTTGATTGAAAATATTTCAAAATGAGGTTTCTTCATCATCTCTTCAGTTTTCGTTCTTAACCTAAAATGTCTTCCTTTACTGATTAAAAGCAGAATAATTAACTAATACGTGATACAAGATTATCTTAATAGCGTCTACTTTAATTTTATCTCATCTCAATAGTTCGTTTACTTGAATTGGTTATTTAATTTAAACATTTCGATTAGCGTTGATTCTTATTTACTAATCTTTAGATCTCTTTGAATCAACAAAACAATTTCCTCTCTATATCAAACTTATGATAATAAACCCTTACAGTTGTTCACGAATGCTCATAAATTTTGAAAAAAATCAAGTAAAAGCAAAACTGAAAATCTCATGAACTAACCCAACATAGCTCATCTATTTTTAGCGTGAAATGTAAAGAACGTCATTGATGGGAACAGAGTTTGACCAAATGATATGCAAGAATCATAGTTATCATGTTTCACACCTTCAGTCGTCTCAATGCGATCTATTGTTTGTTTTGCTCTTCAAAGGCTTTCTACAGTACGTGATGGAAATCTCAATAATAACTATGATTCTCTGATTCCTTTTTCACGTATTTTGTTTTCCAATAGTTTTCCCTACGTATTCATTGATCATTTTTTTATCATCAACTTGTTTCTAGAACCAAATTTCACGATTCAAGGAAAAAAAGAAATAGTCATTATGACAAACGTAATAATTTCCCTCAAGGCTCAATTTTCAATCTTCCATGAAATTTGAAGAGCAGATTGTTATTTTTTCTTTGACTATCAATTCATATGATGTTGAAAATTGCCCTAATTACTGTCTTAACTATGACTCCGTGAATAGATTGATTGAATATTTCAATATGAACACGTTTTCTCCTGTCTATTACCTCAGATTAACCTGCATTTTTGAATTACAGATTGTATTCTGATTACTTTTCATAATTTCAATTGCTATTTGATTAACCATTAGAACATCTTGTTCAAAGGTTTACTTCATCTTCTAATAATCATTTCCAATCATCTATCCAATTTTTATTTACAGGAAAAAGTCATATGGCCTTTGTGAGAAAAATATATGCTACCGAAGATGAGGATCCTTATTATGAGATAACTGGCGTGGTTACTCTTGAGGATGTAATTGAGGAGATCCTTCAAATGGAAATTGTCGATGAAACTGATATACTAAGTAAGCAACAACAAAATAATAGTAACAATAAACTCGATTAAGAGATCGATCAAATGCATGCATCTTTTGGTCAATTTTTCCCTTTTCTATTTGTTATTAATTTCTCGTTTACAAATCTTTCTTTACAGTTGATAATAGGAAGAAACAACGAAGAAAAGGTGCTGAACATCAAGATTTCACCGATTTTGCCAGAATTGGTGCTGGTCCGGGTACTCAAAATATTTCATCTCAAATGGCTTTAGCTACTTTCCAATATCTCTCCACAGGTAAATTTATTGAACTCAAAAGTCTAGTTGTCTTTCTATTAAAAAGCAGATCTGAATTGAGATGAAGTGGAAAAACTCTTATAGTAAATAGACTTGATATCAATAAGATTGAATGTTGATTTGTATTTTCAAATCCTATTCTAACTTGAAAGTTGAATTAAGTTATAATCATTCAACCTTCTAGCTTCTATCTCACTTCCAATGCTCTTCAGGTCTGAGATTTTATTTTAAAAAAATACTTCGATATTTGTCTAATTTTTTTTGCATTTCTTCATTTTCATAGCTGTCGAACCTTTCAAGCTAGCTTACATCAGTGAAACTGTACTTCGTCGATTGATTGCTCAAAAAATTTACTATTATGTAAAAAATGTCAAAGATAATGACGCTCGAAATATCAAGGAAAGAACTATTTACACTGCTGGCAAACCAGCCGATTATTTCATTATGATTTTGGAGGGTAAAACTAAGGTTACTGTGGGAAGTGAGAATCTTTGCTTTGATGCTGGTCCATTCACTTATTTTGGAACATCAGCCTTACGTTTAACTGCAAGTGATATTCGTAACCAGTCAACAGCATCCGGAAGCACTCGACCTCCAACACCTGAATCACCCAATTTTGGATCAGCTGATATTCGTATGGCTATTGAAGCCAATAAGTTACCTCAACAGCCAGGAGCTGAAGCAAATGTTACGTTCCGACCCGATTTTAGTGTTGTTATTGTTGAACCAACTCTTTATATGAAAGTTCCTCGTAATGTTTACATTGCTGCTTACCGAGCATCTCTTTTGGAACATCAAAAAGGCTTCCCAGCTGATGATGACAAATTGCAAAAAGAGATCGATAATGCTTTCAATGATAACCTGTTAGCTCAATCTCCAGATTTAGGTCGAAAAGATTTCCATATTGCTGGCGAACGAGAAAAGTTATTATACGAAAGTCAAGCTAGAGGTGACGGAACCAGTCCTCATTCTGAACGACGTAGCTCAAGCGCCCAAGCTAATCAAACGTCTCCCGCTAAACGTAAAAATTCTCTCGCTGCTCTAGCTCGTATTCCTATTCAGGCAGCAGCTAAACTGGCAAATAGTAATTCATCTAGCAAAGCTCCAAGCTCTCCCTTATCTAATTATCCACCCACGTTAAATCTTTCAACATCCAAAGTTAATCCAATACCGGATCGTAAACCAACTCCACCGTCACAAGGACCTCGTGCTCCGTCACCAACTAGGATTAATTCAAATAATCGACGAAATGGCTCTCCTAAGAAAGATTCACCTAAACGAGGATCTTCACCTAAGAGAGGATCTACACCTTCACCTCCTGGTAGTCCAAAAGAGGATTCCCAACTTATCTCCAAACCAACAACGAAGCCCAACTAAATAATATTACACAAGATTTGACGAAAATAGATTTTCAGAAAGAGCAAAAAAACTCTATTAATAGCTTATTACATTGTACATCATTTGTACATATGTATTATGTATACATTTAAATAGATCAACACTCGAAATATTTTTCTTCGCGGCTCCACCATAACTACCTCTCTCCTTACCTTCAAAAGTCCCGTTTTCCTTTTTCTTTATGAACAGTATCTGTCTCTCATTAACTGACTCACTTTGATGCTCTCTAAGTTCTCAATTTTTCTCAATTCATATTCATCTTTGGACAAGATATTTATTCATTGTCACCACTTTCTTTATCATTTACTTTCTCCTTTTTTTCATCTTGAAATCAATGGTCTAGGCAATTTCCCGCTAAAGGGAAAAGGGTAAAAAGGCTAAAGGGAATTTACTAATTTTACTAGATTTTACTAATTGTTTAAACTATAAAATTTAATTGCTTCCCCCTTTAGTTTACCTAGATGACAGCACTCAACAAACGAGGCAATACTGTATTTATATCTTCATAGAAGAGCAGATAAAATCTGACAGCAAATTATAGTGATAGTCATTTCTTTTTCATTAATTGTTATTATTTCATGGAGATAAACACAGACATCTATATTAATACACTTACAAGAGGACTAACAAAGCAAAAAAAAATAAGGATTCAACTCAATCCTGGTGAATATATTCTATATTGGAATAGAGTACAAAAGAAATGATTAATCTCGCTGAGGAACGATTCAACTCTTTGCCTGATTTCAGCGTGAAAAATCTATGCAATAAACATAGATGTAAAACAATTAGACATACTTTATTAAGAATTTAAATGTTCATTAATTATGTAAAATTAAGGAATCATTATCATAAATTTAAAGCTGTTTTTGAACATCAAAGAATAATAAACTAATTATTATGACTAAAGTTATTTTTCTTCACCTTTATTCCCTAATTGTTTTAATATTTTCCATCTATTTCGGGATTTTCAGATTTAACGTATAAAATTGAACGAAACAAGTTTAATTTGATTATTTTGAGACATAAATCAAAACCAATTTGATTCCATTCGATTAATTGCAAATGAAAAAAGCTCAAGACAAAAAAATGTTTCAATTTGTATTGATTGTCGCCATCTAACGTTATTTTTATCAACAACCTGTGTATACAAATTATTTTTCGTATTCACGTTTTGTAAATAAATTAAGCCTTATAAATTTGTTTTCATGATTTTTAGTTGATTTGATTAATTTGTTGGTAAAAATGAGTGACACTGAGGAGCCAGAAGTCCATGATGAAGTGGAAATCGAGGACTTTACCTACGATGCTGAAGAGGAAAAATTCACATATCCGTGTCCATGTGGAGATTTATTCGTAATAACTAAAGAAGATCTTGAAAATGGTGAGGAAATTGCTCGCTGTCCAACGTGTTCATTGATTGTTCGTGTTATTTATGATTTCTCGGACATAACAAAGTACTTTCAATCAGCACAAACACAAACTGCTCTTGAACTAGTCACCAAATAATCTAAATGGTTTCCAGAGGAGCTCCTCCTTCTTCATCTTCATCATCTCTGATGAAAAAAAAACAAGAAAACCCAAACCAAGTTTAAACTTAACTGTTGCTTATTTTCATTGCATATCATTGGTAAAACGAAGCAAAGTTAAAAATGTTAGTTCCATTCAATGTTCACGTTCAAATTAACAATGGAAGTGTTCAAACTGAGCAAACCTATTACAATCACTATCATTAAATAAGTTTACCTTTTCCATATCAAATAAAGTCTTGTCTTGATCAATTATTTCTTCTCATCTTTTTTACCTCACCTTGATTTTTGCAGCAAAAAAATCAAACCTTTGTGATGATAACTATACATTCAATCTTTGATTAATAAAAGTTTTAATCAATGTAACAATATCTTTCAATATCATTGTCTTTTTTTCATTTAATCAACTTTAACTCCTTTGCTTATCGAAAATAACAAAACAAAATCATCTTAGACAATTGAAAGATCTTCTAATTGTTCCTAACATTATAATCCCTGTTTTGTACCAATTCATTTTAAACTGTTTTTACTTCAATCATTACAATCAACTTTTAAATTCACCAATTGACTCTGAAACTCATAATAATCGATTAATTAAAGATGGCAACAAAATTGCTGTTTCTTCTTCCCATTGCGATACTCATAGTTATATCCACCTTTTGTCTTTGGAAATATTTACCTGGAATCAAACCTCTCGATGTAAGAACCAAATATTTTACTTAATTAACCAACCCAATTGATCTTGAATCAAATGACAATCATAATCATCTGACAAGTCCATTAATTGCCTCAAATCTGATTCCTATACCTTAATAAGTTATTTCAGCTTCTTGTGCTATGTAATAAGCTTTGGTGAAATCATTTCAACCTTTTCTCTTCTCTTATTTGTATTCCAAATTTTACTGCCTTTCCTTTTTTTATCGTTTTATCAACCTCATCATGCTATCATCATGTTGAATCTTACACCAGACAAAAGCAGGACAAAAATTTTTGGCACCAAATTTAACCGAACAGTGCAAGTCTTGCAAGTTTCATTAGTTGACAATGAAAGCAAAGATACAAAACCATTCAGATTAGTTTGAAGATTGATTTGGTTGATTTGATTTGCTGCGTTAACTCTAATTAAGTTCAACTATCTCATTAGATTGTCACTTAATCGTATAAAAAAAAGATGTTCTGGTTCAGTTTGGTTATTCCAATTTGTGTAAAGCGTTTACATGGTTTTGTGATTTTCTGTTTTTTCCTTTCCTTTCTTGACATGTTCAGCTTTTTCACAATAATTGACAAATCAACTTTTTCATCACAATTTTTCCTGTCACTGTTAAACAGATAGTTGTGATCAACTGTTAAATAGATTGAGCCTCAGCTGACAACCAAAGCCATTGAACGCAGCAAGACCAGCAAAGAGTCATTCAAAAGTCACATCAGTAACTGTTGTCAACCTCAACCAAAATTGAATCCAAACTGATCGACAAATGATTGTCAATTAGCCATTCAGTAGTGGTCAGGTTAACGAAGATGTTTCAGAGATGGAACTTTATTTTGTTCAGTTTTCAGCATTTATCTTATCTCTACAAACTAAATATTCTCGAGATGGTGAAAGCTAAAAATTAACTTAAATCTAATCACTACTGTATCATGGTTAACCTTAATTCAACCTGTGATTAAACAAGAGATGAGCTCATCTGAATACTGTGAATGCTGAATATTTAGTTTGCTCAGTCAACTTGATAGTTAAACATAACCTTGGCTATTTGCATGGAATGTGTATTTAGACAGACCTTTAGCAATGTAAATATCTGATTTGAAATTATTACATGTAATCAAGATGATAATTATGAGCATTGATATCATCATAAACCTGAATGTTTCAATTATCAAGATCCACTCAATTCAATGTTCAGTATATTTCGCTTGTTTTACGTTTTATCATTCTTAGGTTTACATGTCCATAAATTGTTATATAAGTTGTGCAAAGTAATTAAGATATTTCTGTTAAACAACAATCTAGGTAATTGTTGATTGTGTTACCTTTGTTTTTTTAATCTGGTATTGTTACCATATTGTTATTCAGTCTAGGATGCCATCATCCTTGGTTAAACATTGGCCTGTTGGTTGAACAGTTGATTTATTTGTTTTACAATTTTAATTGTCCTTTTCAGGAAAACAATTCGTACAATTGTGTACTTATTAACACCTACATAGACATTTTAAACATAATGTTTAACCATTTGTTGTACATTGTTGATGTTTCTCGTGATTACATTCAATTTACCTTCATTTGTAAATCACATTTTATAATTTAGTTTTTGAGAATTGCTTTGTTCCTTGAAGCTACTCGAGTCAAGTGGTTGACAAATAGTCTTAGCAGTCGATTATCAATTTAAATTGTAAATACTTTCCAACATTTCAAACGTAATGGTCAATCGACTATCAGAATCCAGTATTGATTGATTGGATAATTATTAGCCAAAGAAGCACATAAATAACTTGAATGGAAATTTTTAACTGAAAAATATACAACAAACCATACAAATTGTGATGTAAACCATCTCATTAATAATGAGCAAGTGAATTTAAGATTAGGTTTAAAGGTGTTACCATTGATAAACAATTAATAAATTAAAAGAGTGGGTTAACTGACAATTAATTGAGCAGTAAAGAACGCCAATTTAAAAACTAAAAATACTCCATCTCTTAGTTAAATTTTTAATTGAAGTCGCCTTCAGCTGATTTTGAAAAACTACTCAACGGTTGTTAACGGTTTTTTTACAGCTTTCATTATTTTTTTCAAATCCATTAAACTGTGATTAATTTAATTATATTTTTTTTGTCTTTTTATGTGTTTTAGTATGGTTTGACAATTGATGCTGGCTCATCACATTCAGAAGTCATTTTATACACATGGTCCGATAAAGTCAATGGGACAGGCCATGCTCGACAATTATCCAGTGTTGAAGTATCAAATGGAATCGATGACCATGGTGAAGACATTGAGTCTACAGTGAACGAATTGTATAATGCAGTTGCAAGTGCAGTTGACCAAATACCAGAAGGTGTACTTGGACCATTTCCTCTATTTTTAGGTGCAACGGCAGGAATAAGAATTCTTAATCTAACCAAACCTGAATTGGTTGATGAAATAATGTCCAGTATAAACACCAATCTAAGCAATTCTGATTTCAACGGACGCTCATTGGACGTCAAACAAGTTCGTATTCTAAGTGGATCAGAGGAAGGTCTCTATGCATGGGTAACAGTCAATTATCTACTGAACTCTCTGGAAGATGATTCAACTGCTCAACCCGACGAAATGGACACTCTTGGTATGCTTGACATGGGGGGAGCTTCATCACAAATCGCCTATCAAATAAATGAAACCAATGAAAACAAGAATGATCAATCCGTCAACTCTGTATCATTATTTGGTAAAAATTATACTGTTAAATCACATTCAAATCTCTGTTTTGGTTCGGACCAAGGCTATACAAGATATCTTTTTGAATTGGTGCGTCGACATTTTGACAACACTGAAATTGAAAAGGATTCAGCTGACAATTCATCTTCCATTAGGTCGATTAAAATACGTGATCCATGTAATCATGATTCTCCAGTTGAAATGCACAGAGGAACTGAATTTACCTCTAATCCCTGTTTGAAAACATTATCAACCTATGATTTGGAAAACACTGAAATTACATTTGAACCGTCGATGAATCATTCTAAATGTGCATCAGTTATAATTGATTTAATTGACCAATCTTATTGTGAGCAACATTATGCTCTTTGTCCTACAAGTGAATCCGATCCAGCACCATTGAAAACTCATTTCTATGCCATCTCATCTTATTACTATTCAACCAAAGTTTTACCTTCAATACAAAACGGTGGTGATGTCTTTCATAATGACACTGATTACTTGCATCAAGTGAATCACTGGTGTACGACTCCTTGGGTGGAGAAAGTTCAACTTGCTGATCCAAAATATGCCCGATATTTATGTTTCAAACAATTATACATTTATTACACTTTGAAAACAATCTATCAATTTACTGATGACCAGTGGCCTTACATTCATTTTCGCAATAAAATCAGAGATTCCTCACTGGGTTGGTCTCTTGGTTATATGATAACAGAAACAAATATAATACCCTCAAAACCTGTTAAACCCGTGATTTGGTCAAAATATGCATCTTTTGGATCACTCGGATTATTAGCTGCTGTAATGATATTTCTTACAGCTTACTGGATTGGAAGACGATCAAAAAGTGCTGATATCAATCATGCTTGATACCAGCGTGAGTCGCCTCGACTTTAACCTTATAATTTCATCGACCTATTCCTAGCTTCAACTAAACTGCTTCTTGTGTTAAACAAGATCTAATCAAATGATAGAAACGATCAGTTTTTGTTTTGGACAATCTTTTACGGCAGAATGGCTCTTCTTTTTTAAATATCATCTGTAAACCAAACTGATCTCACAATAAGAGCAAATTATTGTAATACAATTAAATTTGGTTTCACTTGTTTAAAAGTTTTCTCGAGACCACAAATTTTTCTTGTCCTATCGCCGCAGAAACCCAACATTTATTGTTTACTGCTTTAGACTGATGTTAAATCAAAGTTACTTGACCAGTTCAGTGGTCAGGAACATAATTTTTAAGTTGAACCATTAAGATGATTTGGCCCCTTTTTTCATGTAAAAGTAAACCTGTTTAAAAAGGCAAAAAGAGATGAAAAATTTGGGACATTTAAAAGGGTCAGAGTAAAAAGTTTGCCTAAATAGTGACTATCAACATAAGACAATTAAGTTTTAAATAAGTAGTTTTACAAGATGTTTTATTATAATTGACAAATTCATTATCAAACTGATTAAAATCTACCATCTTTTATGATCAAATATATTCGTCGATAAATCACAACTCTAATTTGTCCCCTCTTTACAATCAAAGTTAACGCGCTTTTCGGTTCTACTGGTGGTTGTTTTAAGACAATTACAGGTACCCTTTTTTAGTTTCAAAAAAACAATTAACCTATTCACGATCATTTCTCCTTAAATAACTCAAATAAACGAATCATTATCTTTATCCTTCAGAAAATTTGATTACCAAGCTGGTACCAAATATTATAATAAATATTGGTTATCATTTGAAGCTATTGTTGACTTTGATTTTAATTCGTGAATCGGATTGAAATTATTGACTCCAAATTTCTATGGCAATGAAAATGTTGAATATAATGATGGTGATCACAAATAGAGAATCAAAATAAAACACAGTAAAATGGCAATTATGATTTATCCAATTGTTTCAAGACTGGGCCAATGTTGACAATTGTAAAAATATATTTAATGAATTGCAAGGTTAATTAGGAAGTCTAAGGGAAATTATTGAACAGTACAATAATGTGTATAATCATCTGGATAAACACTGAAAATTAATGAAAATTAATTTCTAATTAAAAATAAAAGATAAAGTAAATTTTGACGTTAACTAAAAAGCACACAAAATGTTGTTTACATTTTTGTTTTATGGTTTACTTATCAATTTGAATACACGATTCTGATTGGCCTTTGACCGTATTTTGTTGTGATCAATCCTAGATGGCGTTTAGTCAAAGGTTATGAGTACTTATAAATTAAGTCAAGTTGTGATTGTATTAAGCAGAGTTAAACGGATTTAGGGCGACTGACTGATTCGATTCATTTGTTGCTCACCTTATCGCTTCAGGGTAGTTAAAATACGAAAGGAGCGTTTTAATCTTTCTCTTTCTGCTCTTTCTCTTTTCCTTCTTCTTCTCCCTCCGTCTTTCACTCAAAGCTCATTTTCAACTGCAATATCAGCGTGTAAACACTTCACTCTCTCCATTTTTTTAAAAAGCCATTCTTTTTTTAACATACATTTTTATCATTAAATCAAAAGTGGATCAAAGATTGTTCAATCAAGTTCATCATTCATGGCCAAGTTTGGTTTAGCCATTGGGATTATATCAATACTTCTTGGAATTATTTCATATTTTTCTCTGCCATCAATCGTTCTCCGCCAAATTCATAAGGTAATTCATTAACTATCACTTTGTTTGTGCTTTCAAGCTTTGTATTTTTTTTCAATGAGGTTATCTTTTATTGTGATTTACCTGTCATTGATTGGACAAATAAGACCAACAATGTTTTAAAGGAAGTGTTTATTTGTTTTGTTGCGTTTTTAAGTTGTTTTTTTGTCCTTCTTTACTTAATTCATGCTGACCTAAATTTTCAATCTCTTTTCTCTTTAGCGACTGGTTCTTCGTGAAGGATCGGAAACTTATGAAAATTGGAAACAAGTTCCAGTACCTGTGTATAATCGTTACTATTTTTTTAACATACAAAATGCCGCTGAAGTTGAACGATATGGCGCCAAGCCAGAGTTGGTCGAAGTTGGACCTTTCACATATCGTGTTCTTCTTTCAAAACATGATATAACACATAATCAAGCCAACGCAACAGTTACATATAAGGAGAGGCGAACATGGATTTTTATCAGGAATCAGTCTATTGGCGATGAATCAACCATGATCTCAACTTTAAACACTCCTTTAGCTATGACTCTTTCTTGGTTGCAACAAGCTAGTCCTGCCGTTCGTTTAGTTGTCGGTGTCACACTTGATACTACATCCCAAGGATTTTTCATTAATCGGACAGTGAAGCAACTTCTATTTGAAGGTTATCCTGATGTTTTAACTACTTTTGGTCCACTTCTCAGACCTGAGCTTCCATCTGCATACAATGGAAGGTTTGGGTTTTTTTACCCGAAAAACAATACTGACGATGGTGTATACCGTGTTCACACCGGAGAAGATGACATTAACCTGTTAAATGTCCTAGAATCTCATAATGGGGCTAATGCTCTTCGATATTGGTCATCTGCAGAGTGTAACTCATTCAGTGGAAGTACCAAAAGTGAAGTTAGACCACCTCTGAAACCTACAACCAGAGAACTGAGAATGTTTAATGCGGAAATATGTCGTGTCTTAAAATTGGTTAAATCACAAAGTCATTTAACACCACATGGAATTCATGCCGAAAGATTTGTTCTTGATTCTTCCTTTTATTCAAACTCAGTAGATTATCCGCCAAATTCTTGCTATGACATCAAACGTCCTGCTCGTCCTCCATCAATCCTCTCCATTCGCTCATCATACCTTCTTCGAATGGATCCATTGCCCTCAGGAATCATGGACCTTGGTCCTTGTAAATATGGTGCACCTATCTATCTGTCAAATCCACATTTTCTCGATGCTGATCCTATTTATGCATCTACCGTGGAAGGTCTAAAGCCCAATAGATCAAAACATTCTTTCTGGATTGACGTTGAACCCACTACTGGATCAACAATCGGAATCGCTGCCCGAGTGCAACTAAACGTTGCTGTTTCTACTGGTCAGGCTTCCATTCGGTTCAGGAATGTTCCTGAAATAATATTCCCAATCCTCTGGTCCGAATATACATCAGCATTGACACCTCATTTGGTTGACAAACTGCTCATTGTCCAATGGATACCTGCTGCATCTGCTAAAATATCACTATTCTTATTTTGTACATTCGCCCTGTTGGTATTTACCGTAGTCTTAGGCATTCACACATTTAGAGTTTTGAGGGACAACAAAGATCCTAAAGCCATGAAAGCTGTTAAAGCATTGAAATCAATAGTGAGAATAAAAAGTGATGCCAATGATAGCACAGAAGTCACACCAAACAATGGTACAACTGAAACAACTGAAGTTAAACCAGAAGAGCACGTCTCTGTTAGCTTTAAAAAATCCTTAACGCAATCCCTGGAAACAAGTAAACTAAGTTTACCAAGTGCTCCTTATGATACCTTTTCACTCGCCAATGAAGTGCCAAACACACCACCACGAAGATACAAATCAAATAAGCTTTCAAATAAATCATCTTCCGATGAAAAGTATAAATCACCACATCAAAAGTTCTAGATGAACAATTTTTTTCAATCAACTCAAACAAAGACATTTCCCACCATTCATCCTACTGTAAAATGAAAAGACTTTTTGCTACTTTTCTATTGCATTTCGTATCATTTGTATTTACAATCATCACAAAAACATTGTAATAACCCAATATGGGCTTTCATATTTTTTACACTTCTCATATTTTTCCTACTTTCATCGACTACTATCGCAGTATTATAGTATTTATCATTTTTGTCTCTCGATATTCTAAGTGCAATCAAAGAAAAATAAATGAGATTTTTTTCCACTCAAATTGAATACATTTTTTCAAACCCATTTGTATTTTCAACTCTCATTGGAAAGTTCTGGACCAGTCATGATCCATCGAAGGTAAAAACCAATTTTGGTTGATTTGAGGGTAACCATCCCTTTGGTGATCCCTTTAGTCCTAATCATTCTCATGGAATTGGATATTCTCACGATCATTCCAGTTACCATTGAAACATTAACCTTTAATTATTACCATTTGACATGCATGAGCTTAATTATTCAAGTTGATTCTATGGTTGCTTTAAAACACTTAAAATGCTCAATATTTAAACCACTAGAATCAAACCTTGCAATATTGATTATACCTTTTTTTGGGCTGTGTCAACCTACTTCATGCGTGTCCTTATTTTTTACTATTATTATATTATTAATATATCGATTAGTTTAACTTTTGATCTGCTTTGCTATTTCATTGCGTTTGCTTAATACATAAACATTGTGTTCACTTATTTAGCTTGATTGTTTGATTGATTAGAGGAAGAAAAAGGCTTTCTCAAATATTATAATGTTCATAAAAGGTAGCTTTCATTGTTATTGAGTTATTGATTTGTTCAACTTTACCTCAGACTTTATATAAAATATGGTTTAACCAACAAACATTCACTTGGTTGAATCTTCTTGGTCAATGAAATACTGTAAACTAAAACAATGAGTAAAACAATTAAATATCAACGTTTATCTAAATTTTCAAAGTTAAAAGCTGCCAGTTTAATCGCTATCCATACAATATTGGATGTCATCTGTTCGGTAGCAACTCTTATTCAACTTGTATCAATTAGATGAGTGTTTTGTTTCAAACCTGGAATCGGATAAAGCTCATGGATTACAGTTTAATTGTGCATTAACTTGGTTATCCGTTCATTGTAATGTTCATGTGAAACAATAAAATCATCAAATACAATGTAAAACTGATTAGAAATGGTTTCAAATTATTCATTGAATAGCAATCAACAAAAGACTTCAACAAAGGTAATACAAATGCTCTTAGTTTCGGATTTAAAAGGGTCAATTAGACAGGTTGATTCATCGTTTCAAGTTATATCTACATGTGATTATTTTCCGCCCGGTTTTGACACCAAATGAAATATATTTGGAATCTTTCGGTCCAAATATAAAATGGCAAATGATTTAAACCAAGTCCGATTCGGATAAGTGATTGACTTTTAAATTAGTGAATTTATTAGCTTATTTGTTGACACCGGACAAACTTAGCTGAAACTCGACCTAAGATTTTGTATATGGAAGTTTTGCCAATTCGTCACAAACAAACCTTAGGTCGATCGGTTAAGAAGCTGAGTGATAGTCAAAAGGAAAGGCATCTTTAGATGAATTGCCCTGTATAATACAAAATAGACTTGTAAATGAGAAACTTTATGAAAGAGCAAATTGAAACAGAAACATCAAAACTAATGAGACAATGACCGTAAATTATGTGTGACTGCTTATGAAGTGAGAGTAAATGAGTTAAAATTGTCAACATATCAACCAATTTCATGTTAAATTTTTGTCTGTAATTGTTGTTACCTTCAATTGTTGTTGCTCCAATTCAGTTTACCTTTTTTCAATTTTCGGTATAAATTCCAGGTTCATATTCAGAAAATGAATGGTTAATCAATCTAATTTTTAATTGTCAATCGACAAGTTTCAAGTAACTGCAAATTGCACTGAAAATGCGTGTAAACATTCGGCTTGAACACTTGAATTCATCGAGTTTTTTAGTTCACCTTTTAGGCGCCACCAGATTCCGAGTTTCAACCTGAATTTTATTAATTTTCAGAAACTTTCAGCAGCACTATGATGCCATCTTTTGGAGTTGAAACTGATTATAAATTGAGCTACTAATTGCTATTTGTAACTTAAATGCATTGTATGATTAAATTGACTCAATAAAATTGCTGTTTGTAACTAGAAACGGGTAAAAATTGATTTCTTTCAAAGACAGACAATGTTCGTATGGACATAAAAACTGAGTCCATTTAGGTAATTGTGGTTAAATAAATGTTGGCCATGAGTTTTATGCTGAAAAGCAATTGAATACATTCTAAGAGTTAGAGTTTCAATGTATTAATTTGTTTATAATTAGACATTGTATTGATTGAAAAATAAAAACGATATACTGGACATTTGAGAACTGAAATATAACTGCTTTTAAACACTCATTTCTCAGTTACAATAAGCGCTGAGGGAAATATTTTGAATTGTTCGATAGATTTAAAGCTTTTGATTGACTTTATTTTGCATTCCATCATGACTAGATCGTTTGGTGAGAGTGATGTCCAAATCCATTACGGTTTCTGTCCAAAATGACAATAAGTAACATGATTGTACTTGTATTTTCAATTCCATTTGCATTTGTTTTATGCTGGTTGTTACTAAAAGAAACAGCAAACTCAATTGTCACATCTACTGAAAAACAAATGGACATAAACGCGTAAAAATAAATTTCTTTCAAAGTTCGACTCTGTTGGCTTGTAAAGAAATTAAAACTGAGTCGGTTTGTGTGATTTAAAAGTTTCTCTTGTCAATAGTTTTCGAGGAAATCGAGTTTGTAGTTGAAACTTCGATATCCATTTGTACATTTATGGAAGCAGATTTTTTGCGCTTAATGCATTTCCCTGATGTGATTTTTGATGATGAACCGAAAAATGTACTTATATGGAGAAATTAAATTTTCGGTTCATCATAAAACAGATCAGTTCGATTTTTATTTAAACCGACCTTATTCTGTGACCGTAAAAATTAGAGAGCTAAAACTTATTATTTGACCATAAAAATAGTTTGCGAACATCATGGCTTCAATACTTTTTCCAATGCATCAATAGTTCTCTTGATTTTGGACATTCGTTAGCGAACTTTGAACCTTGATGTTTCGAAAATGGCTACACTTAAAAACGTCATTCTCTCACCAACTTAATCCTTTACTTGTTTAAAATACAATTCATCTGAATAACTGTCCATTAGCGCATTTGGATCTTGATAGTTGGACTTTTAATGAACGCGCAACAACTTATTCAGCAAACAAAACTCATCTAAACCCATTTCTTGTTAAATAAAGCAATTTTCTGGTTAAAGATGCAAATGAAATGCAAAGAGTGCGGCCAAAGTCTCTAGCATTTGTGTAAAGAGTTGAAACTTGGCAGATTTGTTGGTAAATAAGAACTGAATCCATTGGTGCAATTAAATAGCTCATCTGATGGGCAGTCTTCGAGAAAATCGAGGTCAAAGTTTAAACTTTGATCACATTTTGTGCAAAAATGGAATCAGATTTTTTCATGAAAACCTATTTGACTGATGTAAATTTAGACGAACAACCAGAAAATGCCCTTATTTTGAGAAAGAACATTTCAGATTTTCTGTAAAACAGATCAGTTGGATTTTTAGTTAAACCGAACACATTCTGTGACCATAAGAGTTAGAGTGCTAGAACTTATGATTTTGCCTTAAAAATTGTTTGCACACATTAGGGATTGAATAATTTTTTCAATTCACTAATGGTTCTCTTGAATTTGGCTATTAGTATACAAACTTTGAACCTCGGTATTTCGAGAATGGTTACACCTAAAATCAATATTTTTTGATTAAACATTAGATCCCATTATGGGTTATAATATATTGAGATATTAAACTATTCAAGATCCTATGAAAAAAGTTATAGCATTGTATTTGTTCATGTTACCAGATTTGAGCATGATTTATAAAGTTATATGTAATAGCACAAACAAGATTTGTGTTTGCTTTAACACAAATCTTATGTGATAGAAGGGTATCCATTGTATATGACATAGCTCGAATTTTATACATTATTCAGGCATATTATATTATAACCCATAATGAAATCAAATGTTTGGTCAAAGAATGATGACTTTAGGTGATACCATTCTCGAATTATCGAGGTTCGAAGTTTGTAAACTAATGTCTAAAATCAAGAGAACTGTTTCAAAATTTGAAAAAGTATTTAATCCATGATGCGTACAAACATTTTGTGTGAACGAATAATAAGTTTTAGCCCTCTAACTATTACGGTCACAGAATGCGGTCAGTTTAACTGACAATCGAACTGATCTGTTTTACAGAAAAAATGAAATGTTATTGCTCAAAATGAGGGCATTTTCTGGTTGGTCATCAAAATTCACATCAGTCAAATAGATTTTAATGAAAAATCTGTTTCCATAATTGCACAAAAGGCGATCAAAGTTTAAACTTTGACTTCGATTTTCTCGAAGACTGTCCATCGTATGAACTATTAGATAGCAGCAATGGATTCAGTTTCCATGCACCTACAAATCCACCAAGTCTCAATTCTTAATTGAAATGTTCGAGCCTTTGGCAGTACTCATAGCATTTTATAGTTTAAGTTTAACCAGAAAATTGGTTTATTTACCAAGAAATGGGTTGAGATGAGTTTTGTTTGTTGAATAAGTTGTTGCGCGTACATTAACACCCAAATATCATAATCCAAATGCGCTAATGGACAGTTATTTGAAGGAATTGAATTATTAACAATTGAAGGATTAAGTTGGTGCAAGAATGATGACTGTAGATGTAACCATTCTCGAAATATCGAGATTCAAAGTTTGTCAATCAATGGCCAAAATCAAGAGAACCGTTGGTGAATTGAAAAAATTATTCAATTCATAATGTGTGCAAACAATTTTTGTGGATAAATAATAAGTTTCAGCTCGCTAACTCTTGCGGTCAAAGGATACGGTCGGTTTGAGTAAAAATCGAACTGATCTGATTTATGGAGAATGGAAAATTTTATTTCTCTAAATAAGTACATTTTTCGGTTTATCATCAATAGGAACATCAGGGAAACTGAGTTACGCGAAAAAATCTGCTTCCATGAATGTACAAAAGCCGATCGAAGTTTCAACTCAAAACTCGATTTTGAAAGAAACTTATTTTTTCCCGTTTATGTCCATTTGTTTTTCAGTATTTGAGTCAATTTGTGCATAGATGTGACAATTGTTTTAGTTGTGTCTT